AAACCTCACCACTACTCCCGCTACCCTTGCTTTCTTTTGTGATATTTCAGATTCCCATACTTTGCACCTAGAGATAGGAAGCAGAAGCGCACTCCTCAGTCTAGTGACAATTCCACTCTCCCAACTTCTATGACACTTTAATTAAAATAAGTGCCAAAGTCCAAAAGGAGTGCTGACTAATCCTAAACTAACCTATTCTTTATAACACACCAACGTCCCGAATTATTGGCGTGGCATCCTGTCTAAGCAGGGTCTAAAAGACCATCCTATAAAGATGTGATTTGACATCTCCCATATTCTTCCGTTTAGCTTGACTAAATTAAAGCAGAAAGCACACATGCACTAGAAATGCTGTTCATTTCTGAAATGTATAGTATTTGGATGGGTTACTGATGCATGAGCTCATCACATTTGGTGTGTTAATCAGTTCTGAGCACCCAGCAAATCCAGAAGCCCGCTTTTACAATGCCAACCTTGTCCTGTTTGAAGTGACCTCCTCCCCCAAATTTTAATTTCACATGGCAGACCTCCTCTCGTTTCTTAATTAAGCCTAAGGGAAAGGAGAGGGAGTCTTGCAAGCCCCGCAGAGTGGCCCCCCTCCACTAATTGACATGTCTGTAGGCTCACTCATGTGGTTACATTTTCATAGCCTGACCCTGAGCAGCCATTCTTCTCTACCTAGGCTTCCCCCCCTCCCCCCCGCTTTCCTCTCTTTCTCTCTCTTGAAGCAATTTTGCATACGTTGATTTGGGTCGAAAAATTCAAATTATCAAAACTGTCATGGGTGATTTGCTGGATATAGAGATACCCAGGGTCGGATCAGCTTGGGTGTCAGAAACAATTATGTATCCCAAAGTGATTCCAGTTAGCAAGCCCTCCACTAATGGGCCACCACCCTAAGGATGCTGATTGCTTCTGGCGTTGTTTTTCATACTGTTTGCTAGGAATCGACAACCCGGGCATTTGCGGCTTAGCATTTTAGAAAACGCTCTCATAAATGAAATCTGCACATATACAAAAACATACTGGAAGTTCTTCAGCCTCTCCACTCCTTCAGTTCCCTCCTCCCTCCACCTCCACCTTAAAACTCGTTTCTTGAAAAAGCTGTAATGGGAGGACTGAGCCTTTCTGTCTTTGCATACCCTAATGATAAGTGTGCACTTGGTATCTGCTGTTTGCGCCCTCTTTTGAATAAGTCTTGGTTTGTCGCAGAAAGTGGGCCATAATACATACACCAAATCATTCTGCTTAACCCTGCCTTAACCTTCATAAATATTTTCTCTGCTGTTCGCTGTGTGGCCCTACAAGGATTCTGGCTACAGTGCAATTGGTTGCAAAGCATCATGGTACGTCCAGATACAGGTGCATATCTGGAAATGCCTCAGCTGGTAGACAATTCAATCCTTGGCACTGATGTGGCAACATAAAGGTACAATGTGCTGTGGCATTCTAGATCTGGGAAATTATAAAGGTTTCCAGGAAGAACTTGCTTTCTCAGACTAGCAGCAACCTCAAATGTTTTACTACTGTGACCATATAGATACACACACACACGAGATACAACTGGCTGGAATGATGTCATTTCCTGGCTCAAAGCCAACAAGAGCTTCCTGACTTGGACATGTTTTGGGACTCATGTACAGTGAGAAGCATGTGAGAAGCAACCAGTTCATTTATCTATTCACACACTTGAGCTTTTTCCTTACCGCACAAAGTACAATAAATACAGAAATGCTACCAAGCACTTCTTAAATCAGATTTCAGAAGCTGTAAGCTAAATCCACAAGCACCCCTGGGGCATTCCAACAGAGCCTGTCTTATCCAATGCACTGACATGGGCTTTGCCCTGGCTACTCTAAAACAAAAGACCAAGATTACGAGGCTCTCTTGAAGCTAGGCTTCTAAAGGATTTGTGCTTATCTGCTCCCCCATCGATAAAAATCACTAAACTTTTAACACAATTGATAGTTCTGTGTTTTCTTGGTAATTTAATGGTGAAATTCTGAATATTTCCCAAGACATTGCTCAGAGATGCTTTGCAACTGAAAACACAGTAATATTTTTTTTTAATCTGGAGGAAGATATATGGCATTTGGTAAACTTCATAGGAATTTCTGTGAACCATGAAAAATAAAATAAAGCCTAAAAAAAATCCCAAAGACTGGCGTCAGAGTTTCAGAATTTAAAGGGGGGGAATACTAGCCTATGATTTGTAAATTCAGGGATATTTTTTCTAAAGTTCTCTACATCTTAACACCTCAATCCTCAATACTTTGTCCTGTCAAAATTGGCCACCCCCTCGCCTCTTGCACTCTATTCTAAATAATAGTTGCCACGTCCCCTGTGGCACCCACAAAGCTCTGCACCCAGTATGACTGAATGTGCTCCCTTAAATCCCCCTCTGCCTGACCTGTTGGGTTCCAAAAGTTTGAGACTTTTGATGCCTGAAACACCAGTCATCTACATCCACCTCCTTGTTTCTTAAATACATTGAAGTCGATTCAGGAGAGTAAGAAGAAGAAGAAGAAGAAGAAGAGTTTGGATTTGATATCCCGCTTTATCACTACCCTAAGGAGTCTCAAAGCGGCTAACTATCTCCTTTCCCTTCCTCCCCCACAACAAACACTCTGTGAGGTGAGTGAGGCTGAGAGACTTCAGAGAAGTGTGACTGGCCCAAGGTCACCCAGCAGCTGCATGCGGAGGAGCGGGGAAGCGAACCCGGTTCATCAGATTACGAGTCCACTGCTCTTAACCACTACACCACACTGGTGTAGTAACCTAAATACATCCTCACAAGATGTAAGATTTGCTGCTACAAATGTTGTAAAATGTTACCACAGTGTGAAGCTTTACTATGAAATTCTCACTACAGCTGATTTCAAAAATGATGCTGCATTGTGTTCGTTTTCTGCTGGTGCTCTCCAAAACCTCTCCCCTCCAAGTAACTTTTCACAGAATGTTTTGGTTCCTTTTATCAGTTCACAAGAGTTAAGGAGAATGGACAAGTGCTCAAGTCCTGCTTGATCCATTCCAAGTCAAAATGAAATGCCTGCTGGTAGAGACTATGCCAGATATACAATATTCTACCCCAGCTGTGGCACTGTTCAGAATATAGGACATGGTGGCTTCTTGTTATCAAAAGCATGGCCTAGGGTTCAGCTGTTAACTGTGCCCTCAAACCCTTTATACTGAAAAGAGACACCAGCTCAAATGTGATTTCCATGTGATAGGCAGTCAGCTTCATTGACTAATTTACTCTTGCCCACATAAAAAGGATGCTTTAGGATTATCTAGGTTACATATGAAATGTGGAAGATAGGGATGCAATTGCTGTAGTCAGTTGCTTTGAGGACCAAAAACTTACAGCAATGACAACTCTCACATGCCTGTAATATAATAGAATTAACTTAGTGTATATTAGGGACACGGGTGGCACTGTGGGATAAACCACAGAGCCTAGGGCTTGCCGATCAGAAGGTCAGTGGTTCGAATCCCCGTGACGGGGTGAGCTCCCGTTGCTCAGTCCCATCTCCTGCCAACCTAGCAGTTCGAAACCAGATCAAAGTGCAAGTAGATAAATAGGTACCGCTCCGGCAGAAAGGTAAACGGCGTTTCCATGCACTGCTCTGGTTTGCCAGAAGCGGCTTAGTCATGCTGGCCACATGACCCGGAAGCTGTCTGCGGACAAACGCCAGCTCCCTTGGCCTACAGAGCGAGATGAACGCGCAACCCCAGAGCCGTCCACGACTGGACCTAACTGTCAGGGGTACCTTTACCTTTATATATCTATTATGACGGTCCCAAATTCTCAGTACCTCTTAATGTGCAGTAAATGGACACCTGGCTCATGGGGCACAATGCTATGTATATTCATTCAGAAGTTCCACTGTGCTCAAAAGGTAATCTTCAATGGTGCTTTTAGTATTGCATCCTTAGTCATAGAATCAGGAACCTTAGCTAAAGAATCCATGACAGGTGGCCATCTAACCTCTGCTTTAAAACCTGCAAGGAAGCAGAGTCCACCACCTCTCGTGGAAGTCTGTTCCACTGCCTAACAGCTCTTATTGTCAGAAAGCTCTTCCTGCCTGCTGTTTAGTTTAACTTGAATCCATTGGTTTGAGTCCTACCCTCCAGAGCAGGAGAAAACAAGTTTGCTCCCTCTTCCATGTGACAGCCCTTAAGATATCTGAAGATGGTTTTCATATCTCCTCTCAGTCTCCACTTTTCCAGGCTAAACATACCCATCCCCTTCACGCGCTCCTTGTAAGGCTTAGTTTCCAGCCATTAATTTAGATGCAAACCCGTTCCATCGCATGTTGAAATATAACACAGAGATCTTTGATGTGCCCAAGGTGGGTGTGCTACATATAGAGTATGTTCCCTCCAGCAAAAGAAGAGAACAGAGTGAGCTTTAAGCATGTTGCCTTCGGTGATACATGACCTACAAAATAGAATGGTCAGCAATTCAGGGGATAGCTTCAGATTTGAAAAAAAATGGTATCACAATAGAGAGTATCAAGGACATCAAATCTGTTTAAGCCAAGAAGGTAAAGGATAAATAGTATGTGGCAGAACAAAAGAAAGATTTGAGTTGTTCTAATTTGGGGTTAAATCTGTTTGTATGTTATCCATTAGTGCCATCTGGTGGAACTCAGTAAGAATTAAGAAGGCAAAGCATTTGTTCCTTGAAGGCCAGCATGTGACCTTGCATTTTAGAATTAATAAATAACCTTGATTCAGATTAAGTGGATGATCATAGCTAGGCATCTGAGTTAATGACATCTTTAAATTTGTTTCCAAAGTTGAAAGTTGGACACTGGCAATTGCATCAGTTTAATAGTGTAAATTAAGTACATGCACTTTGGACAGAGCAATCTTATACTCACTTTATGCCAGAACTGGAGATATGCCAGCACTAGGCAATTGTATCCAGCATGTGCTCAGGCCAGGAGGGGAGGGGGAGATAATGCACAAACAGAAAATACAAAAATAGAGTGAAAATGATCGACAGCGTGCCTGAACTTTCACTTACACCAGCCAATCAAGGATTGTGCTGGCAATTACGCCCACATGTGGACGGAGCCAATGAACTCATTCCAAGAGGGACACCCCCTCCAGCGCTGAGCAGGCTGCCTACAGAGAACACACACAGCCGCCTTGGGACATGGATTCGAGACATGCCCAGTGAAGGGAGTATGCTTTTGCCAAGCTGGTAAGGGGAAGGGTCAAGAAATAATATTTATTTCTGTATCTATTTATCTAAGTTGCATACCGTCCTTCAACCGTAGATCTCAGGGCAGTTAACAGCATGAAATAAGGAGAACCACACAGACAGACAGACAGACAGACACACAAACACACAAACACACAAACACTGACAACAACAGCCCTCAGTGGCCCACTGCATAGGGCACAGGGTTGGGAAGACTGAAGGAGTTCACTTTGCCCTGCATGCATGAGGAGATGAGAATAATCCACCTTTAGACCACCCAAATTTTGCAGCTGTACCTTGCTGTGGTGTTTGTTTTTAAAGCATAAAAAGACCTGGCACAAGAAATTACACCACCTGAGGTGGGCAGAGGACACCGCCTCCTTCTGCCTTCTCCTCCCCACTTACAGTCTCCTCCTCCCCTCCTCCCTCACTGGCCTGCTAACAGAATGAGGTGGGAAGATGGGGCTGATCCGCTGGCTTCCCGGTTTGAGAGTCATGGGAATTGTCTTCAAGTCATTTTCAGACTGGTAGCCATGTTAGTTTCAGCAAAAAGGATAGAGAGTCCTGCAGCACCTTGCAGACTAAACAGACGTATTGTGACAAAAGCTTTTGTGAACAAGAGCCTATTTCATCCAATGCATAGCATTGTCCTAATTATATAATAGTACGACCTGGTGGAAAAGAGGGCAGGCCTCGTGTACCTTTACCCCACCTTGGACAGAGAGCAAGAATAGTTCAGGGATTTTTTTTGTGAACTATTTTTTCATGTGGTCCCAACACTCCCCACCAGAGATCCCGCCACCCTGCTTAAAGTGTGTGTTTTCACTCTACTGGAGTTCTTCCCGCCAACTGAACAAAGCAGTTCAGACAAGTTCAAATGATTTTAAAGTTTTATGGCCTCTGTCCAGTATATCTGAAGGAGCATCTCCACCCCCCATCGTTCTACCTGGACACTGAGGTCCAGCGCCAAGGGCCTTCTGGGGGTTCCCTCACTGCGAGAAGCAAAGCAACAGGCAACCAGGCAGAGGGCCTTCTCGGTAGTGGCACCCGCCCTGTGGAACGCCCTCCCACCAGATGTCAAAGTGAACAACAACTACCAGACTTTTAGAAGACATCTGAAGGCAGCCCTGTTTAGGGAAGCTTTTAATGTTTGATGCATTACTGAATTTTAATATTTTGTTGAAAGCCACCCAGAGTGGCTGGGGAGGCCCAGCCAGATGGGCGGGGTATAAATAATAAATTATTATTATTATTATTATTATTACTACTACTACTACTACTGGATACAGTCGTACCTTGGTTCTCAAATGGAATCCCTTCCAGAAGTCTGTTCGACTTCCGAAAACGTTCAAAAACCAAGGCACGACTTCCGATTGGCTGCAGAGGCTTCCTGCATTCAATCAGAAACCACAGAAGCCGCGTTGGACGTTCAGGTTCCAAAGAACATTTGCAAATCGGAACACTCACTTCTGAGTTTGTGGCATTCGGAAGCCAAAGCGTTCGAGTCGCAAGGCATTCAACAACCAAGGTACGACTGTACTCCTTTAACATACAAAAGAATAAGAAATGACACACAAAAGAATAAACAGCACAACATCTGCTCAGGGGTAGGGGATGCTGGAGGTGACAGGAGAGAGAGAGAGAGAGAGAGAGAGAGAGAGGAAGCTCTGATGCGTTTGCAAAAGTCAATTGCACCCATAGAGCTGAAACATTGGATATGACCCTTTGATTGTCATGTATCTAGCAGCACCACATACACCTTTGTTCTTGATGGCGTTCTCATCATTTGCCTAGGTAGTTGGATTTTCATCCCTGTTATGTACTGAAGTTCTCACCCTGGGCCAGCAGGGGAATACTGTAGATAGTTTTCACTCAGGTCCACATATGCAAATAAGGGATTGAAAGTGACGTTCAGTGATTGGATAGTTACAGAAATTTGTTACAGTTGCGTTGTAGTGGAGCTCTATATAAGCAGGCTGGCTGAACCCTTCAGTTCAGTTCTGTTCTGGCCTGTGAATAAACAAGAACTGTTTGAAGAATCGCTGTGTCGTCTGATACGTTCACCCACAACTTAACAATCCCCTTTTTGCGATCCCCGGAAACAGCTGGCTGGGTTGAGCAGAGCTGCTATGCTATTTTCCCTCTTTCGAAATAAGATTCATAACTACTACTACTACTACTTTTTATTTATCCCCAGCCACTCTGGGTGGCTCCCAACAGAATAATAATAATAAAGCGATAAAACATCAAACATTACAAACTTCCCTCAGCAGGTGGGTGTGGGAGAGAGAGAGAGAGAACATGCATGTGTTATTCTAGTTCTATGACAGTCACAACTGCATAAAAGCAAACTAGTTACAGTGACCATTGAAGAGGCCATGTTAGTGACAAGGAACACAAACACATTGGCCTTGGTAAATGTATCTTAACTTTGGAGCAGACATATGTTAGACTGCATTGGAAAATGCCTTGCTTAATAGTCCTTTGGGGAGAAAAATGCAAGTATAGATGATTTTCTTGAATACACACACAAACACACACGACTAATTGTAGCTTGGGAGAGCAAGGGGATTCAGAATGGAAAATAGATCCATGAAAAGGGTTAATGTGTCCACTTCCAGTGCTCCAATCAACTTCAGAGACCCCTGCATCTGTTTTAAGGTAAAAGAAGGAAAGGAAACAAAAAAGTTCAGAGAGCCCATCATGGATTTCCCGCATCGTGTGTGGTTTGTCCCTCATCTAGCTTACTAGTCAAGGTTGTGTATTTATTTTGTTATCTAAAGACATACACCAGTTTCAGCAAGAAATCTCAAGAAGGTTGCAATTATGTTCAATCCAATGGCTCATCCGAAAGATCTGCCAACATCCAGAAGAGGGCAGTAATGTACCTGCAGGAAAATACATCTATCCAGTGCTTTTTTTTCTAAAAAATAATAATAATAATGTTTAGGGGTACTCTCTTTTTGACTCAAGAAAATCACCATTTTATAGTTCAAATCAGGGGGAAATAAATACAGTAAATGGACAAAAGTACAAAGAATCACAAAATGTTTAGGGATATGCATACCCCTGCGTACCCCCAGGGGAAAAAAGCACTGCATCTATCCATTTTCACTCTCCTTAGCTCTATGGAGAAATGACTGATTTCTCCCTTTTTGTTGGAGAAACTGCATCTCTGTTTCAAAACGTTGCTGCTTTGCACCTAGTTGATGAGGGTATGGATAGATGAAACAAAACTATTGGTTGCCATTAGCATCAAAGGGGGGGGTGCGTCTTTAGCACATCATCTCAGTGTTCTGTCAATGGATCTATACCAGGGTTGGGGAACTGGATCCGGACAGAGGACTGGAACCAGAAACGACCAACCCTCAATGGACCACTGTGATTACAAAATGGCATTTGAGAATCATGTTGAGTATTACAGTGTTATGTACTGAGTTGAATAGGATCCAAAATGCAGCAGTCTGATTGGTCCTAGAACAATAGGATTCAGAACGCAGCAGCCTGATTGGTCCTAGAACAATAGGCTCCAGAATGCAGCAGTCTGATTGGTCCACAGGAGCCACCCAATCCAGCTCCAGGTGGAAGTGAATCCGCGACCTGATTGGCCTTCAGGAGAATCCCGGAATTAGCCAATCACGTGGGGCTCATTGTGTAAATAATGTATATAAGTCATACATTCTGGGGGAACTTCCATTCCTCCTCACCACTATGAGCTGAATAAAGAGCATGAAATCCACTCTTGACTCCGAGTATATTTCATACAGTAAAGGGAGGAGGGTTTGCTAGGAGTTGGGGAAGTGGGGCTGGCAAAGGGGCTGCCAGTGTTGGAGAGCAGCAGCAGCTCCTAGTATATAATATAAATGATCCTGATTTCTTTAAAACATGGAATTAAGTGCTCTATACTAATTTTAAAAAATGCTAGTGCAAAACCACCTAATTATCTTCTATGTTGCTGATCCAAGAGGAATATGTTGATGGCATTTTACCATTGTACTTTTGAGAGTGTATTAACTTATGGTCTATGTGTGTGGTTTGGGAGCTGCACGGTCAGGGGAAAAACAATGTTGTCCAGGGTTGTAAAGACTGTGGAGAGAATAATTGGGTGCACTCTCCCTACCTTGGATCAAATCTATGCTTCCAGGTGCCATAAGAAAGCTGCAGAGGTAGTGCAGGATAGTGAGCACCCCGGAAATGATCTCTTTCAGCTTTTGCCTTCTGGAAGAAGGTACAGGTTTATAAAGTCTAGGACTAGCCGCATGAGAAACAGTTTCTACTCAAATGCGATTTTGGTTTTAAACGCAGTGTAAGGTAGTCTCTATGGGAGTATATTGTATTTAATGATGGGGTATCAGAGTAGAGAATGCTGAAAGGACCCTTAGCCATAACAAATTTGATAGCTGTGGCCTTTAGTTGATGTTGCATAGTAAGCTAGATAGATAGACAGACAGACAGACAGACAGATATACATATCTCTCTCTCTGTGTAGACACATGTTTTTACAGGTTTTTCAAAAGGAACATGACCCTACTTATCAAACATTTTCCCTTACCCACACAAAACACAAATTCTTATGGGGAAATGATGCATAGTGTTGAAGGTTTGAAGGCAAATGTGTTTTAGTGGTAACGCTCTGGATAGTGTTTGATATTAACCGCCTTTTCTCTCACCTTATGCATTTCCATAGTTTTTGAACGCTGAAATAAAATGTGGAAAATAAAAAGCAGTACTGTATCATAGGTTTTTATTTCATTCCCCCTTCCCTCTTTTTTTCTTTTCTTTTTTTTACTAGTAGGTGGAAAATTTTCATTAAACAGATACAGTGGTACCTCGGGTTAAGTACTTAATTCGTTCCGGAGGTCAGTTCTTAACCTAAAACTGTTCTTAACCTGAATCACCACTTTAGTTAATGGAGCCTCCCGCTGCCACCGCCACGCAATTTCTGTTCTTATCCTGAAGCAAAGTTCTTAACCCAAGGTACTATTCTGGGTTAGCAGAGTCTGTAACCTGAAGCGTATATAACCTGAAGCTTATGTAACCCGAGGTACCACTGTAATATAATCTTACTGCATCATCTGCCCTTAATAACATTACCATGCTGGTACTAATTTAAATATCTGGAAGTTGGCCACTTGCTCTGAACACTCTCATTTGAACTATAACAACAATCCAGTCCTATATACATATCTATTCAGAAGCAAGTGTCATTGAGTTCAATGGGACTTACTCCCAGGTAAGTGAATACAGAATTGTAGCCTATGATGCCTTAATAACATTGAACCTCTAGCAACAGTTGCTTAAAATATGTTAGTTATTTCAAATGAAAGAAGCAGAAATGTATCGATAATTAAGAAAAATTCTGGAAAGGGCAGGATTTATTAAAGCTTTTCATACTGTACCCTGTGCAAATGGGTATCTGAGGGTTGGTTTGGGTTTTACAATCAAGTGATTTATACTTTTTCCTAAATAAATGAATAAAATATGCCAGAATTTTTTATTTTATTTTATTTTATTTTTTATTTTTTTGCAGCTTCAAAATCCTACCCTCAGGTAGATAGATCATGTTTGGCTAAAACATGTAGTGCAAATATAACCATTCACATAGCATTCAAAAATACCTAGTCTAGCAAAAGCCAGTATATTTGATTCAGTCACAGCTTATTTTTAGGCTGGCTAGCTATCAAACTCCCACAAGTTCTTGCAGTCTTTCCAAAGAGAGACTGAAAGGTCACAGGTCTCTGGAAGATCCAAAAACATTCATATCCGTTGCAGCTTTTATTTCATTACAGGGGTCCTGCTCTTTTAATAGTTCCATTGCAGGCAGAAGTTTAATAGATGCAGCACTCTCAGCACAGAAAGGAAGAAGACCCTGTTGAATTTCTATATGCCTTGTATTATGAAACAAGTGGTGTTTTCCAGCACCTCTGCAATGTAAACATGTGCAAAACAACAACTGTTATGTACTGAAGTTCTCACCCTGGGCCAGCAGGGGGATACTGTAGATAGTTTTCACTCAGGTCCACATATGCAAATAAGGGATTGAAAGTGACATTTAGTGATTGGATAGTTACAGAAAATGGTTAATGTTTCATTCTAGTGGAGCTCTATACAGTGGTAGCTCGGGTTAAGTACTTAATTCGATCCGGAGGTCCATACTTAACCTGAAACTGTTCTTAACCTGAAGCACTACTTTAGCTAATGGGGCCTCCCGCTGCCACCGCCACACAATTTATGTTCTTATTCTGAAGCAAAGTTTTTAACCTGAAGCACTATTTCTGGGTTAGCGGAGTCTGTAACCTGAAGCATATGTAACCTGAAGCATATGTAACCCAAGGTACCACTGTATAAGCAGGCTGGCTGAACGCTTCAGTTCAGTTCTGTTCTGGCCTGTGAATAAACAAGAGCTGTTTGAAGAATCGCTGTGTCATCTGATATGTTCACCCACAACTTAACAACAACAATGCAACAAATGACGCAGTTAGCATCTTACCAGATGAGTCCAAGGCTTTCTTCATTGTTGCACACACAACCCAAAAAATTTGCTTTGCCTTTCAAGTTAAGGCAACTCTCCAATATTATTCTAAGGAGTTCAAATTTAGGGCCTGCCCCAGAATTGGAGGTTCGGTGCTTTGCACCCATGCATTTTCCCTGCCTCTTATATATCTTCCATAACCCATCTAATCTCTATTATTGCTGCTCCAGCTCCTATTATATATTAGGTTCAGAGAAAGAAAGAATAAAAGGCTTCCACCCTCTCCTTTTAGACGTCCAAGATCAGGAGTTTACAAGAGGAAGTGGGGAGACTTGCAAAGCTGTGTATTTGACAGTCATATGACATAATAATCTAGGTCATGTATGATTGTGCTTCCAAAAGTTATGGGTCCATGTCCTGCCCACTGCATGACTGGCTAGAGATGGAGGCAAGCAATAGGCCATTTTCTGACAAGGCATGCAGCGTGGCTCAGGTTATTGCACACTGTCATCTGTACTGCAAGCGGCTAATTTGAGGTTTCACTACTGCAACAATGTCATGAAGAGCTTTGGGAAAATAGAAATACGTATGCATAAGCCTTAGTAATGTGCATTCCCACCATTCCTTTTTTGCACCTCACTTTGCTCATATCTCAATGTTTCATTGCTGTGTCTGTTTGTATGCAGAAGTGTGAGTTTCCCCCATATGGTTTGCGGTTATGCTTTGGCCTGTGTCAAACAGGAATTATGTTGACATCAGGGAAACATATTTCATGTTCAGCGTTCATTTTATTTTAAGATCCTTGCGTTACTTGCACATTCCAGAACGACAGTGTTCACGTGAAATGCTATTCTTGTGCAAAAACACCCAGAACGTTTAAGAAAAAAATTGAGGCGATGCTGACTTGAACAATGACCTATGGGGAGGAACCGTAGAGACCCAGAAGAGGAAACAAGAAGTGGAGGGAATGTAGGAGGGAGAGAAACAGAGATAATGATAGGGCACTCTCTCTCTCTCTCTCTCTCTCTCTCTCTGTGTGTGTGTGTGTGTGTGTGTTCAAATAGGGTGGACAAGACCACAGATAACTTAAATCCAGAGCCTGCATAAATATGGCAGATAGCATAGACAGGCAACTATGAGCAGGCTATAACTGATTGCACACAAATTCCATGCTTCAGAGTCACAGCAGGATATATAAACCCCTGGTGACAGTGTATATAAGCACCACTATAGATAATATGATTAACTAATCCATCAAACATGTTAAACAGATCCAGATCCACACTTCAGTGTTGGAATTTGGCTTAAGGTCTGGATTTTTTTGAGGTTCAATAAATTATGGCTTTTGAGGTCTACAGGAATTTTGAAAGCTGCAGCAGCTTCTGAAAGCAGAAATCAAAGACTGCCCGCTAGTTACATACACAATTAAGCAGCAGGATCTCAATTTAGAGATCTGATTCTGCATGAGGATTGTTGTGTGTATGCCTCCAACAGCAGCACTTTAAGCAGAATTTGAGCAGGTGCAGGTTTTTTCATGGAGTGGTGAAGAAGTGATGGGGAATCTGCACTAGTAGCAGAGGATGAAATACCTGATAGAAACCAGTACTGTATTTGATTATAAATAAATAAAAATTGTCCAGTAGCACCTTAGAGACGAAGAATATGAAGAAGTGTGCATGCACACGAAAGCTTATACTCAGAACAAACTTAGTCAGTCTCTAAGGTGCTACTGGACACTTTTTTTTATTTATTTCGACTGTGTCAGACCAACATGGCTAACTACCTGAATCCAATATTTCATTTTCTGCCTTTAGAAATGTCACATGGACCAAAGAAATATGGAAAAGCAAAATATGTCCAAAGCTTCTGATGACCAGGGAGGTAATTTATGCCTCTTTAGGAGAGGAGACTGGTCCCTACATGCCTTAAAGGCATCTCCAAACAAGTTCAGGACCTGCACTGTCTTTCCAGGTACTGATGGAACAAAGCTTGGTGTAGTTTTTTGAGACTTTGGCTCATGGGGATTTATTTATTTAAATATATTTACTACCTGCCCTTCCCAAAAAGGTTCCAGGGCAAGTTACAAAACAGAAAAGAACAATGCCACCATATATATATAATATGGCATACATATAAATGAAAAAACCCAGCCACAAAGTCACCGAACCCAAATGCAATATTTTATTTATTTATTCGGGGAGCTTTTCTCCAAAACGGAGAGGTCAAGGTCTGGAAAATAAAAACACCAGCGAGTAGTAAATAAGCACGTGGTGGCAGATCCACCCATGGGCGTAGCCAGGATTTTTGTTGGGGGGGCTGAGGTGGGCGGGCAGCCAAAGCTGTTGAGCTTCTTTTAGGAAATCAAAGTTGAGCTTTTCTTGGTAAAAATGCTCCGTAAATAGGACATTGCGGGGGGGGGGCAGCAGGCTTCTTGGGGGGGGGGTGAAGAACCTCAGATAAATGAATACTTTCCATGCTTTTCAAGCTTGGCGGGGTGAGCGGGGCTCAGTATAATAGCCGCTTCCTCGCCCGAAGCGGCATTTGCGGGATTCCACCGCCTGTTGCCTCTGACGTTTCCAAGACAACCACACCCCTCCTCCCCTCCCTTCACGTTCGGGCATTGGCCTCGCCTCGCCTCCCTCCGCACGTGATCGCGGCGGCGCTCCCCCCCCTTTCCCCACGCTCATCCGGGCTTCAGCAGGCCGCTTCCGGGTGGGTGTGGGGCTCGGCGTTGTCCTGCCCTGAGGCGGTGGCGGCGGCGGGAGGCGGGCCAAAGGAGGAGGAGGTGGAGGTTCCCGTCAACATGGCGGCGCGCAGAGCGGGCGGCGGCGGTGGCGGCGGCCGCCGGAGCGGGAGCAGCAGCAGCAGCGCCTGAGGCGTCGCGGAGCGAGGCGCCATGGAGAGCGAGGAGGAGCAGCACATGACCACGCTGCTCTGCATGGGCTTCTCGGACGCGGCCGCCATCCGCAGGGCCCTCCGCCTGGCCAAGAACGACATCAACGAGGCCGTGGCGCTGCTCACCAACGAGCGGCCCGGCCTGCACTATGAGCCCATGGACAGCGGAGGGGGAGGCGGCGGGCAGGGAGGCCCCCAGCAAGGCAGCGGCGGCGGAGTCTCGCGCGGCGGAGGGGACGGCGAAGGCACCGGTGGTGGTGGAGGAGGAGGCCAAGGTGGAGGCGGCAGCGGCGGCACTACCGGCTTCGACCCGCCCCCTGCCTACCATGAGGTGGTGGAGAACGAGGTAACGGTCTCTGGGCGGAGGATGGGAGCGGGCGAGGCTCGCCTGTGCTTTGCGCCGCCGTTAAGCGGGATCCCAGCCTGACCTTTGGCCCCACCGCCCCGTTGGAAACGCATCGGAAGGGGGACGGGATCGCCTTAAAATACCGCTTTGGTCTTGAGAATGAGAGGACTGGGGGTACCAAGAGCTTGCAAGGATAGGAACCGCGCAGCCCTGAATCCTCACCTCGATTTCTTCTCAAGGGGCCCCTCCCCCAGTTTCCACGAGTTTATAGGGACCCCGCCAAGCGCGCCTTGGGGGTCTTGGTGGAGTTGACCCCCCCCCCAAAAAAGCAGGCGGGTTTTCCCCGGCGTCTTGTGCATGAGCTGTCAGGTGCATAACCCAAGCTTCAAGTGCGATCTGCGTTTGGGTGCCCTGGTTTGTCACCGGAAGAGGAATGTAGCCTGGAGCCTAGGAAAAGGGATTGCTGTGCTATGCCTAGGCTGCAGTGGTGGAGGGTTTGGAAGCTGGTCACTTGTGTGTGTGCAGACTCATTCTTTCATTATGAGGTGCCCATACTAATACTTTACATATCTAATCCAATGTAGGCCATATTGCTTTCAGTTGAGTTTGCTCCCATGTGTGTATAGTTTTGCAGCTTTTGTTAACCAAGGAGTTCTTTGAGCACGCATGCAATTCTTTATAGCAACACTGACCTGATTGTCTTACTTGAAAGAGTCTGGGTGGCTTACAAGCAACAAAATCAGTAAAATGATCCAAAACCATGAATTAGGTAGGAGGCTTTAAAACTATTGCATCATTAGTGGTTGAGGTAGAACTGGATTTGATGCTTATCTAAAAGTGATATTGATAGGCCCAGGTGCACTTCTTTTGGGCAGCTGTTCCAAATCTTAGGCACCACATCTGAAAATACTATATCTCTGGCACTATCCTGCTATACTGCTGATGGTAGAGAGACTCAGCAAAGAGTCTCATTAAGCAAACAAAGTTCTCAGTTATGTTCATCTGGGAGAAGGAGATTTTTGAAATATTCTTGTCCCAGATTGCTTAGAGCTATAAAGCTCAATAGTTTTGTGCACTATATCACATAGGTAGCTATGTTGCATGAGCAGCAAGTCATAACATATTCAGACATGGGCAAAAAATAAATAGAGGTATAAAATACGCATTATGACAAAACCTCATAAAAGCATATTGTGTCAGGAACTTAAGAGTTGTAGTCAGTTAACTTTTACTCAGAGTGGACCCATTGAAATGAATGGCCATTTAGGTCTGTTAATTCCAGTGGATCTTCGCTGAATCCAATAATTAATGTTTGGATCGTGTAAGCTGATCCAGACATTCAGTAGCAACTTGCCTGGTGAGCAGTGTGGAGGTTGGGGCTGTCTGGGCACATCCAGTCCTGCCAGTACACCTGCACAGTCTCTGCCACCTTGCCCTCTTCCTCTTGGTAGTGATGCGACTCTCCCCACTGAGTGAGCTGCTTCTGACTATGTTGCAATAGGTAAGAAAATGAATAGCATTCCTACAATTGAATGGGTTTGGGAATAGGAATGAAAGGTAGGCGGCTTCCTCAGCTGCTTCTTGGTGGAGTCACTCTGAGCACTTCTACCAAGTGCATATTCTCTGCTGCCTACAGGAAAGGTGATGGGGGCTTCCTGGGGAGATACACTACCAAATATTGGCCAAGGATAGCATGGACTCCTTTGACTTCTGTACAAGATAGGAATTCAGAATGTATCTGGGACATCATCCAAGCTGTCAGTGGAGAAGCAACATGGCAACATTGTAGACCTCTGATACAATCTTATTCTGATCCATCATACACTGAAAGAACTAACTTATACTCTACTTTTTCTTCCATACTTTCTGCTCATTCCGACCTGCAATGCTGATTAGATAACATTCAGGTATGAATTTGTGGTTTGTCTCCAGTAATGTACCAGCACGGTTCACCTAGCACAATGGGATTGTTTCTTCTACCCCCCCCCCAAAAAAAAACCCTCTGAAGCTGAATTTGACAGCAGGCAATGGCCAGAAAGGGACAGAAGAGGAAGCTCCATTGCTTGCACGGAAGCCCATTGCACTGGTGAAGCTGCAGTGTTGGGTACAGCCCTGTGTTTCTAGTTGTATTTTGTAACCAAGAACAAGTGCCTGAGTTTGTTTTTGGCTCCTCCCTGCCAAGGCCACTTTCCTTTTGAGTCAAGTAAGATTATAAGCTTTAGGTCAAAGACTGTCTTATTACTTGCTTTTCTATGTAGCAGCCTCCCTTTTTTTGGCTGAGGAGTGAGATAAAAATCCTTCAAACAAACAAATGCTACTTAAATTCCTTATCATATTCCCACCCCAAGACTCCAGAAGTGATGTTATTGTATGAACCATTTTAACAGATAAATAAAAAGTTAAAATCAAATTTGAAAAGCTGGTTTTTGTTGTGAAGAAAGAGACAGATGCCTGGGGTTGAGAACTCTGGCTGGGAGCTCTTTTGCCAGGCTTGGCTGTGTACGAACTCCTTCCTTTCCTTGCTCCCAGTTCTCCTAAATTACATGCTGACAACTGAATCACGACTAAAAAGGTAAATAAACATAGGAATCCATGAGCATGTTCTTGTAGTAAGTTGGGAATTTTAATTATGTTGGGAACCAGCACAGAAGTCTTGTTTTGATTCTTAAGCATTTACTATTCTTCGCAGTTGTCATTACTGTAGTGCCACATCAGTGATTAGTGCCGTATAACCACCAAATATTTACCTAGTCAGTTTTTGGTGTGCCATGTAAGAGCCAAACTATCTATCTCTTTATTTATTTCACAATGTTTATATACTGCTTGAGTGTAATGAAACCTCAAAGCAGTTTACAAAAAAACCCCACACCCACCTACGTAGGACATTGGTGACTGGATTAGCCAACATTTTGATTCTTTCTTTAAAAGCTGTCACAGGAATAACACAATTAGATCTGATCAGTAGTGCTGAGGAAAAGTAGAGACTTTCTCTCCTGTGTTAATTTCTGTTCTGTTTGACTCTCTTGGGAAAATACAGATATCTAAATATTTGGTCCTAACAGAGATAAGCTGCCTTTACAGTTTCCTGTACCTGGTTTTGTTCAGCAGCTATGCAGTGCCAGTACTAATAATCTAAAATAACACATTGGCCAAAAAAGAACGGGACTATTCTTTTTCACAAAGAGTCCACTACTTGTATTTCTGCACTGTACATCTGTTCATCACATAACATTCATATTCAGAGTACCCTTCCCATCCATCTGTTCATGCTATAACATTCATATTCAGAGTACCCTTTTCCCATCAATCCCATCTTGGGTGATGCAAGACTTGAGAGTAGCAGAACACTTCACTGTAATGTGTGTTCCACTATAATCATGTTCTTTATTTTTGTGTGTGTTCACACATGTACAATTGCTGTGGCAAACTATGCTTATGCATAGCTTCATATATTTAAGAGCATTGCATCATTCACTAAACATTCTGAATCATTTTATGAATGTTTAATTCTTGTCAATAAACTAAAAATTTAAGATATAGTGTTTTTAGAGTGCATAAGTGATATTTTTTATCCGTGAGACAGAAAGTTGCTATCTTAATTTTAAGATGAAGGGACTCGAGTATTTTAACCAGAGTTGGCCGAGCTTCTCTTCCCCCACTCCTGTGGCATACATTGGCCTAAAAGTTAGAGCTAGGGGGCTGCTTCAGAGGACTACTCTTAGGGTAACTGGGATGGGCAGGTGACAGAAGCTTACCATACAGGTGGCTCTGGGAACAAGAGGGTCTCTTTATGGGAGTAACTGTAGTAGGGCAGTCTTTCAGGGCAAGTTGTAAAATGGAAAGTCCTTTCTGGCTTGATTTTTAATCTGGGCTGGGGAAGAGTTTGGGAGCTTCTAATGGTCACCTCTCCTTCCAGTTATAGTGCGATGTACTGCTAGAATTTAGTTGTCTGTGTTCACGTTGCATAGCTTAGTACTACATCCTGAAGTGCAACAAGTTAACTTAGAAAGTTTGAACAGCTATTGTATAGAATAAATATATACCCCACAGATTCAGATGTTATATTTTCAAAAACAGGTATATTCAGTTATGTGGTACCTTCTCTGAAGGTAAAGGTCTGACCACAGCGTATCAAATTTCAGAGCTCTAACTTATTGGGAAACACCGAAACAATTTTCATATTCCTATCAGGCCAAGCACCTGATACATAGTGGTCTGACACATGTTTGCCAAGTGCAAATTTTTACTTGTGAACAGCTCTTAAGAGTGTTTGTTTTTTATGGTTTGGCATTTACCTAGTTGCTCCTCTGTTTTCCTGTATATTATTACTCAAATTTCTTAACTTGCCCTTCAAGTTGCAACAATTTAAAAATACAGTATTAAAAACAGTTGAAGCAGATTACAATCAAGAATAGGATGTGTTCTAGTTGTATATATATTAATTGTTTTGTCTTTTGGTTATAAATCAAGTGGGGAGTTGAAGCCTGAAAAATAGTGTAAAAACTTAAGTATACAGTAGTTTCTTCACATTCTCCATAGATATGTTCATTATCACTTTTGTGCCAACTTCATAGCTTTCTGAAATTACGGGTTGCAGTTAAGTCAAATGATAGCATTGATTTCATTGTTTAACTTTGTCTGCCTGTGTTCTGTTGATTTTTAGAGGAGGAGTTCTTAAAATCTTAGATATGGAAGGACTGTGCCACCAGCACGTTAACCCTTTTGTGTAAATTATAAAATACGGCCATATGCATTTTGTGTATAACACGTTTCAGGATTAAAGCATTTTTCTATGTGGTGTTCTTGGGTTCCTGGTTCTGTAAAACTGGAATCTCAATATGCTTTCAGCACTTTCATTTCTTGAATAAAAAATATTTATGGACATTGTCTTTTTAACCTTCTCCGCAGCTGTTATAGTCTTCAGTATTTTTCTTACTGTTAACTTCCACCTTTAAAGGGTTTCCAAATCCCATGTGAAATATTTTTCTGTTTACTGAAGCAACCTCCAGGCGAAGATTAACACTTGATGTGATCTAAATGTTTATCATTGGTGGAAGTGGGAGGCCATTTATGCATGGAACAAACAGCAGCTCAGCTGGGCAGGAAGTGTCTTTCAGATAATGTTCAGTAGAGACATTTTCTGGTCATCTTCCCAGTCAGAAGTTCTATTCAATGACAGCTGCTTAATAAGGAAGTGAAATGCTGGAGGAAAATGAGGCCAGTGTTAGAAGTTAATTCTACCAAACACATTTTGACTGTTTCTGGATAAGAACAGGAGTCTCTTATAAGAAAAGGCCTGGGAGGATCCTAATCTTTTATAGGTTTTATTTGAAAACAACTTACTTATACAAAAAAGCTTGTCTGGGATAGCGGAGGCAGAGGTCTGACAGTTTATAACAGATCCTCATTTGGTGTCAACTCTTTTTCACCTGTTTTTTGCATGTATTGTTTGCTTTCCTTTGCTTAATATAAAAAACTGTCTAGATGAACTTTTCAAATTCAGTGTTAACTGACAAATATAAAAGGGAGCTATAAAATTGTAACTAAGTAGATCTATACGCTCTGAGTTATTGTGTGAATCATTCGATGCACCTGTGTTTCAAATCACTTTTCCTGTGGCTGTCAAGTATGGAATAAAATGTCCTGTCTATGGCAGCATCCTGATCTGGATGCTAGCACCTGACAGAAGGACAGGGGGAAGCATTCCTATTACCATGCCATGGACAATTATCCTTGTTTCACTATGAATATATTTAGCTGGTATTATAGGATTTAAATTCTGAATGTGTTATCTTTGTGAATGTACAATCTTGGGCACCCCAAAGGAAAGGACAGTGGTGATTAGCACTTTTCCCTTGGGAATGGGAAAAAGAAGTAATGCTAGAGAGAGCTGTTAAAGTACCCATAACTTATATAATCCTGCAGCAATATAGATGAACTAAAATAAATAGGCAGCTTGTGGTTTAATGTTTGATGAAAACTGTGCTGTAAAAAATGAATCGCACTGTTGTGTTTTCCTAGGCTTCCATTAAAGAGCTATACCTGCATTTGCATTAAGAAATGCAGGCAACAATAATTCATTCTATAGAGGAAAGCATAACTTGCAGGGCTGAGCTACATCCAAATATCCCTCAAAGTTCACACTTCATTTGTGCAGAATCGGAATACAGTGGTACCTCTGGTTATGAACCTAATTCGTTCTGGAGGTCCGTTCTGAAACCGTTCTTAACATGAGGCACCACTTTAGCTAATGGGGCCTCCCGCTGCTGCCACACCGCCAGCACGCGATTTCTGTTCTCATTCTGGGGCAAAGTTCTTAACCCGAGGTACTACTTCTGGGTTAGCGGAGTCTGTAACCCGAAGTGTTTGTAACCTGCGGTACCACTGTATTACTTGCATGTACATGCTTGCCACTTTCCTGACTAGGTTACTTACATGATTTTCTTCTAGGATAGTGAGATGTTATTTTGCAGTTGCTGTAGTCGTCCACACACTGGCTACTTCCAGGCTAGGCTGCTGTAATGCGTTTTACGTAGGGCTACATTTGAAGGCAGCTCAGAAGTTTCAATTGGTACAGAATCCAGCCGCCAGGTTGCTTGGAGAGCAAAGAAGTCTGTGTATATAACACCCATTCTCCTTCAGTTACTTGCGTTGCCTGTTTCTTCTAAGCTCAGTTCAAACTGCTGCTGAGTTTAACATTTAAAGCCTTTAATGGTTTTGGAATAAGTTGTTTGAAGAACTGCCCATGCTCTTATGAGTGAACTCTAGGTGCAAGATAATCCTTGGGGACTCTGTTGTCTGGCCTACCATAAAGAACAATCAAGTTTGCAGATAGCAGGGACGGGGCTTTTGGGGATGAGACGGGACACCACATCTCTGAAAGTCTTTCCCCCAAAATGTGTTTGAACCCTCCACTTGAGTATTTTATGTGGGCCCTGAAAAGTTTATTTTGTTCTGTCAGACTTTTTGTGATCCTGTTGCTGGGTTTTTGTGCTATTTTTTCAGTAATTATGATGTAGTTTTATTGTGCTAAAAAAACGCACCTTGGGAGGGCATACCTTGAAAGGTGACTTATAAATGATTCAGATAAATAAATGATGTGTAGTTTTGTGCTCTGTGATTTTGCTGTCATGTGTAGCATTGTTTGGTATGCTAGTTTTGCAGATAATGTGATGATGCCGTGCACAGCCTCACAGTAGCTCAGTGTTGACTGAATAACATGTCTGATGTTGTTTCTGGCTCTCTTTGCCATGATGGATAGTGTGGAGACTGCTGCTCTGCTCTTAGCAGCAACCTCTGACCCTGTACTTCTCCTACTTGCTCTACAGTCTAACCTCAGGAGGCTCTTCTGCAAAACCTCAGAGGTTTCTGCACTGTGTCGGAGGTCGTGGGTAGTGGCTCTATCAAAGATTGGCTGTATCTTGTTTTAGCCTAGTTAAGTAGATTGAGTTCGGGACATCAATGGGGATATATGAAGAGATTGGAATCTGTGTTGAAACTGCGTTAGGGTAAGTCCAAGATTGAGCACTTCTGAGCTTGTGCAGTCTTTTTTCCTCTTGAAGGGAATATCCCTTTGCAAATATTAAGTGTTCTCTTTGTTATCATCAGGGTGCTACTATCACCACACTAAAAAAAGCATTCCTCCCTACATATATTCCATAACCCATAGTATATGTATTGCATCACTTAGCCCAATAATAGCATCATTTCATGAAATGAAATTTCTAGCCTTTACTCAATTGAAATGATTGTCTTTATTTTGCCTCTTCTCCTGTGCGCATCATTGAGCTTGGCCAAGGGGCAGACAACTGCTAGGGAATTTCCTAAAGGGTCTACAAAAACATCAGAATATATGAACCTATGGATGGCATTATAGTTCAAGAACATCACTCCCCCTCTCTCTATATAGTGTAGGACCTCTATAGTCTAGGAGGGGTTCAGGGGGTGTTATTTTTATAGAATTTCCCTTCATAGTCAAAGATCCCCCTGTGTTTTAGGTTAATTGATAGAGGCATTGCCATACCACGAGCCCAGATGCTCTCACGGAAACTCAAGATGAAAGCTTGATCAATATGAGCAAGCGTCACTTGATCTCTATGGGAATCAGTTGAACCACCATACTGTACTTAGGATGCATAATTGTGTATTTGCAAGTGCATGTTCTGAGAGTATAAATGTTGAGAGATTATGTAGCATGTGGTATCACAAGATAAAGATATCTAAGAGTTTTCCTTGCTTTTCTAGCTGTTATCTTCAATAAAAGGGCTATTTTCATGTGATGTACTTTGGGGCGGGGAATCCTAAATGGTGACTGGTCAGAAACACAATTTTGAGGTTTTGACGGATAGCACAATGAAAATTTGACCCTGTGTGTGAATATTGTAATGCTGAAAAGGGTTCAATAAGAGGAGGGTTGTGAGGGAAGGTTTCAACATTTGCTTAGAAAAAAATGTGAAGAAGGAGGAACATGATAGAGATGTATTCATGCTGCAGAGAAAGTAGGTAGGGTGTTTTTCTCAGAATATCAGAGCCCATGGCTGTCCAATGAAGCTGGGTAACAGAAAATTCAAGACGGGCAAAGGGAAGTATTTCTTTACGTAGCACACTGTTAAACTAGCGATGACCACTTATGAACTCCTCCTGAATTTCCCATAGACCTCTAGCTGACCACTGTGAGAAAATGCAGCAGGGCTCTTCTTACATTCTTACTGCAATGCTCACCATTCTCAAATGCTGTTCTATAACCACAGTGTTGTTTTTTATATTTCAATCCATTGAAAAGATAGTATTTAATGTCCGTGCTTTCAGTTTGTTGTTGCTTTCCTAGATAATAGTTTCCTGCTCCACAGCACTTAATGTTCATTCTCAGATAGGAAGCATTATTTTATGAATGTGCAGTTGTTTTTAATACAGAGAGAGTGCTTGTTAGACCAGGAAATGAAAGCAATAAATGAGACAGTGGAGTGGTACTGGAAAAACAACCTGTGACTACTAGTTCACAAGTTTTGAACCTTGTCCAAGTACATACAATGATCGAAAATAGCCTGCTCACTGACTAGCCAGTGTGCAGTGAGTCATGGTTTTGGTCTTTTTGTGGTAGCTATGTGTGTTCATGAGAGTTTTATTGTTAGATCCATGCTTGGCATCAATTTGCATCCTGTTGGCACTTTTAAAAAAGGTTAAATCTCAAGCTGAACAATGGTCAGCACTTACTACCCAGTCTTGTACATGGTGAAGGATTTCATAGGCTCCACTGCTTTGAGCAGCATTGAATGCCTTTAGACCTAGGGTGCTCAAACTATTTGTTCGCAATAATAATAATAAAAGTTAAAGCCTCTCTTCATTAATTGTAACAAATTATTCGAATTGTTAGGCCTGCTAGACGGAAGTAGGTAAATTTAAGTGGTGTTTGGGGAATGGAGAGAGAGCAGGGATTTATAAAATGAAATGTGGGTTTTGTGCTTTCTGTTCGTAGAAATGGCTCCATAGGAAATGAAACTGATGAGAAAGTGGCATAAATGACCTTATTTGCTTTATTATAAATAAGTTGAAGGAATGTGCTGTCCACATGGGCTACATTAGTTGGGGTGGGTCAGATACCATCTTGCTCTTTGTTTGCTTTTATTTCCCCTTATGGGAATCCACCTTAGCCTTGTAGATCTGTACCTATGGATTTCAGAATCTTTTGCTGAAAATGTGAAAAATAATTAGAAAGTAACTATAGCAGAATGGTTTATAAACTAGATAAGGCACTCCTGCGGTAACCTAAAGAAAAATAGATAACTGTAAAGATTCTAAACCAAACTTTGTTTTGAGATTATGGTTTTCTCTGTTTCCTTATTCACTGCAGTAGTGATGATTTGGTTATTTAGATATAAAGGAGAAGATAAGTTCAAGGCCAAATAGATCAATATTGATTTGTTTGATATGATTGTCATATCCCTATGTAGATGCAGATGTGATAGCTGTAAGCCTTTCAGTGTGGAAAGAGCTCTTCACAAAGTTGTAGGTCTAGCTGCTCTTCGGCATGGTGATGGTCTTTTTCATGTTTTTCTTTCTTACCTCAGAAGTGGTGCACTCACTTCTTCTATGCATTATGATCTTGGACAGGTGAGTAGTCCAGTAAAGGCAGAAAAGAGAGGCACAGTCAGTGTACACATCCACTGTAATGCAGAACTATGGTAGCTGTATATTCCATATCTCCTACTGCCATAAAGCAGAGGTTGGTACCAAGGTAAAACTATTAGTGATTGCTCATTATAATGGCTGTATAGTTATTGTCTCCTGTATGATTGGCAGTATGCCTCTGAATACCAGTTGCTTTGGGTCATAAACCGGAAAATGTTATTGTGCTCATGTTCTGCTTGGGGGTTTCCATAGGTATCTGATGGGTCACTGTAGGGGCAGAATGTTGGCATAGATTGGCTTGCGCTCTTATATTATTAGAAGAAGCTGCATTTTTGTTGCATAGTGGGGAAGCAGAACCTTACTAGAGTGCCTGGCTTGTGGGTCTGGTATGATCAGATCTGTGGATGGGCAATTAATACTTCATTGTTAGCATGTTGGATTAATTATGTGATTATCAGAAGTTGTATTCTATATCTTTTAAATAATTAGGTGATTTCTTTTTGGTTTGAAAATGGTTGGAATAATGTCCTTCAATCCTTTCCAGACTTTTGATTCAGTAATCTAGGGAAACTTTTAAGTCAATGATGGTAGTACATCTGTCTCACCACTGTGCATATATATATGTCACAGTGCTAGATTCTGCATTAATCCTCCCTACTTTTTCTGGCAATTCCTTATTTTTCTGCTGGGTGCAGAAATGGTGGGAAAAGAGGACAGCAAATAGGCTTTGTTTTCTGAGTTAAGTAGAATTTCTGTTGCACAGGAGTTGCTTTGTAGTTGGAATGTCGGGTTTTCTGGTATGGGTCTGCTACAATCCCTTTTTATAACAGCCAGTAACTAGAACAACTAACTGTGGCTTCTTCATACAGCTAACTGTGGCTTCTTTTCAACAGAAAAATGACGAAAATGGGAACTGCTCTGGAGAAGGTATTGAGTTTCCTACAACAAATCTTTATGAACTGGAGAGCAGAGTATTAACAGATCATTGGTCCATTCCATATAAGCGGGAAGAATCTCTTGGCAAGTGTTTAATTGCATCCACTTATCTTGCAAGGCTGGGTAAGTTGCAACCTTTTTTTTTAAAGTAGCATCATAGAAATGTTGACTTTTATGTTAATAATGATGACTTGATAGTAAAAACCTGTCTACTCAAATAGCTTTTGACTTCACCTTTTTCCACGTTGCATGTTGGTAACAGGTGTTTAATTAACAAAATCTTTTCTTGTTGGAAGTAGTATGACTCTCTTGGCTTCAGTAGAGTGCTGTGCATTTTTAAGTTGATGCTTTCACCTTTTAATCGAATGTTTCAGAATCACTTTTGAATTATAGGTGATCTTTAGAACATGTAAAGACAGGCACAAATATATCCCTTCTTAAATATTATTTTGTTTGGTGGTTAACAAACTGTTGAATAGGCTGGTATGCTCAAATATTGGGGTGAAAATGAAATTTTATTTTCTAAACTTGCTTAAATATATTGCCAAGAGCAGGGCTCTTCAGGCAATTATAGAAAATTAACTGTGTTGTTTTGTTGCAGCAAAAACAAATGAGCTGCTCATTTAAAAAAGGCTAGTAGTAATGTTTTTTGATATGGAAATGCTTGTAGTCTAATTGCAGTATAATTAAATGGCGGTAACACTAGTCTGCAACATTTCAGTAGAACTTTTGCACACTTGGAAGAGTGTATTATGCATGTGGTGCTAAAGGTGATTATTTGGTGTTAGTTAAGTTGTGGTGGGGGTGCGGAAAGAGATTGGTCTTTTCTCATTATGAAAAAATCACAAAGTCTTCTGAAAACCAATTTCTCAAACTGTGAAATACCCAGCAATTAAAAAAGGTAAAGGACCCCTAACAGATAAGTCCTGTCACGAAAGACTCGGGGGTTGTGGCGCTCATCTCGCTTTACTAGCCAAGGGAGCCGACGTTTGCCTGCAGACAGTTTTTCCGGGTCATGTGGCCAGCATGACTAAACCGCTTCTGGTGAAACCAGAGCAGCGCACAGAAATGCCATTTACCTTTCCGCCCGAGTGGTACCTATTTATCTACTTGCACTTTGACGAGCTTTTGAACTGCTAGGTTGGCAGGAGCTGGGACCAAGCAACGGGAGCTCACCCCATCGCAGGGATTTGAACTGCCGACCTTCTGATTGGCAAGCCCTAGGCTCAGTGGTTTAGACCACAGCACCACTCGCGTTCCTTAACCGCTTCTCAAAGGGAACCGTGCCAAGCAATTGTTTCCTAGTTATTTCTGCTTGGCACATAGAAAGGGGTCTTGGAAAGGTATTTGCAAAGGGAGGCACAAAAATGGTTCCAGTGGCATTACTGATAACTTTGGCTTAGATCTGCATGTGCGTGCACACCTCCTTTTTCCTCATTTCAGGAATCTAAATCCTTACTAGGGTCTTTATTTTATTGGAGCTTCCAAACTCGTAGAGCCCCTGCCTCATAACTTAAGTCTCCAATGAAGTCTTGGGAATCTCTTTGCTTAGCTGGTGAGGAGGGTCTAATTGACAACACTTCTGAGGTGGTATGCAACAAATTAGATTGCGCAACAGAACCTCTCTGCCTGTGTGCCCCTTAAATGTGTTCTGGGGATATCCTGAACCCTCTGGAGCAGATTTGGGGAGAGAAGTTCCCTTGAAAAGAGGAAATCTTTGTGTCAGCAGAACTGCTTATTTGGATTTCACCCCTGAGCTTTTGATGATGCTTAAAGTTAAAAGGGGGGGGTGAGGAAGTAGCATGGCATCTCTGCATAAGGCAAGGACCAAAAGTTATTGGTAGAGTGTGTGCTTTGCATGCAAAAGACCCCAAAATCAATATCTGGCATCTTTCAGGTAGGCTGAGGAAAGACTCCTGTAACCCTGTAGAACCACTGCCAGAAATGTAGACATTACTGAGCTTAGAATGTTGGTGCATATGGTCAGACACAGGCAACAAAAGCTGAGAAAACTTGTTTTATTGGTGACAGAGGATAATGTGGCTTTTTGGCTTTTTGTGTGTGTGGTGCACAGTCGGGGGTGATTCAGCTGTATAGAATGAGCCAAGGACTGTATAAGCTATCTCCCCACACTAAACTGAACATGTTTGGAGACTGCCTGCAAGCACTTAAGGGTGAATGGAAGGCTCATGTAGATTCCTTTTATTGCATCACAGGAGTGTAAAGAATCATAGAATCATAGAGTTGGAAGAGACCACAAGGGCCATCGAGTCCAACCCCCTGCCAAGCAGGAAACACCATCAGAGCACTCCTGACATATGGTTGTCAAGCCTCTGCTTAAAGACCTCCAAAGAAGGAGACTCCACCACACTCCTTGGCAGCAAATTCCACTGTCGAACAGCTCTTACTGTCAGGAAGTTCTTCCTAATGTTTAGGTGGAATCTTCTTTCTTGTAGTTTGGATCCATTGCTCCATGTCCGCTTCTCTGGAGCAGCAGAAAACAACCTTTCTCCCTCCTCTATGTGACATCCTTTTATATATTTGAACATGGCTATCCTATCACCCCCTTAACCTCCTCTTCTCCAGGCTAAACATGCCCAGCTCCCTTAGCCGTTCCTCATAAGGCATCGTTTCCAGGCCTTTGACCATTTTGGTTGCCCTCCTCTGGATACGTTCCAGTTTGTCAGTGTCCTTCTTGAACTGTGGTGCCCAGAACTGGACACAGTACTCCAGGTGAGGTCTGACCAGAGCAGAATACAGTGGCACTATTGCTTCCCTTGATCTAGATGCTATACTCCTATTGATGCAGCCCAGAATTGCATTGGCTTTTTTAGCTGCCGCGTCACACTGTTGGCTCATGTGGTCAACCAAGACTCCTAGATCCTTTTCACATGTGCTGCTCTCAAGCCAGGTGTCACCCATCTTGTATTTGTGCCTCTCATTTTTTTTGCCCAAGTGCAATACTTTACATTTCTCCCTGTTAAAATTCATCTTGTTTGTTTTGGCCCAGTTCTCTAATCTGTCAAGGTCGTTTTGAAGTGTGATCCTGTCCTCTGGGGTGTTAGCCACCCCTCCCAGTTTGGTGTCATCTGCAAATTTGATCAGGATGCCCTTGAGTCCACCATCCAAGTCGTTGATAAAGATGTTGAATAAGACCAGGCCCAAGACAGAACCCTGTGGCACCCCACTAGTCACTCTTCTCCAGGATGAAGAGGAACCATTGATGAGCACCCTTTGGGTTCGGTCAGTCAGCCAGTTACAAATCCACTGAGCGGTAGCATAGTCAAGACCGCATTTTACCAGCTTCTTTACAAGAATATCATGGGGCACCTTGTCAAATGCCTTGCTGAAATCAAGGTAGGCTACATCCACTGTGTTCCCTTCATCTACCAGGCTTGTAATTCTGTCAAAAACGAGATCAGGTTAGTCTGACATGACTTATTTTTCAGAAATCCATGCTGACTATTGGTGATCACAGCATTCCTTTCTAGGTGCTCACAGACTGTTTGCTTAATGATCTGCTCCAGAATCTTCCCTGGCATTGATGTCAGACTGACTTGGGTGGTAATTATTTGGGTCCTCTCTTTCCGCCTTTTTGAAAATAGGGACAACATTTGCCCTCCTCCAGTCTGCCGGGACTTCGCCTGTTCTCCAGGAATTCTCAAAGATGACTGCCAGTGGTTCTGAGATCACATCTGCCAGTTCTTTTAATACTCTTGGATGCAGTTCATCTGGCCCTGGAGACTTGAATACATCTAGACTAGCCAAGTGTTCTTGTACTATCTCCTTAGTTATTCTGGGCTGTGTTTCCTCTGCTGAATCATTTGCTCCAAATTCTTCAGGTTGGGCATTGTTTTCTTTATCGGAGAAGACTGAGGCAAAGAAGGTATTGAGGAGTTCAGCCCTTTCTGTGTCCCCTGTTTGCATTTCACCATCTTCTCCTCTGAGTAACCCCACTGTTTCTTTGTTCTTCCTTTTGCTACGAACATACCCATAAAAGCCTTTTTTGTTGCTTTTAACCTCTCTAGCAAGCCTGAGTTCATTCTGTGCTTTAGCTTTTCTGACTTTGTGAAGGTGTTGAGCCTTCTTTGTAGAAGTGGAAGTGAAGAGGGAGAGAATAAAGTGAACCTTGTATGATGAGAAATGCATGTTATCCAGCCTTATAGAGTGTGCCAAGAGCAGTGGGGCCCTGCTGAGGTTCAGACCTATATAGGACTGGAGTTGTGTGCCCTAGATTTTCCCCCTCCCACTGATCACATACATTCTTAATGAAATGTGCCTTAGTTAAGGGATAAGGGAAATTAACTGTTCATGTACTCAGAGGCACTTTCCTTTATTATTAAATCAGAGCAAATGCAAATTGTTGGGATAAAAAAAAATTCATCCGAAATGGGGTCTCAGAAAGAGGAATACATTGAGGAGGGTGCAAGTGGACAGATTAAAACTTACTGTCTTACAGATATGGGAGCAATCAGCTGTCTGCCTTGATTTACAGCAGGGTCCCTAGCTGTCCTGGGCCCCTGGGCATATTTGGCATTTTCAAAAGGTGTTGTGAATAACACCACAAAATTGCTGCTGTGGAGCGAGCAGGGCAGAGAAGGCTGCAGGTCATAACATGACTGCTGTGAGTGTCATGCCTAGTCACAAATTTTGGAAAGTACGTCTCTCCCCCCCAAACCCACCCTGCAACTTACTTACATTTTATGTCTCCTGGGAAGGAGGTAGGCAGGCCTGGAGGAAGAAAAAACAAGTAAAGGCTCACAAACCCCGGAGAACAGGGGGAAACAAACAGTCAAATGCAGACACCGGTGGCCAGGGAAGTATGGGAAACAAACAAACAAAAAAATGTAGATGACCAGAGAGGAAAAGGTTGGGAAGGGGAGAATGACAAATACAGACTGCTTCAGAGAGGGAAAAAGTTGAAACAAGAATTTGAAAATAAAAATGCAGAACTGCCGCCACCCCCCCCCCCCCGAGAGAAGGACAAAACCTACACACAGTGTTCTGTTCCTTCCCTTCTCTCCCTCGCTAGGTCCCTCTTTTCTTAGCCCCCTCTTACTTCTTTTTTACAAAACACTTTTTCTCCTGGTCACTCTGTGTTCTCCTTGGATAGTGATTTCAGGCTAGAAAACAAAAGAGTTTGAAGAGGAAGTGGGAATGGCACTCCTCCCACTTCCTCTCTCAGCTTTCTTTTCCAAGCAGAAATCGCTCTCTTCTTACTTCTGAAGGGGCAGGGAGTGAAGTCATAGCATTGTATGGGGTATGGGGAGTACAGAGGCTTTCACTGACGTTGAGAGAGGCTTTCACAGGTGCTATTGCACACAAAAACCACATTGAGGATGCTGGCATTACAGCCGAAGCTTTATAAATAAATACATTCTATGCATGCCTGCACATATTGGCTCTTCTGATTTTACATGCTGTGGAAAATCACCAAGTCACAGGATATGCATTGGGCCTCCATTTGAAAGGAAGTTCTTATAGATGCTGGTTGAATGTGTAATCTTTTGTTTACAGTGCAGATGTACCTCGGTCTAGTGCAGCCCTGTAAATATAAGCAGTCTGCATTTGCACCCTTCAGGTTTACAGCATGTGCTTTGTGCAATGATGCTTACTCAGGATGATAAGTGATGCTGCAAGACCTATGCTTTAGGGAACTATTTAAGTTGTCTGTGCATAATCAGTATCATCATGAAATTATAGCTAAATTGCAGCTGTTCAGCGCGAAGCATTGCCTGCTTACTTCTGCCGCAGATGGTGTGTGGCACATCTGATGTGCTCAGAAATGTCTGTATCCTTTCCCAAGGGTTTGACAGTAAACACCATTAAAGAAACAAAATAGTTCCTAGGTTGGGGATTGAGTCTTCTGCTCTTGAGTATGATCTCTCCCCCTTCCCCGTTTTTCATCTTGATGCTTCAGATGAAGTGAAGAGCATTTATGTCACTGATAACTGCATACGCTCCAGCTGGAAGCATCTGCATCCACAGAGAAAACAGAGCAATGCTTACCTTTTATTACCTTTGCTGTAATGTTCTACTGTGCCAGCCAGCAAACTCTGCCTGGGATTCATAGAGCTGTTCTGTCTCATGTGAACTACCCTCATAGAATTTCTGACTCCAGTGCCATGTCATAAACTACTTTTGAAAGTCCCACAGTTGAATAAGAAAATATCTAAAGTCTCCTTTGTTCATAGTATTCTGGATCCTGGCCTTTGTGAGCAATACCTTGCCCCTTTTAAGCACAAAAATATGGAGCTTTAGAAAGCATTGTTGCTTCTGTGTTGACTGTTAGAAATCTGCACTGTTTTATTTCATTCATTTCTCCTTATTAAAACTATAACTTCTTTGAGTTTCTTCATTATTAAAATAATTGGTATGCAGTAGTGGTGTTTGTGTGAACCAACAAAAATCTTTTTTTGGGTAGCCCTGTGAGCTTCAGTCCGTAGCTTGCAAAACTTTGCAGGATTCTAACTCCTCCTTTTTTCCTTAAATAAGGGCTTTCGGATTCTGATGAAAACTGCAGGAGGTTTATGGACAGATGTATGCCTGAAGCATTTAAAAAGGTAGGTGTAAGAGAAAATTACAGTGGATTCTATCTAGTGCTGTAGATAGGAGAGTAGGCGGTATATAACTCATAAAGTGACAGCTTGCTACATTCTGATACTGTAGCAAGTAAGGAGCAAGAGGGCAAGTTACAATAATGGACATGGTTGACAAATACTATTGTGCTATTCCACTTCAAATTTGCAGAGTTAAGAGCTGCATTTGATTTTTCTTTGGCATGTTGCAGCAGTTTTGTGGTGTTCTACAAAATAGGTCATTTTTTATTGGGACAGCAAATGGGGACAGGAGAATGGGGCTATTGAGAAAAGTTTGTAGGAATAAGGACAGGAGTTTGTTTGGGGTTTTTAAAAGTGGATTAGTGAGGTTATGCCAAGTGAAGATGTTCTCCTAGCCACCTCTGGTCTTGGAATGTATTGAAGATATTGTGTTCTCTAAATATTCTATGCCTAAAAATGGAATCTTCTTAAAACTGGGATGGGGAGCTAAGGTAGATGCCGGCTGTTCTTTCCAGGTTTAAAATCTGCCTTCAGAAGTTGTTTGTTGCTAAATAGATAGCTCCAAAAGCATTTCAAGGCTAGCAAAAAGGTACTCTTTTCCCCCTTGTAGATCCATGTCAGCATTTTAACACATTCTGTGCTCCTTTGCAGCTGTTGACATCAAGCGCTGTTCATAAATGGGGTACCGAAATCCATGAGGGAATCTACAACATGTTGATGCTACTAGTAGATCTGGCTGCAGAGAGGATAAAGCAAGATCCTATCCCTGTTGGTCTTCTCGCTGTACTCACAATGGTATTGCAGTTACTTGATCTCAAGGCTATTCAGCATGAAAATCTTACAACTGGACATCTGTTCATCCTAAACGCATGGCTTATTAAAATGTAAAATCTAGAAAAGACATTTCTTGCTTATATTTGCATACTCAATGCATTCCGCCAAATCATGATTAAGGAAGCTTTTAACTATGACTTAGTGTGATGTTTGAATTGACAAGACATATTGAATTGACAAGACATCACCCATTGAACCAGAATAAGAAACCTAGTTTGAAGTGGTTTTTTGAACCATGGCTTGTACTATTCTGGTTTGCCATGTCTGAACTGACAAACCATAGTTATGGCTGTTGTGTCATTTTCCAAGAACTACTCCAAACCTTGGCTTTCCTGTATATTTGGAAATTCAAACCACTTAGGTTCTAAACTATAGAGAATGTAATTAATAACTTAGCAAGATGTATGTTCATACTTTGCTTTGACACTTGGTATTCCACTGTCTGCAATGACTTTAAACTTGTCAATTTACTGTTTTTAAGAAATGTGAAGAGGGAGTGACCATATCTCAGTGGTAGAGCACATAGTCTGCAATCTCAAGATCCCAGGTTCAATTCCTGGCATCTTCAGTTAGAAGGATCAGGTGGTAGGCAATGGGAAAGATCTCCCTCTGTCTGGGACCCTGAAGAGCTGGTGCTTGTCAGAATAGACCATACTAGAGCGGATGAGCAAACATTCTAACCTGGTATAGGGCTGCTTTTTGAGGTTTCACTCACAATATTTCACTTTTCATTTTAAAAGCCAAAGTTAAGCATCCATGTTAATATCTACATAAACAAAATCCGAAGCAATGCATTTCGCCAGTCTAGGCTCCAATAGCCACCCAGTGTTTTGTCAAAGAAAATTGGTTTTGAGATACTAAAACCATGTCTTCTATTTCTTCACTCTGAAGTTCTGGTCCTGCTTTTACAAAAGTGTATGTACTTCTTGATGTTCAAACACTTTTCTTTCATCAGGAAAACCTGATGAAAAGCCACTTGATCCAAATGTGTTTTACATTGGAAAATTGCTAATCCTATATGTCTGCTTTCTTGTCACACCTTTCGCTCTAGGCTCTTAATCCTGATAATGAGTACCATTTCAAGAACCGAATGAAAGTATGCCAAAGGAACTGGGCAGAAGTATTTGGAGAGGGCAATATGTATGCTGTCTCACCCATATCTACTTTCCAGAAGGTAAATGTGTACACTTCAGGTCTCTTACTAGAAGTCAGACAGAATTTAAGTTGTGTTTTAGTGCAATATATGTGTCACTTGAAATAAACATTGCCATTTCCTCCCCACCCCCTTTCCCATATCTAACAATTTATCAATCTGTCTCATTGACAGTAGCCTTTCATGTGCTATTATTTCTGCTACTTTGACTATAATAAGGGTTTAATTACCACTCCAACCACAGTGCTCTTTTCTAGATCTTAGTGGTGACCACAGTGTAGCTGTGGTTTAGACTGTCGTATGGGTGTGATAATTTCCAGTCCTTTTAGATCTGAATAGTGGCTAAGGAAGTGATATAAGGAAGTGATAAATGAATAAATAAAAATTCGGTCATGAGACTTTTTAGACACTTTTGCAGCATTGAGCTTATTGGTGCCAAAATATTGCTTCTAATTTCATTCCTTAAAAAAAACAACCCTTCTACTCCATTATGGGTTATAAATATAACTGATTCTGTGTCACCAACTCCATATCCTAATCTTGCCATAGAATCATAGACTCATAGACCATAATACATTATAATAGGTTAGGCAATGTTTGGGAAGTGGATAGTGCTAACCATCTCATCCAGAAATGTTATGTGCCTTATCTGAGCAGTTGTCGGCAGGCAGTGCATGTGTTGTATTTGCAGTGACCAGTTGTGCATGAAGTAATCTAGAGCTCTAAATGAAACACACAATTAAAACACCATTATTTTACAAAGTATCCTTGTGGGGGAAATGCTACTGATTTGTTAACATCTCTGTTGGCTAGGAACCACATGGATGGCTAGTGGACTTAGTGAATAGGGTAAGTAAATGATAAAGCATTATTTATTCTGAACCATCTGCACATATAGGGCACTATAAAGACTCTCATTAAACAAAAATAAAACCAGTTCCTGGGGTGGGGTGGGGGACGAAAAGAGGATGAGAAGAATGACTGTGAAGCAATACAGTTAAAAATATTTAAGCTGCGATTAAGTTGGAAATAAGGGTGAAAGTGTTGGTCAAAAGACATACGGGGAAAATAAGATACATTTGAGGAAGGATCTGAAGTGGAAGTGTTAGCACCATGTCTATATTCAGGGAGATCACAAAAGAGAATGAATGGGTTGTAATTTAAAGCAAGAGGACTTCCGTCAGTGAAGGATGTTAGCACTGGAAGAATGAGGATCATATATAGGCATGTATTTTTAAATGATATCCAGTGGATGAATTTATAGTGGTAACTGAAGGGAATGGGAAGTATTTGAAGGGAAATGGGAGAGGTGAATGTTTTTGTCAGCAGGATGAGTATTTTTAGCACCAAATATGAGGGAGAGGCTAGAGTTCTGTGGAGAGGCTTCCAAGGCTCATTTTGTATGTGTGTGCACACATGTGCATGTATGCAGCATTATTCTTGCAAAATGTTCATGTGTCAGTTTTCATCATTTATCTGGAGCTGTAATAGAGTAAGAAGAAATGTATGGTGCATATGGAAAAATAGTTTTACCTCTTAAAGGGATTTGTCATCAATTTACATGTGAAATGCCATTGAACTGAGTGTTCTAGGTGAACTTCAGAAAAATATGAGTCTTTGACAGAGAGAACTGCACTAGTAGTTTTCCTATCCTCCTATGAGAATTGTTGTACCTTTACCTCCATTACTGAAATAGTAAAATCCTTAGACTCAGCATACCTTACTGATACACTTTCCTGTGGTGGACAACTGAAGGAAATGCTCATCTATTCATGCCTGTTTCTGAGACCTATCACACTACTTTTATTTATATAGTTCATGTCTTTGACGGTGTTGTTTGTATACTTATTTAGTTTGCAGAATTAGGTGGATTTTCTGCAATTCAGTCTAAGCTTCATTCAGAAGATATTGAACTTGGGGTAAGTTAAAATCCAGATCATTTCCCTTTGTTTTATGAATCTTTCACAGTAGATGGCTCTTGTTCAATACTTATGAATTTTCTACTGTTGTGGAACTGAAGTAATATTTTAGTCTCAAGATGTGCTGGGTGAAGCAAACACAACTTCTAAAACTGTAGTGTGAATTGGTGTGCTTCATTGCATTACCTTTAGGCTGTGTTTGCTGCTGCTGTCGTCAAGCAAAACTATACTAGCCATGTTCATCTGTCTGTTTTATCAAATACCATTCTCTTGTCTTAGTCTCATATGCTAGGGACCAGTTTGGTCCCTTCTTGTGGTATTTGCCTCGGGTCTGTTCTGTGTATGTTCTTAAATGCTTTCTCTTTCTTCTAGGCAGTATCTTCTTTAGTTCAGCCTTTGGGGGTTTGCGCAGAGTATCTCAATTCTTCGGTAGTACAGGTAACTTTCTCTTTAAAATTATGTACAATTAGTAACTTGCTCTGAGCTTTTTTTAAAAAAGTGAAACAAGTGTGGTTCATTGCCCTATGCCTTATGTTTGTTTTTAAGGTAATGAATCTGCAAAATACTTGTTTTGAAACTCATAATATTATAATAATATAATAACACCAAATGATGTTCACATTAACATTGATGCTATTATTGTTAAAAACAACAGTCAGTTTGGGATAACTCTAGATAATCTGCAAGATACCTTTATAGGACAGATTGGAGGTGGGCGGACTGTGAGATCCAATTTGTACACTTAGAATTAAATAATTCTGAACCCTGGAATTTGTTTTTAGTGACAGAACTGAGTTTGCAGTCCTTCCACATAAAAATCCACTTCTCCAGCAGTTGAATGGGGGGGGGGTCATTTTGCTGCCATTATTAAACAATTGGGAGTTGGAAATCCTTGTTCTACTTTAACCCACCCAGAGATCAATCAGTAGGTCCTAATCTAACATTTGCCCACCCCAATATAGATTTGTATTTATTTTTACATTGGGAAGTATCTAACAGTCACATGTGAAGGTTGTTTGTACAACTGATCTTTCTCCTCCCTACAGACACTTAAAAAGCCTTTCTGGAGGACTTCATTGAACAACGTGGGCTGTTTACCTGTAAGGGGGGGTGTTGTCTGAAATTGGGCACAAAAACCTTGCTTCCTTTGCCCATTTTAGGGAGAGTTGCCTATGACACAGCCCATAGGAAAGCCCTCCAGAGATGTTGTTCAGGGGTCTACAGGGGCGGGGGTGAAAAGATTGGTTGAGTGAGCAGTTTCCACTCAGGCAAGCAGTGGATACAACACTTTATAATTAATTAATTTGTTTGCTTCCTTACTTCACATATACTCACATCAAATTGGCTTACATCTATTTTAATTGTATCTAGTTTGTGTCAAATAATGGAACACTAGCATAAGGCTTATGTTCTGAGCATGAGTGGAATATACTTTTGCTCAGGGGAGAGTGGTTGCAATTTTTGTTTTCTGCACCACATTAAATCCCACTTGGGGAAACTTCCCTGATCTTCCGAAGGGTGCAGGAATAAAAGTTTTCCCTTTCAAGAAAGCCCTTGGAGTGGGGAGATACATTTCTTTTTAACATACAAAATGCCTGTTTCTTGTTTTACAGCCCATGCTGGATCCAGTAATTCATAATATGATTAAATATGTACAGAATGTTGAAGAGAAGGACCTGAAAGACAAGGTAAAACCTGATTTTTCAGATATGACCTACAACTTGAACTGCAATTTGAAAGTGTAAAACTGACATTCCGTTAGCTCATGCTGCTGCTCCCATGCTTAAAAGCCTGTGTGTACTTAACTAATGCTTGGTGAAACACTTGTAATGACACTTGACAAAGAATCAGCATTAGAAGATTTAGCTATTAATGCTGTCAGCTGCAGTGTTCTTAGTACACACTTTCCTTTATAAAGTAATTTATTCTATATTTATGATTTATTTAGAACATGTTTACCCAGCTCTTCAGCTGGGTTACTTACATGCAGTCAGTTAATACAGGAAAGTGCCTGCCTACAGACTTACAGTCTAAAACACAAGAAAGAAGGGCTTGGGAAGGAAGAGGAAACTCAGGATACCCATTTAAAAAACAAATAAATAGTAATTTCTATAATGACAGCATGGAATAGAATTGTTCAGGGGCAGGAAGAGCCCGATAAAGCAAGTCTTTTAGTGGAGCTGGTGGAGTGGCCCTGCTAGAATGGTTGTTTCCGTGTAGCAGTCTACATCAGGCATAGGCAAACTCGGCCCTCCAGATGTTTTGGGCTACAACTCCCATCATCCCTGACCACTGGTCCTGTTAGTTAGGGATGATCGGAGTTGTAGTCCGAAAACATCTGGAGGGCCAAGTTTGCCTATGCCTGGTCTACATCCACAATAGTTGCAAATCAACACTCTTTGTTATAGGAGGTTCAAATCTTGTATAGCTATTGCTTTTTCAAAGCTTGTTTTATAGACAAACAAAACTAAAAAAAGCTTAATAACTTTTGCCAGAAAAATGCTCAACAACTTTTGTGTCCAGATTTTCACCTTTTGAAATATGGCAGCCCTACCCGTACAGTTTTAAAGGCTGCCTGAACTTAGGTGGTATATTCCTTGCCACTTGAATTCATCACTGAGGTCTCTAAAAAGCGCTCATAATTCTTATGTTTCACAGAGGCTGGTCAGTATCCCTGAACTCTTGTCTGCCATCAAGCTCCTTTGCATGCGATTCCAACCTGACTTGGTAACAGTAGTAGATGACCTGCGCTTAGATATCCTGTTGCGTATGCTGAAATCGCCACACTTCAGTGCAAAAATGAACTCTCTCAAAGAAGTAAGTTTGCTATGCTAAAATCTTCAACTGATTAGATTGACATTCACAATTGGGTATTTTCAACTTTCGCAGATCTAGGACACACTTTTATCCCAAACACTCATTTGGCGACCATTTTATTGATCTTTTACCATATATGTGCATGGTGGTGGTGCTCCTCTTGCAAGCCACCATGGATCAGGCTTCAGCCCATGAATGGGTCCTGATCCAGTAGTTAAAGGCTAGTTCTCTAGCTCATATTAACCGTAGCAACTTAATGATAACCATTGCTGATTTGGATCATAAAGCTTTCAAAGAGAAAATTCAGAGGCATAGGAGGAATCAAAAGATTCTTAGATTCTATCCATGGCTATAAATCCATTTGAAGTTCACTTATGGAATAAGTGGCAAATATATGGTGTTAGTGTGCATTTAAAAGGCCTAATAAACTTTTCATGAGGCCATTGAAATATTAATGATTTTACGGAGCTGGGCACTGCTCAGTGCAGTAATGAAAAATAGGATATAGTTTTGCTTATTCCCTGGATCTTCAAGTATTTAGTGTTTCAGGCCTTGCAAACCTTCACAGTGAAGACACACATTTACAGCCTTCCCAAGAACCACCCATACGTACAGCAACTAACTTTCAAGTTTATTTATTTTATTTCCTACACACTTTGGCTATTGATATATCTAGTTGTTACAAATCCTCTGAGTGACACTGTGTTAATTTTTAGGTAACAAAACTTATTGAAGACAGCACTGTATCCAAATCAGTAAAGAACGCAATAGATACAGATCGGTTATTAAACTGGCTAGTAGAAAACTCTGTTCTTTCAATTGCATTAGAAGGTAAGTTTTTAATATCCTGCTGCATTTCTGAACAGAAAGAAAGTTGATATTGTGGTTGCAGTCAGAAGGTGTGCTAAACTATATTTGGTGTTAATGAAAGTGAGCCTTGTACTTGCATGCTCCCTCATTCCTCTTCCTCCAGGCTGGCTGCAAGGAAATGATGTGAAGCTTCTACTTACATGATTAAAATAAATTCAGAATGTTGTCCAAACCCAGGCAAACTGGGGTTTATCTTAACTGTGGTCGATTGACACAAACCATAGGTTAGAAACTTGGCTTGTTTCAATTAACCATTGTTAAGATGAAGTGTTGTTTGGCTTTGGATGATTAAAAAAACTGATGGATGCTAAAATTGTGTACTTTTTGCAGCCACACCAGAGTACGAGAATAAAGTTTATGAGCTAAGACTCGTAATGCTAAAACACAGCACTTTGTCTGAACCATTCATGTATCTGAATATTTTGGTGTAGATATTCCTGGTAAAAGTTCATATTTTAATGAGTCTTTCAAATTCTCTGGTATTTTTAGAAGTATCTTGGGTGCTACCAGCACCAATCCATTGGGGAAGAAAGGGCATTTTAAAAAATATTAAGGGCCTTAGTTGTGTAGTGAATGAGATGGAGAGGGTTGTTAGAAAACAGATCTTCACGTTACTGAACCTCTTCTTAGTTGTTTTGAAGGAGTATATATTTTGTTATTACCATATCAAAGACTTGATTAAGGCATTCCTTCTGGTTAGGCTCACTGTCCTGTTTCTTTCACTAGGTAACATAGACCAAGCACAATATTGTGATCGTATAAAAGGAATTATTGAACTCCTGGGCAGCAAGTTATCATTAGATGAGCTGACAAAAATATGGAGAATACAGGTGAGGATGTGCAGCAGTATGACTCAGAGTTTGAAATTCTTTTGACAGCATTTGTGGAATGTCTTTTTCAGGTGCATGTATAAAGATCCCAAACCTATCCAAATTTAGCAGATAATAATAGTGTGACTGATCATACGATAGATATCCATGGAGATGGAATATGTGTTATTCTACAGAATTAGGACTCATGGCAGGAAGTTGTGTTCGTGGATGCTAAATAGATGCATCAATCCTAGGATTGGAAGGAGTCCAGTAGGTCATCTTGTTAAACAACTTGCCCAAGGGAAGTTTCACCTCAGTGAATCTTATCTTATTTTATTTTATTTTATTTTATTTGCAATCACATAAATATGCCACAAGCAGAGAGCAGAGTTTGTTTCAATGCATGCTTCTCAGTACTTTCCTATCACCATATTAAGTCCTGACATCTTTATCTTGTGTTGTGACTTTCCCAAACCTCATAAGACATAACTTGTTCATGTCCTGCTGACCAGTGATCTGCCTTACGCAAGTTTCCAAGAAGATGTGTGACAACCACGCTCTGATGCTATATGAGCAAGAAAACAAACAGTATGGTGATCACATTTGCTGAGGCCCTGGAAAAAATTAAACTAAGATAGAATCTTACGCTTCTAGTTTCATCTCTTTTGTTTCTAGTTGTATCTCTCTTCAAATTCTGTGTGAAAGAGAAAACATTGAGAGATGTATGATTATTATTTTTTGTCCTAGTTTAGAACTGCTAGTTTTTTTAATTGCTTTGCTAAATTTCTTTGACACCCACATACCTTTGCATATCTGTACATTTTATTCAGTCCATCCATCTTCCCACACACCATTACATTATTTGGTTACTTAACTTAGATATTGCACTTTGATAAACAGAGCTCTAGTAATTCATTTATCTTCAAGGGCACTTCTATCACTTTTCTTTTTTGCAGAAATGATGTTCATTCAAATTTCACAGAAGTGTTAAAGGCTGCATGTTCTCTCCCTTCCCTGCCTCCTCACTGATTAATTTTAGTACTCTTATATGAAGCAACTATGTCAAATCTTCCTGTGCGCTGACTATGTTAAGAAACTATGGCCTGCTCTATACCTCAATTTATGGTTATTCATAAATTTAATGGAAAAATTCTGCATGAAAATTTGTGCTGGAAAATTTCTGGAGTACAGAAATGTAATGAGCACAAGGATCACCACTCCAATTTACTTTATAACTAGATATGGGCGTCTTTAGAATATCCACACAGCATTAAGCTTATAAATATGCAGTAGTCTGTAAAATGGTGACAAAGCTCTTTATTTCTGGCATTGTTGCAACAATGTGACGTACTTCATCATTTATTTTGAGCACACTCATTCTGCTGACAAACCTGTGACATGTTCTAAAAAAAGAGATCTTAAGGCTCTGTGTGTCTCTGAATATCACGTATTATAGAATGTCTTTGTAGTCTATCCCTTTCCAGTACTCTAGGACATGGGTGTGTTGTGACTGACTAAGGTGAGTTGCAAATCAATGCCACAGCATAGCAGGGATGCAGGTTGAGTTGATGTAGAAAGTTGTGAAGTCCACTGCTTTTAAGCACACAATTTCCAGTATTCTAAATGGATGACTTCTGTGGTTCAATGTGTTTTCAGTCTCTCAACATTACATAGGATACGTATAACTAAAACTACTGCTACAATATTTTAAGGTGACTTCATTTCTTTAGATTTTGGCCATACGTTAACTTCAGTTGTATATGAGAACAAATAACATTTGCACACTGCCCATTCACAAGTATACTTCTTGTTGCAATATGTAGCACCAATAGTTTGGTTGATAAATTAGCAGCTCAGTATTCCATACAGTCTTCATATTTGCATTACCTTTAGAATGTTAATTTCAAATACTGTGCTAATCTGCATTCATATAAGGGTTGTTAGCACCTATGTCAGCAACTTCTTTTGATTTCGAACAAATCAATTCAGCCTTCCTGAAGGATTGTGAGTCCTTTCTGACATGGCTTGAGCATTTATTTCTGAAATTTTACCTTCCAAGGTACTCAAAAGCACCATCTTTTCTTAGAGATGAATGAATGATTCATCTTTATTTAATTATGTAGTAGTAGTTACACAATGCCTGCATTTCTACTGGTTCCATTAGCCTCCAGAATACCCAGAGCCTGAAACAGAAAGCGCCTCTGAATTAGTAATCAGTTTACTCAATGACACACCTAGCAAACGGTATCTGCCCTTCACACTTCGTATAAAACCTTTCACAGAATACAAATACTTCCTTTGTTGTGTCCAAAACCTGAACGTAAAACCACAAAGTTGTCAGTGTGGTATTTCTTGCAGTCTCTAAGATGGGGCTACAGTCTTCCTCATTCTTGCTTGATAATACGCAGTGTGAACCTAAGCATGTTTAATCAGAAACATCTATGTTTTCAGTGGGTGAGAATGCCTAAGATTCCAGATTTTCTGTTTAATATACATCTATAATCATTTTTTCAAGTTCACCTTTTTTCATAGCTGTCTCTTTAACTGTTGTTTTTCTCTCCTCTTTAAAGTCAGGACAGCCGTCAACTGTAATAGAGAACATCCACACCATTATTGCAGCAGCTGCTGTCAAGTTCAGCTCAGACCAGCTCAATCATCTCTTTGTCCTTATTCAGAAGGTGAGGCAACTACAGCAAGACACTGAAATATATATTTTGAAGACTGTTTGGATCTAAAGATCATAATATGGATAACCAAAGCTTGGCCCAGTTGAAACTCAAATTGTTTTTTGTTTTGTCTTTATTCATTCCCCCCCTTCCCTCCCCTTTTGTAGAGTTGGGAATCTGAGAGTGATAGAGTGAGACAGAAGCTGCTAAGCTTGATAGGACGTATTGGTCGGGAAGCACGTGTAGAGACAACCACTGGAAAGGCATGAGTAATAAATTCCACTTATAAGAGTTAACATGGAGGCTAACTTCTGTAATGAATGTTGATATTTATCTGTGTGTGTATATCCTTGCAGGTTCTTGAGGTTCTCTGGGAGTTGGCTCATCTTCCAACATTGCCCAGCAGTTTGATTCAACAAGCCTTGGAGGAGCATTTGACAATCCTTAGTGATGCATATGCAGTGAAGGAGGCAATAAAAAGAAGCTACATCATCAAATGCATAGAAGACATCAAGAGGGTTAGTTTGCCTTATCTCTCAGAATGTATATTCCGTGCGCCCCGCCCCCAAAGCTTGGCACATTCATTAGTTCTCAAGTTTCACAGAATGCCTTGAAAAGGGAGAGTGTGTGTATCAGTTTGCTTCTTGTGAGAGTCATAGCCAGTATCTTGCCTTTGTTTCTGCCCAAAGGAGTGACTGTTTGCTGTGGGGAAGCTGCAAGAACGAAATTTGCAAATAGATCCACGTGTCCTTCACAATGTAATCTATATATATTACATAGAGAACTAAATACTGGATTTTGTGGAACTGAGGAATAGCTATAGTACAGACTACAAAAGTAATCTAGAATGGGGAATAAAACTTGGAATGTTTATGCAGTCATTGTTACTAAGCATATCTATTACTGTACCTTCTCCTAATAGTCATCCCAACATAATAATCCTCAGTTTGTGTGGGTGGTACCAGCTTTACGTCAGCTCCATGAAATCACACGCTCATTTATTAAGCAGACCTACCAAAAGCAAGATAAGGTAAGATACTTTTGAGACAAAATTGTGTCTTGTGTGGATTGATATGATCAGGAGGGGAAAATATCAGGAGGGAATGAATCTAAAAAATGGGATGCGTTCAGAGACAACATTGAATACTGAGGGTTTGGGTACTTGGGACCTGAAAATGTTTGTTTGTTATTTCAGTGTATAGATCAGTGGTTCCCAGCCTTTACAAATTTGAGGACCACTTTTTAACCTCAATTTTTTTTGCAGGCCCTAGCATACAAATTGTTGTAATTTTAGGCTCTGTTAATTGAGAAAACACTATTATGTACTCAATACAGCATGCTAGATTTTAAAGAAGGGGGGAATGTGTGAAAGGGGGGGGGGAATGTGTTTCTTTGGGTGGTCTTAAGAGCTGTCAGCAGTAGGATCTCCCAGAAATAGCTATTTCCCACTATTCAGATTGTGTCCGAATATCTGGTCTGGTGTAACTCACAAGTTCACATACCATGTTGTAAACTCTGGCGTGGTCAGATATATTAGTTCTGATTAAAGATGTTCTTCTGGCTCTCCTTTTTTTCGCAATAAAGGCTGTCTTATATTGAGCCGCTTTTCCTCAGACCCCACCCTCTATCAGCAGGATCTTCCATTATTTCCCATTTTATCTTTGTATCGCCCTCTCCTCTTAATATTTTTTTAAAAAACTATCCTTTAGAAAGCTTGTATCAGACCCTAGCCTTACTTATTTTGTTGATCCAGATAATGATGATTTAATTAGGGTTTTTCAGCTCTGCATCAATACTTTATATTTGTAAGGTTACCCAGTATTTTATCCTTTAACCTTATTAAACTTTACTTGTGTAGTTCTTGATTAAATTCTACTAAGTAGAGGAAACGTATTGGCTGACACTGTGGGCCTAAAGTCTCATCCTTGAATCCCAAATCTTCTTTGTATTTAGCCCCCCTCTTTCTAACTTTATCCCTTTGACATGGCACCTGTTGTGTAGGGAACTGATGTGAAAAACAGCTATCAAACCCTGGGTCTGCTACATAGAAATCAGACTTAGACTTCCTCTTTGAGCAAAGCAATCGCTGTCACAATGCCATGCCATATTAGTGTCGTTCTTAATGCTAAGTATTCGTAGTAAGTTCAGATTTGGCTTTGGAAACGAAAGAGCACGATTTTGTTCTGTGCTAACTGAAGTATATATTTGAAGTGCTTAGTACTTCTTTCTGCACGACTAGTGTCATGACTGGAAACTGTGGTGAATGAGGATAGAAATTATGAGACTTTTGAGGCCCTTATTGAATAGATGGCCAGGGGGGGTGCAGCGAGGGAAACTTGTATTCGAGTCTTGAAAGTCTAATTGCGCATGTTGTAATGCTCTGCTTAACACATCTTTTCCAATACTTCTGCCAAGAGCATTATTCAGGATCTGAAGAAAAACTTTGAAATAGTGAAGCTGGTGACAAGCAGCTTAATAGCATGCCACCGATTGGCCGCATCCGTGGCAGGTCCTGGGGGCCTGTCAGGAGCAACCTTAGTGGATTGCCGATACACGTATCGGGAGGTAAGCCAACTTGTGACGTTCAAACCAGCTCATTTGGGGATAGCCCTGTATAGAAGCAACTTGTCTCTTTACTGAGGTAGTGAGCTTCAATCCCTCAAACCTCAAATTTACAAAATGTTTCATAAAGGTCTGTTTGGAAATGTTAATTGCAGTTTGTGTTTGCTTCCTTTTCAGTACTTGGAGGCACATCTCAAATTTCTGGCATTTTTTCTCCAAGAGGCGACGCTTTACTTAGGATGGAATCGCGCTAGGGAAATCTGGGAATGCCTTGTGACAGGCCAAGATGTTTGTGAACTAGATCGAGAGGTGAGATGCTGCTGTTGAATGTCCTTAGAATAAATGTAGCACTAATTTACTTGGAAACAATGTATCCTAAAGATGATCTGGGGCTAAAATCAAAACACACTAGGAAAACAAAATCGTTTCACAAATCTGTAAAAAAATAAGGTGCTGTTATGAATGTTTGAGGGGCTATCGGAAGTAGACAAAAATTACTTTTAATTCTCAATCATACGGATACTAGAGTTTTCTTAAATTGTTAGCAATCCTCAATGAAATTCTGGTGCGTGGAGTAAATCATAGTATGGCGGATATTTTAGAGCAATGTAAAATATATCATTTAAAAACAGAATGTGAACCATAGTGTAAACTCTTTTCACAGATGTGCTTTGAATGGTTTACAAAGGGGCAGCACGATCTCGAGAGTGATGTGCAGCAGCAGCTTTTTAAAGAAAAAATTCTTAAATTGGAGTCTTATGAAATCACTATGAATGGTATGTAAGTATTTTTGTTTTATCAGCCTTCTGTATAATAGATATCTTAGAATAAAATTTGGGGGGCTTAATAACTGCTGAAGAGACTAATGAAGTCAGACTTTAAAGCTTTTATTTTGCATGAGTAATGTTTCTGTGTTTGTTTAAATGAAAATAGCAGAATTCCTTTAAAATGTTAATTTTTAAAAACAGGTTTTGGTTTGTTTAAGACCTTTTTTGAAAATGTGAACCTCTGTGATCATCGATTGAAACGTCAAGGAACTCAGCTGGTAAGCAGCTTTCTATAAACTTGTTCCAGTGCAGTTCATAGGTCACAGCTGGCAAGTTTATTTGGAAAATAGTGTGCGCTATAAAATAGTGACCATTGGGAAGTGGCAGTTAGAATGTGGCTCTTCAAAGCTATAGTTACGGATTTTCCCTGACATTACTGGGATTTCAAAGGCAGAATTGACATCCAGGGGAATTTTTGAAAGGCAGCACTTTGCCCTGGATCTTAGGCAAGTCAATTTTTTAAAAAAGTGTTTTTTCCCCTAACAAAAGCTCAACAATTTTGGGGGTTCCTTTAAATAATCTCAACAATTTTGGGGTGCCCTGGTTTTTACTTTTTGAAATATGGCAACCCTACCATAGTACATTAATTTGTCCTAAGTCAAGATTAGGTTTAGGGCTCAGATCAGTTTTCTTTAACTTACTCATATGAAACAATCCATGAGCACAGTTAAATTCTTTGCTTCTATATGCCTGGGAGGGAGGGGATTTTTCTAGGATTAACCAATATAATTAGAGTCCTTATTTGTACTCATATTACTATTACTTGTTATTAATAATAGTATCTTCAGGATACTAGGATAAAGCTGTGCAACATGTGAAATATTTCAATAGTGTACTCTGATCTGGGTGCTAACAATCTTAGTTTCTCTCTTATTTTGTCTAGCATGTAGAAAAACTGGAATTAATAGGAATGGATTTTATTTGGAAGATCGCAATGGAGTCACCTGATGAAGAAATAGCGAATGAAGCTATTCAGCTAATAATAAACTATAGTTACATCAATCTAAATCCAAGACTAAAGAAGGTAACAACTCTGAATTGTTTGGTTGCTGTACTTGCCCCAGAAGATGAGATGTAGGCTGCCTTCAGACGATCCTAACCCAGCGTTCGGCATCTGTGTTAAAAGAACATATGAGAGTAGGCAGCGAAGACTAACCTGGTAGCTCCATGTGGGCACCCCATCCTCATTGCTCTCCATGACTTGGAGGGATAGCTGCTTCTGCAGTGGAGAGCCTGCTCTATTTATGTGGGTTCCTCATGTGATTTTCAAGGATTCTAAATCTCACCGGTTGCCAAAATGAGTAGAGCAGGCTCTCTGCTGCAGAAGAAGGTATTCCTCCAGCTCAAGGAGGGTGACATGGCTGGGGAGTCAGAGGTTGTGTCCCTGTCCTCACTCTTCCACCTTGCATGTTGTTGTAAACAAATATAGAATGCCTCAGTATTGCCCCTGAAATGTGCAATCCCACCTCTTCCTTTGCGTGCACGGGGAAAAGAGATTAGTAGCTTCCACTTGTTGACAATTGATAGTTTGCTGCATTTGTATGGAACTACAAACTATTAGCTTGTCACTGATTTGAAGTTAACTTGTCACTGATTGAAGTTAAATTGTCACTGATTTGAAGTTGAACTTCTTTCTCTGCATCTGCATGCTTCTTTGCACAGGAAGGAAGAGGGAAGGGGAAGTGTGTGTGTGTGTGTGTGTGTGTGTGTGTGAGAGAGAGAGAGTGTGTGTGTGTGTGTGTGTGTGTGAGTGTGTGTGCGTGTGTGTGCGCGCGCGCTTACTGCTGTTCATACATAATGGCAAGCCATGGTTTTGGTTGTCTGAATAGAGACATGGACCGTGTACGTTTTTGTATTACCAACACGCTTTCTCCTATCCGTGCTCATGCTTAAATTCAGTAATATGTGTATAGTAGCAGTTCACTGTATGTACTCTTGCTCTCTCTGCATGTGTGTGAATTAATGTTTTTAATATAGTTTAATTTAATTTTCATTCTTTTCAGGATTCAGTGTCACTCCATAAGAAATTCATTGCGGATTGTTACACAAGATTAGAAGTAAGTGTCAATCTTTTTTTAAAAAATATGTCCTGTTGTATTTTTTTATTCTTACATAATTGTAAAATAATTTCCAGCATTCCACCTTGTACTGTACAGAAAGCCCTTTCTCAGCTGGAGTAATGGAGCAGCCACCATGTTGGGTTATATCCACTAATTATTTGGGGCAGCAGGGAACTCCATGGTAGACTTGTGACCCTAGACAACGCCAGTTCTTTTCCTGTCTTTGCCTGGGACACTGAACATTCTCCCACTTTTGACCCAAGTAGAGTTATTCTTTTTTTTGGAATTGTATTTACCATCTCTCTCCTGCCATGGTTGGAACTGGAGCCAGGAGCCTAGAGTCAGAGATCTTTTACCTGTTTCCTTGCCTTGGGTATAACCCTCAAGAATCTTAACTAGATAGAGTATTCACAGGGCTGCTTTCTTGAATATCATTAAAATGAAGGTTTGTAGAGATGTCTGCCTGTTATGTCTTGGCGCTAGGAAATTACTTTGCAGATAAAAGGCAAAGTTTAGGTTCTCAGTGCTGAAGAAGTTGCCGCACCATTATGTGGCCTTCCTTGTAATCCAGAAATAGCATGATGTTTCTTTCTTTCTAGGCAGCCAGTTCAGCACTTGGTGGTCCAACGCTGACACATGCTGTCACAAGAGCTACCAAAATGCTAACAGCAACTGCGATGCCTACTGTGGCAACATCGGTACAGTCTCCATACAGGTAAGGTTTTGGTTTAGGAATAGATAAATATGATCTATGTTGGTTTGTTCTAGATAACCATGATTTAGAGGACTGGGAATGTGCTGAAGGCTCACACCTTCCTTCAGTTTCAAGTTTTCCGTAACCATGCCTTGCTAAGATATGCAAAACCATGGTATGAAATCCTCTTTAAACCATGCTAATGTGGTTAGCTGTAACCACAGTTTGCCCAACTTGCTTGTGTTAAAAGAAACCTCAGTGATGAGGAGTCTCATATCTCACATTCCTGATCCACTAAACTTTAGAATGTTACATCTGAACCAGGTATTCTTGTTTGTGTGTGAAATGGATATGGGCCAAAGAAACTACCGAAATTAGAACTGGCACCCACAGTTTCATAATACATAAACGCTTTACAAAGGATAGGTTTATTCAATGTATTTGTTCCCACAAATGAATGTTTCTGGTGTAGTTTTGTTTGTTTGTTTGTTTGTTTTTAAATACCTTACAAAACCAAGTCTCTGGTTACAAAAAGAAATGTTGAGTAAACACTTTTTTTAGGTTTGCTCAACTTATGCTGGCCTGTGATGAGAAGGAAAATAATACAATACAGCACAATACAATATACCTTAAGTTTACCTTTTGGAAAATCAAATGGTGCTCTGTTCCAGTTCCAAAAAAGAAGTGTTGTTCCTATATTAAACAAGTGTAGTAATCGTGGAACAAATAATGTGCACTTCCATTAAATTGATTTGGACAGCTGCTTAAAGAAGATCAAAGTTGGTACTGGTAGTATTTCTCGGGGGATGTACAACAGCATAGTAGTCATTTATGCAATTGGGAGAAGTCTACAGTGAGGCTGCAGTTTACCAGAAACAGCACTGTAAAAATCTTAAATCTAAATGTTTTCTGTTGCTGATGTGGCTTCTGTGATGCTGTTTCTACTGCTGTTTGGTCTCATCTGTATTTTTATTTGTAAGCTGCATTGAGTTTACTGTTACCACGGAAAGGTGTGAGATATAAATACATTAATTAAATAAATAAATGGAAAGATGAATTGGCCCAGGAATACAGCCAAGTGCAGAAGCTGTTGCTATTTCCCTAAAGCACTGACCACATTCCCCCTGGCCCTGAGGGGAAGGAGGGCAAATTGGAGGTATAAAATAGCATCAAAAACTACAGTAATCTGCAGCGCTGTCTTGCTATTGGCTCTTCTCTCACACCTTCTTCCCCGCTAACATTTCTTTAAAATGTATGTTGTACCTCACTTTTTAAGCCTTTTTCAGGTGAAATAATAAAGTGTGTTGCCAGGTTTATCTTGAATTATGTGAGCCCCAAATAACAAAAGTTTAGGAAAAACTGGGCTGAGTTTACTACTTATACTCCTTCATTCTTTTCTTTTGCTAGGCAAAAGTAGGGTTGGAAGTATGTTTTAAGGATGACTTTTTTTTCTCCTTGCTGCCACCGCCACCGGTACTTCACCACTAACCTGTGGTTACTTGGAATGCATAATATGATATGACCCAGTTTAGGAATTTCTCTGGCTCTGCTTCACTTCATTGTGTAATGTGGAGCAGGTACAGCAAAACAGTGTGAAGACATCACATCACACTTCCTCTTTTTTAAATCAAATGTTACTGAGGTGATGGTGGGGAGGAGTGAATAAATCTAACTCCTTGACTGTTGCCACCTTGAAACTTAGTTCCAGCTTCTGCATACTCCTTGATAGTGAGAAATGTGTTTGGACCACCTATCAGATAGCGGCCACAGGGCATAGTGTTGGTGGCTTTTGTCAGGCTGGTAGGTATTTTCAAGGAGCTCAACTGAGATCTCACCCAACTGTCTGCCATTTTTTGATTGCAATCTCCAGGTCAACGAAACTTGTAATAATTGAGAGACTGCTGCTGTTGGCAGAACGCTACGTCATCACTATAGAGGTAAAAAAAAAGAAATTTTGGTACCCATGTCCCTTTAGTTTGAGTAGCCCAGTAAGTGCAATGCTAAGTTTAGGCTTCAAGTTCTCCTGTTGTTGTTGTTGTTGCTCTTGCTATTGTTCTTACTTATTGAATTTATATACCGCCCTATCTTCTTCTTCTTTGGCGATCACTCATAGCCGAGTAAGATTGTCTTCATAAACACGGTTTTAACAATGAGTCTGTAAGTGACTGTGGAGGCCAATTCTGGACCCACACATCCTTCCACAGTGGGGACATTGGTTCCCAGGTGGGAGTTGATCACAGTGTGGATTTGCCAAGCATGCCTTCCTCTTAGCAAGTTTCTCCCTTGCATCCTGAGTTTGGGTGTCTTCAAAGTCCATGACACCTTTGGTAAAGGCTGTTCTCCAACTGGAGCACTTGCAGGCCAGTGTTTCCCAGTTGTCGGTGTCTATACTACATTTTTTTAGATTTGCCTTGAGACCCAAAGGTCTCAAGGTGGTTTACAAAACAAAATCAAAATATTAAACCACAAAATACGTAATCAAAATAAAAACAGCAACCCAATAACACACACATCCCACTGTAGACTCATTGTTTAAGCAAGCAAGTTTCTATTACCTTTGGGCTACATCAGAGAGTGAGGAGGATGGGAACCAACGCAGAACTGGATTGAAAAGGCTACAGTTTTATTAGTGGTGGCTGTTTTTGTAATTGGCTGAACTGTGGCAGGGCAAGTGATCTAGTGAACTGGTCCTGGATCCCCAGTCTCTCAAGTTTTGGGAAGAGATTTATACCTTGGAAGGTGACTAAGAAGTCCTAATAATAGCAACTACTATTACAACCCCTTAACAGCCCACTGCAACAACAGTAGCATGCAGTGATCGGATCTTGCTCCATGATCATGGGCCCTGCTTACTACCCAAGTGAATGAGAACACTGAGCTTTACCCGAAATTGGGTCTCCTTTGAATGACCTAGGAGCAGGCTGGAGAGAAGATCTCCATTCTAGACCACCGCAACCCTCTCCACCCACAGGCCATGCGGCACCAAGCTGACTCGCTGAGGGACAAGACCCAGGAACAGTGCAGTGGCAAAGGCATGGACTTGGAGCTGCATGGCCTCTACACTGACAGGCAGTGGCTCTTCATGATTTCGTAGCAGGAGCATTCCCAGCCCCAGCTGGAGCTTCTGGGAATTAAACCAGAGACCTTCTGCATACAAAGCAGATGTTCTGCCACTGAGTCCCAGCCAGCATGGGCAGCGATGATGATGTCCAAAATACCTGGAGCACACCAGGTTGGGGAAGGCTTTGCTGTATAATGGACGGATCATTGTGACAGCTAAAACACAGATAAAAATGTTCAGTTGATCAGCTTATGCAGTTTACATTTTAAATTGTTCCTTGATCATTTGTGTCAAAGGTCACTTTTACCACTTTCTTTCCGTAGGACCTTTACTCCGTTCCACGTACTATTCTACCTCACGGTGCCTCCTTTCATGGACATCTTTTAACGCTTAATGTTATGTATGAATCTACCAAAGATACCTTTACAGTAGAGGTATGCTCTTGCAATTTTATTGCATTTTAAAATACTCATATTTAAGGTGTGAAAATTCTCAGCAGAAAGGGAGTTGGGTGCTGATGCAAAGCAGGGGTCAGCAAACTTTTTCAGCAGAGGACCGGTCCGCTGTCCCTCAGACCTTGTGGGGGGGCCTGGACTTCATTTTTTGAAGAAAAAAATGAACGAATTCCTATTCCCCACAAATAACCCAGAGATGCATTTTAAATAAAAGGACACATTCTACTCATGTAAAAATACGCTGATTCCCGGACCATCCGCTGGCTGGATTTAGAAGGCGATTGGGCCAGATCCGGGCCCCAGGCCTTAGTTTGCCTACCCATGATACAAAGAATATAATAGCATTGGGATGTGCTAAATAATATGTTTTGAGCGTGTTATATATAATGTCAGTGGTATGCTGAGTAAATGGGGATTGCAGGATAATGTGGAAAAGTTTCATGCGCTTGTCCCTTATGGGTCACTGGTTTCTATCTAATAATACTTCCTAGAACTGAGAACATGAATGAACTAACTTCCACTTCATTTTTGCAGGCTCATAGCAATGAGATCATAGGGAGTGTCAGATGGAAGATAGCAAAGCTGTTGAATGCTCCTGTGGAAAACATACAGATATTTGCAAATGACAGCTTGGTATGTTAGGATGATTTTATCAATATTCTAAATGTGTACGGTTTGCAGAAGCTAAGAAAAGATATTGTATTTCAGCTAACAGTGAATAAAGATCAAAAGCTACTTCACCAGTTGGGCTTTTCTGAAGAACAAGCACTTACAGTGAAGACATCAGGAAGTGGAACCCCATCAGCAAGCTCTGCTGATTCCTCCACTAGCTCCAGCAACAGTAGTAATGTCTTCAGTTCATCATATGCAATGGAACAGGTACAACATGGGGGGAGTAAATATAGATTTCACACGCACAAAGACACTTTTTCATTAATTAAGTTGGTTTCTTTTCACTTTAAAAACATGCTTTCCAGTATCTTCCATTTCTCTGTACCTGCATTGGTCAATCGTGATTCAAATCTTTATAAAATTAGTTTGTCAGAATTTGAAAATCAATTGGAAAGACTGAAGTGAGCTAGTGCTACATGCAGTTACTTACACTGATCCAGCACTTTTTCCCAGTCGAATTGAGATGCTTGATAAATCCAGCAGGAACTGCTAGCACACCTTTCTGGTTTTATCATCTGATTTTGATGAACGCAGGATTTCAGTGATCATTTCAGAAATGAATGCATCTGAATTGTTTGAAGTAGTTCTAACTGTAAGCAGAAATGGGAAAAGTAGAAAGCATCCTCCATGCTGCTGTTCATTATATTTGATGACATGTTTTGGTTCACTCTGTACATAAAAGTTAAAAGTATTAGAGATGTGAAGCTGTGGTTTCTTTGGCAGAATTTTAGATCAGCACTGCAGTTGTGTGTGTGTGTGTGTGTGTGTGTGTGTGAGAGAGAGAGAGAGAGAGAGAGAGAACTATACAGGATTCAGTGCCTTGTGTTGGCAAGTAGCTGACATCCGTAGGCCAGGTTTTAAATTTATATCGCTCAATTTCTAAAAATTGAGAACCCTAACAAATTGCTTAAGAAATAGGGGAGTTAATTGTGTGTTCTTAATCCCCAGGAAAAATCCCTCCCTGGAGTGGTAATGGCTCTTGTGTGTAATGTGTTTGACATGCTGTACCAGCTTGCGAACCTAGAAGAGCCAAGGTAAGTAGTGTTATTGAAGACACCGTAGAAATACTGTGGCTGCAAAAATAAATAAATTTTGGAAGCCTTTACAAGTAGGCATAGTGTCCAGCCCAGCAGAAATTGAATACATTATATGTCTCTTGTATTCTTCAGGATTACTTTGAGAGTACGGAGGCTTCTTTTGCTGATTCCTACTGACCCAGCTATTCAGGAAGCTCTTGATCAGCTAGATTCTCTTGGACGAAAGGTATATATTTTTCTGTTAACTACACAATCATAGTCTAGTTTTACTGATTGAGATTGGGATTGAAAGGAATGGAGAAAGAAATAGGTAGGGCATTAAATTGTAGGCATTATAAAATGCTGGGGAAATGCTAGCCATTGTGGAGCAAGAATTGAACCATCACTGGCTAAATTAATTTTATTTCTCTTATTATTAATGATGTGTTGCTTTTGGGGGGGGATTCCTTTGCTTAGCACACATTACTTTCCTTCTAGGGATTCAGATAGCATGGCTAATGTGCTTATCGCCACTGGGGCAAGAAAAATGCCATGTTAGCACAGTCGTGTATTAGCTTGCTAGCTTCGTCTGTAAAGTTGGCACAGAATCTATTACTCGTAAAGTTCCTAAGCCACAGGCTCATTTAACATTCACCCTTAAGGATGGCTGGCCTAGCTACCTATACAGGATAGTAGCAAATAGTCATTGAGTCCTAAACATGTTTCATAGAAGTTAGCAAACTACGTTAAAATAAATCTGGCATTCACAAAACATGTCTCTCCCGTATCTCTCGCGCTGCAACCTTCCAACAGTTTTACTTCACCCCCAAAGGCACACTCCTGCATTGTCTCCCAAGACAGATGGATGCCAGCTATGAAAAAATAATAATGTAAATTCCAAAAAATACTAATTAAAGAGAAATGGTATTTACACTGGGGTGCATCGAAAAAGAAGGGTGTGGCATAAACCTTGTAAAAATCTGCAGATTGTATTTTATAGTTCTTTATGGTATTGAATAGGGATGGGGAATCTGTGGCACTCCAGACATCAAATTTCCATCAGCCTTAGTCGGCTGCACCAGTAGTTAGGGATGGACTTGTAATCCAACGATACTGAGAAGGCCATGAGTCCTCTGTCCCTGGTATAGAGTATAGCAAAAGGTGCTTGCAAGAGATTTTATTACTTTTTGGAAGTTCAGGACTCCGAAGACTAGCTGTCATGGCTATATAACCGTGTTATATCAGAACTGCCTTCTTATTTGTATTTCTCTATGCTTATTCTTTTCTCAGAAAACATTACTCTCTGAATCAAACTCTCAGTCTTCAAAGTCGCCTTCTTTGTCTACAAAGCATCAACACCAGCCTAGTGCTACTTCAATACTTGAAAGTCTTTTCAGGTCTTTTGCCCCAGGAATGTCTACTTTTAGAGTACTTTACAATCTTGAGGTAAGAGTAAATTGGCATGGAAGTGTGGGGTAGGGTCAAATATCAATTCTTTTGTTTTGCATGTAGAAGACCCTGTGTTCAGTTCCTGGCATCTCCAGGTAGAGTTGGGAAAGTTTTCTGTATGAAACTTTGCCGCCAGTCAGCGACCTGGTTTACACCATAATACTAAAATGTGACTTAGGCAAGTGTCAACAAACTCTGAGGAGGAGTCTGTGAACCCAATGATTTGTTGAGGCTCATCTATTTAGTGCTAAACTATAGTTTAGTGCTTGGGTCCTCAAACATTTTGAGTCCTAAGGCACAGCTGGAAAACTAAAAAAAGATAATGGATGCCACAATATACCCATTCACAGAAGAAAAATGGGGTGATGCCAGCACACACAAAACAAAGCTGGCAAAACAAACATGCAAAACCCTCCATCCCCCAAAAGGGGGAAAGGCAAGTAATAAAAAGCAGCCCAGACTAACAAAACAAAAAAGCACAAAACCCTCAGCCGCATGCCAACATGCAGAATACACACAGTGCTAGCAAACGAAAAGGAGTCATTGAATTCTCTTAAGATGAAACTCTGCTGTAGTGACACTGTGTTTCCAGTTGTCCACAGTTGGGTTATTTTTGCCTGGTTTCCATAGTAGTGATCCTGCTCTCTTGCAATCATCTAAACATCTGTTTACCAGGTCGCATGGCACTCCCTCACCACCTTGTAGTTCCTTATCTTCTATCTTCCATTCTTTTTACATACTATGTAAATATACCATAACTTCTCTCTTGAAATAATAGGGATTGTCATGGGCTTTGAAACACACATCGTGAAAGCTTTGTTAGTATTCAAGGACCTCTGGGTGTGTTAATGTTCTTAATTATATGGCAGGTGTTGATAAAAGAATTAATTAACATTATTGAAAGGTCTCATTGAATTCAGATGACCAAGTGCCGTAGGATGGTGAGTTAATTCTGAGTAGCAGTGTTAGAGTGTAATATGAACTCTGGCCCAGCTGAGCATACTTTGCCTGTGGGTGAGAGAGGGACTTAGTGTATTGCTCCAATGAAACTCTGCCACTTACCTAAAGTCTGAATATTTTTCAGGTCCTGAGTTCCAAGCTAATGCCTACAGCGGATGATGAAATGGCAAGAAATTGTGCCAAATCTTTCTGCGAAAATTTTCTCAGAGCAGGTGGCTTGAGGTTAGTTGAAAGAAATATTCTGAAGTGGAACCTTCCAGCTCTGCGAGAACTAGTCTTTAAGCATTCTCAACTCAGTATACATTTAATACTAGTATAAGTACTGTAAATGGTGCTCTCAATAGTAGTATTCGAGCAGCTATTCCAAATACTGTGGGGACAGCATAAATTACACTAGGTAGTTTGTCTTCTTTGTGTGTATGATGTTGAATAAATTGAGCAAGGGTTTTTTCCTGTCACCTTTCCACTTCCATAAGCCTTTCTTCGTACATCCTACACAAAGAGGTGTCAAAACTGCAGTGCAACCTGGATATCCTTGCTTTTTCAATACTTCTTTCAGTGGTTGGTGCTGTCCTCCCAAAATCTGTTAAGGTGTTTGCAGAAAATGCTTTGTCAAAGAGTTCTGGATAATAGATAGTACTATGCCATTGACCATTGAATCTGCACTTAACTTTGAATGGGAGTAGACAATTTGAGGCACTGAGATGGCATTGACTATGCCCTACTAATAAAGTATTTAAATAGTTGGTTAGAATTTTTAAAAAATAAGCTGGAGGTTGTAGGTATTACATGTCATCTCTTAGCATATTTGCACTTCAGTACTTGACCGGCAAATGAGAGCTGCTTATATTTGTAGTCTCCAGTGGTTGTGTGCTTAGAATCATAGAATGGTAGAGTTGGAAGGGACCCTGAGGATCTAGTCCAAACCCCTGCAATGCAGCTGTTCCATACAGGGATTGAACCTGCAGCCTTGGCATTATCAGCACCATGCTCTAACCAACTGAGCCATAACACGCCAACAGAAGAGTATGCCTTTGGACCACAGAAAGGAAGGAAGTGACAGGTGCTGCCAGTATTGTGATGGCACGGTCATTGGATCGGTGTCCAGAACATTGTGGAGTGCAGAAAGAAGTTTATGTACACCAGAGCCCTTGCTTTCCCCCATTTCACCCACTGATAGTCAGAATTTGGTGGAGCCTGTCAACTGGCCCCCTGATTTAGTGATGGTGTTAGCGAGGCTGCTCTGTTTTAAGTGATTAACACATTATATTAATCCTCATCAATACAGGGAAATATTTTCAACCAGCAGACTTCTACATGTGTAATATGTTTCTTGTCTTAAAAAAATACTTTTGAATTAAAAATCTCTAAATTTATTTTCCAGTTTGGTGGTGAATGTTATGCAGAGAGACTCCATCCCATCAGAAGTGGATTATGAAACAAGACAGGGAGTTTATTCAATCTGTCTGCAGCTGGCAAGGTATGTGATTGATTTTTCAAAGGTAGATATGCATGACCCTAATCTGCTCAGTGTTTAATCTTCCTAAGGTACATAGTGCCTTCACTGTTCAAAACAGCACAATTCTTTTTACGTTTAGGTTTTTGCTTGTTGGGCAAACTATGCCTACCTTTCTTGATGATGATATTGTTAAACATGGAGTGGAAACACTATCGTCACGCCCATTCCGTAATGTGAGCCGGCAGACTACCAGGCAGATGTCAATGTGTGGAACCCCAGAGAAGTCCTCTTATCGCCAGCTATCTGTGTCAGACAGGTCCTCTATCAGAGTGGAGGAGATCATTCCTGCTGCACGGGTTGCAATCCAAGTAAGTAGGTCTAATGTGGCAGCAGTAGCCCTGCTAAAGGCAGAGCTCAAACACCCGCTCTGCAGAATTTTAGTACCTTTTTAAAAAAATGCCACACTGCCAGAAAACCAGAGTTTTTCTCCTGTTTCCAACTATGTTCCTTGGGTTTGGTGTTGCCTGTAAGTGCTTTTCTGGCCTAACACATTGGTATCTTGAACAAGAATTCTTTTTCTTTTTCCTCCCCCAGACAATGGAAGCAAATGACTTCACTTCCACAGTTGCTTGTTTTATGCGACTCTCATGGGCGGCTGCTGCAGGGCGGCTTGACCTGGTGGGAAGCAGTCAGCCGATCAAAGAAAGCAACACACTGTTCCCTGTTGGCATTCGTAACCGTCTTAGCAGCTCAGGTACGCCGCTGACTTAACAGAATTGAAACAGCTGAGATTTGGCAATGACCTCAGCTCTGTGTTGCTCATAAGACTTTATCACAACTGTAGCTGTTCATTCCTAACTTGAGAGATCTACACTTCTTTTAATCTTTTGTCACTTGTTAACATATTGCAGGAAGCAATTGCAGTTCAGGGAGTGAAGGAGAACCAACAGCTCTGCATGCTGGGATCTGTGTGAGGCAGCATTCTGTATCCACCAAAGATGCACTGATTGCAGGAGAGGCCTTGTCTCTCTTAGTTACATGCCTACAGCTCCGCAGTCAGCAGCTAGGTAGGTTTGAGAGAAGTGGATGAAGCTTTTCTGTTGTTTCCTGACCCTACATTCAATTGAGCCACAAAGACCCAGTCCCAATTTGTTACCATCCAACTCTGTTTTCACTTTCTCTCAACCTCTGCTTATATCTGGCACCCACATTTTACTGTAACGCCATATAACACTAATGAATCTATTAGATTTTCCCAATGATATTTTAATACTAGGAGTATTAAGTACTATAGTGCTTTCTCACGAAACAAATTGTGACAATCCACATTGTGTTTTTCTTAGGATCTTTTTACAACCTCCCTTGTGTTGCTGACTTTATCATAGACATACTACTTGGCTCACCAAGTGCAGAGGTAAGGTGCTTGCATTTATATTCAGAGCAGTTCTCTTGCAGAGAGCAGGGCATGTTCTGCCCTGTAGCATGGACAAAGTGCTCGTGCCAGTGGCAGCTGAAAAACATTTGCTACAGATGAAGTTACTTAGGCTATGCCACTGACTTTCAAGCAAGCAAGTTCCTAGGATGAGAAAGCTGTGTTTTTCAGAGGACTGGACTTCTGGGAATTAAATTAACTGCAAGCATTTTTTATCATACTTCATACAGATGTGCCAGTTTAAAACTGAAACTAAGATTTGCCTCAAAAGCAGCAATGGCTTGATGACATTTTTTTCCTTCCTCAAGTGAGCAATTGGAGGATGACAACCACTTGGTGCTGTCCTAGTGCCCACTCGAGAAAGAGCCTGCCTGGTCAATTCTGTTCCTTACATGCTTGTCTGTCTCAGCTAGCTTGGACAAATTACGATAGTAACTTGGGTGTTTTAAGAGTTTTCTAAGACAGTGGTATTAGGTTTTGTGATCTGACGTGTGCTTCTCCCCTGTTCCAGATTCGTCGCGTGGCCTGTGACCAATTGTATACCCTCAGTCAGACAGACACATCAGCTCACCCTGATATACAAAAACCAAACCAGTTTCTTTTGAGTGTCGTCCTTACCGCTCAGCTGCCGCTCTGGTCACCTACCAGCATCATGAGAGGCGTCAACCAGAGGCAAGTTGGAGGCATGTTTGTTCAATAGAGAATGTAAGAATTAAAAATAAGCATTTGTCTTAAATGCTTATTTAAGACAAGTGCAGTAAAAACCTGCGAAGGGGGGGGGGAGAGTGCTAGAAGTGAACTGAGAAGTTATGATTTCCCCTGTGGTTGCTTGAATAGGAATTGGATAGCCAGGAAGTTACTGAATCATAATGCAGCATTGAACCACAATCTACCCAGTACAAAGAGAGGATAAGCATTTGGATGCAGTAGCATAAGCCAGCATACTATGCTAACTTACTTTCAGATTTGTTGATCATAGTAAATGCACAAAAAACCAATAGTGCTGTGAGGGTTTTTTGTGCTGTTTAAAAATTACATACATGCCAATAACAAAACTTCAGCCTTCTTCCTTTTTACCATTAGATTTCCAGTAAGAAAATAAGCATCCATGATGTTGAATGTGCAGCAATGTTTGCTTTAAAAGTTAAACATTAAATATGAACACCAAATCCCAGATCTGCTTTCAGAGAAGGGGATTTTAAGCTGATAGCATTTCAACATATTATTCTGGGATGAATGATGATCATCGCTACAAACAATTCACTACTGTGAACTTAAAATAAAAGCAAACCTTTGTTTTATAGCATAGAATGTAAGTCAACATGTTGGCTAGGTCTGAATAAACATCTTGCATGTGTACATGGTACCTGGGAAAGTAAAGATTTCTGTAAATATTTTACATGCTTCTGAGATTCTTCCCCCCCCCCACCCCCCAGTATTAATTGCCTGAATTTGCTTTTAGGCTTTTGTCCCAGTGTACAGAGTACTTTGACCTTAGATGCCAGTTATTGGACGATCTCACATGTAAGTAATAGGAATCAAAACTGCTCGAAACTTAATGTACCATAAGAAAATGTCCCTTATCCACATGGTAAACGGTGCCATCGAAGTTGAGTCAAGAATTAATATTGATTGCGCTTATGGAGAGAGAGAAATGTGTTTGTCTTGGATTCTTATCCTTCCTTCATTATTTGTGTCCTTGTAGTTCTGTGCGGGACTGTATTTGCATGGGCTAAAAACTCTGTTTCAGAGGTCAAGTGAAAGATCATCTGCCTCTCTCATGAACTTTTTACCTGGGTCTTCTCTTTAGTTTTAGTGTGCAGTCTAATTGTCTCAAGTGATTAGTAGTTGACTCTGAGCACACAGGTGGGTAGCAGTACTACCCCAGCCAGATGGGCGGGGTATAAATAATAAAAGTATTATTATTACCATTTCCTACCTTTTCAAGACCATAAGAAACTACACACTACAACTACCATAGCATTCGATTTTCTTGCGGATGGAAATAACATACAAGAGCCACTTTGGCTTTTTTCACATTGTTTTATAGAACTAGGAAAAGTGGCCAGGATAATGCTTGCATGTTCTTTGCCACTAGGGGATGTATGTAGGAGTATGAGCAAGTGATAGAAAGGCAAAAGAGCCAAAAAATGCTATTTGCCTTTATAATAACTTTTTTTTTTAAAAAAAAGGAACGTTTACCTGTGTCTTGACATTTCATTTCCAAAAAGTAATTCTGTGTTCATTTTAAGCTAAATGATATCTTTTATATGAAACAAAATGTTAACCTAAGTTTGTCCATCTGTTCTGTAGGCTTAACCCATGTGGTTTTTCTTACCTAGCTTCAGAAATGGAACAACTAAAGATTAGCCCAGCTGCTATGTTGGAGGATGAGATCACGTGGTTGGATAACTTTGAACCTACCCGTGCAGCTGAATGTGAAACCAGTGAAGCTGACAATGTGTTGTTGGCGGGACATTTGAGGCTCATTAAGACCCTCCTGTCACTTTGCGGAACAGAGAAGGAAATGCTAGGTAACTTGCTTTCAGTGCTTAGTTGTGTCATTACAATGTTAAACCTAGTGATTTCTTCCTCGCTGCTGAGATCGCTCAGGCTTCAGGTCACCAGAATTCCTAATTTGTCAGGTCAGGCTGCTTGCATCTGGTTGCCATGGGCAACAAGAGTTCTAATTTTCACAGTGGAAAGAGAATGGTTCTTCACCTCCTTTGTGGAGCAAGGTTTAAGCTTTCAGGCAAATAAGCAAATGCAGCAAATTTGGCAGTATGAACAACTATCTCTTAGGATAAGACCTGAGTGAGCAGAGGTTGTCTCACTTTCCTGCCTGCTTAGAACATACTTCAAATAGCAGTGGTCTTAAATGAAAATTATTTGCTGTTTTCCACATTTGATTCGTAGTGCTTTGGTCATAAACTAGACAATTAGAACAAAAATAACAGTTATCTGGGGTTCTGATAGCTATATGTGTAGCTTACAATAAAACAGGAACTGCATGTGATGCCATTTGATAATCATTGCTTAGTTGTTTTAGTAAAGGGAGGGGAAACTCTGGTGGTGGTGCTCTTTAAATACAGTGAAAGCTGCTATAGTCCGGCTTGTGTTCTGCCAAGGTGAAGCTGTCTGTTCTGACACTGGCAGCAGTTATCCAGTAAGACCTTTCTCAGCTCTGCTTCCTATGATCTGTTTAAGTGGAGATGATAGCAAAAGCATGGTCCCTCACTGGACACCTTTTTCTTGCATGATCATTTATTATAAATCATGTAACGGTCAACATTGAACATAGTGTTATTCCCTTTATAGGTTCGTCTTTGATCAAACCATTATTAGATGACTTCCTCTTCCGAGCATCTAGGATTATTCTGAACAGCCATTCTCCAGCTGGCAGTGTGGCTGCCACTCAGCAAGACTTTCATCCAAAGTAAAGAGTGCATGAGGACTTTTGTTGTATTAAACAAAGAAGCACAGAGGGCTCGGATCTACCATCCTTGAATAGTCAATCAGCTTTGTGCAGAATGGAACAATTTCCTTTTTTAAAAAAAGACATTAAAGTAAACTTCATAAGCAGTGCTTGAGTGTGCCGAGAAATTAAATAACCAAGAATAAATGTGGTTCCTGAGAGAGGCTATTAAGAAACATATTGAAATACTACTCAATTATAAATCATCCATATTGCTCTCATGTCCTTTATTACATTTTTAGAACATGATGTTCCATATCTGTGGAGAATCACATTTCAGATTCTTGAAGATTATTAAGCAATGTTTTAAATGCTCTTCCAGAACTATTTATTTTTACTGTGCATAATTTGAATGGGTATAGTCGGTCCATTACAAAATCCAAAGGGCTCAGTTGTTTTAAAAAGCAAAGCTCAATTCCTCTTTCAGAAGCAGAAAGGCATCTGAACAATTTATTGGACCATAGGGCTGGTGTAACTAACCCGTGCATTATCACAGTCCATAACTCCTTCAAAATGTTGAATGCCATACCCAGAAACAAAGAAATCGGGTTAACTGTTTTCGTAAATTTCTCTTATGGGTGTAACTTAACTTAGCCACTGAGCTTGGGATTTTATGCAGAAATCTAAGTACTTTTCTGCTTAAGTGTCATTTTATTTACATCCCAGAACCACCCTTTCTTTAGGAGGGAATGATAAGCACACAGACTTTTTTTATTCCTTGCCTTCCTCTGCAAAATAAATAACATCCACTGGTCCAGGAAATAAAAATGCCCTGAACGGTTTTAAAATTGGACTGCACAGATGGGCATTAAACTTTACTTGGATTCCCTTTGGCAACTATTGGAAGTAGGTCATTTGATATATCTTGCTAGTATGAAAACTGAATATGCAGCATGAACAAATTCTTTTTGCTCCCTTCTAGGTGCAGTACAGTGAATAGCCGATTAGCAGCATATGAAGTGCTGGTGATGCTGGCAGATAGCTCGCCTTCAAATCTACAGCTTATTACAAAAGAGCTGCTCTCTATGCATCACCAGCTTGATCCAGCTCTTTCCAAGGAATTTGATGTAAGTGCGTTGCTTCAATGGAAGTAATTTTTTTCACTCCAGCTATGTATATGTGAAGCTAAGTGTCAGATCTTCAGAATGGATTAAATAATGAGAGTCATAGAATTGTAGCATTGGAAGGAACCATAATGAATACTTTCGGAAAGTCTCTTGGATATTCAGTTTTTCAAATAATTATATCCATTAATGCTTTAAAACTTCTTTGCTACAAATTTCTGCTCTCTGCCTCCCTATCTTCCAGTATCTCCCACCTGTAGACGGTCGATCCATTTCAGGATTTGTGGGGCTAAAAAATGGAGGTGCAACATGTTACATGAATGCAGTCTTCCAACAGCTCTATATGCAGCCAGGACTTCCCGAGGTAATCTTTATTTACTGTTCTTAAAGCAAATTCTTTTGGAATGCCTGTTAACTTCACACATATAGTATAGGCTCTGGGAAGGAAGGAGTGCTGAATCATGAAAATGGGCCACAACTCTGAGGTAAATCCAAAACTACCTAGTTCAGAAATTACAAGGCTGAGAGTCATATGCAGTAAATGAGGGGATCTCTAACCTTGGTGGTGGGGTTTTGGCTCAGTCACATTTAGAAATCCAAAACTTTCTGGGACACCATAAAATGCCCATGTCACAGAATAAAAACTGTTGACGCTCACACAGGCAAAACACTTGTGTAGATGACAAAACAAACATGCAACACCCCCAGAAAAACACATACATCACAAAATAAACACAGTAAAAACTAGGCAAAACACGCATACCCCAGCAGTGACAAAAAGCCTAACTTTGGAAATAATTAAAAGCAAGGAGAACACCCAGCCCCAAACAACAAAAGCAAATTGCACACAAACACAAGCACCTAAAACAAAACAACAGGAGAAGCACACACACAATTGGTCCATCATCCCCAAGCCTCCCAGATAGCAGCAGGATTCCTTTTCTTCTCTGGAAAGGTTTGGAGGCTAAACACAGAGCTGGAGCTTGCCTGCCCTCTTTCCCCTTCCTTTGAAGAATACCTCTGGGCCCACCTGGGCCATAGTTGGAGCACAGGGGCATTTGAAGCCCAGGCTCTTGCTCTGCTTTGCTTGGAGGACAGATACGGGAGCCTTGTGATCTGTCCTCCTCATTGTTCCTTTAAGGGGACAGAATGAATTCCAGTCCTTTGAGGTAGTGCAGCTTGGTGAGAAGCCTCTCAATGAGGCCAGCCATGTTGCCCTACTCTTCGTCCCTTCCATCTTCCTAACCAGTATGTTTGTTGAAGGTGGGAATAGCTAATAAGGAGGCTTTGGGTATGTTGAATATTAATATTAAATACCTTGGTTACTGCTCTTACCAACTCCTGACAAAATTGAACTGTTCCTCAGTGTGATGCATTTGCAATAACTTTCCTTGCCAATTGTTTCCAAAGGCATTGCTTTCGATTGACGATGACATGGACAATCCCGATGACAATGTGTTCTATCAAGTTCAGTCACTCTTTGGTCACTTAATGGAGAGCAAGCTGCAGTATTATATACCTGAAAATTTCTGGAAGGTAATTCTCACCACCCCCAATTTTAACATGTAGATTTAGGTCTAAACATACTGAAATGCAGCAATACTAAAAGGGCTCTTACCTGTTTGAGTATACAGTCGTACCTTGGTTTTCAAACAGCTTAGTTCTCAAAAGTTTTTGCTCCCGAATGCTGCAAACCTGGAAGCAATGGTTCCAGTTTGCAAACTATTTTTGGAAGCTGAACGTCTGACAGGGCTTCCACAGCTTCTGATTGGCTGCAGCAGCTTCCTGCAGCCAATCAGAAGCCGTACTTGGTTTCCAAACATTTTGGAAGTTGAATGGACTCCCAGAACTGATTTCGTTCAACTTCTAAGGTGCAACTGTAATATATAGTTTTCCATATTGGTCACAGTCCAGTGGTGCAGATCACTGGGATGTTCTCTCCTTCTACTGGGAGGCAAGCTTTTTCCAGGGAACTGAGATTCATCTGCTGCTTTCCTTAAGAGTCTCAGTATCTTAAAGCGGTGACTCTATGGAATACATTTTATATTTTAGATCTTCAAGATGTGGAACAAGGAGCTCTACGTACGTGAACAACAAGATGCTTATGAGTTCTTCACAAGTCTTATAGATCAGCTGGATGAATACCTCAAGGTTATTTTTATGTTTGTTATGGTGTTATAATTACGCAGTAATTCTTTTCATTAACAGCCGCTTCATGTATAAGCTAGTTGCTATTAGCATTTTTTTATCTCTTACAGAAAATAGGACGAGACCAAATATTTAAGAACACTTTCCAGGGAATCTACTCTGATCAGAAAATCTGCAAGGACTGTCCTCATAGGTGGGTGAATTTTAACTAGGTTATTCCTAGTTACAGGTAGCCTACTTGGAAAAAAAAAATTCTTAATGTTAACTACTGGAACATTGTAGGAGAAGTACGGTACTTGATTTTCATCTTTGTTTAGTGCCATTCAGTGACTTCATTTTAAAGGAGTAAAAGCTCTTGATACGTACACTGCCAATATCCCCCCTCAACTTTTTCTCTTGCAGATTAGCATGATTCAGGCATGGAATTCTCCTTTCCACAGGCAGGGCCATGTCAGTCAGCTTTCAACATTCCATGGAATATGGCCTACCCAGTCCTAACCCTGCCTGCTCTGCAACAGCACAGAGCTCTTTCAACCATTTCTATCCTCCCTTCTCTGGATTATGTGGGAGAGGAGCCCAGTCATTTCTCAGTCAACACATTACATTAGATTTCTAAATTAATTTCTCAAGCCTTGATAATTCTCATAGGTTAGGGTTTATACGAGCCATTGCCAATTCTTCATTTTTAAAAGTAGAAATAAAACACAGCAGCTTGGTTGCAAGTACGGAAAACATGTTCCCAGCAAATGATGTCTGACTGGGAAGTCCCTTGTCCAGCCCTTTCCCAACCTAGTGCCTTCCAGGTGTTTTGGGCTACAACTCCCATCATCCCTGATCATTGGCCATGTTGAGTGGGCCTGATGGGATTTGGAATCCAAAACCTCTGGAGGCTGCCAGGTGAAGGAAGGCTGCCATAGATCTGTTTCTATGGCACCTGCCTCCCCTATCCTGTATGACACCCCCAACCCCATTTTCTTGTCAATATGGTTAGTATTGCATCTGTAATGATACTACTTCTTAATTCTTCATAAATAGTAACCATGGTTAGTTTTTAAGCAGCAAACCCTCACCAGGATTGAAATTGCAGGGAGGATGGGATGGAGCCATGAGTCTATAGCCTGCCGTCTTACAGCACAATCCAAACTCGAAGATCCTCTGGGATGAATGGGTTTGGTTCTGGCAGATTTTGGGCTTCCTCAGCTGGGGATATGTTGGCAGAGGTCTTTCACCCTGTCTGAGGTAGACAGAAGTCTCAAAAAAGGGAGGCATTCTGAGGGCCTGGCAGAGGTGGAACAGGGCAAGGAGAGACTTAGACCTTTTCCAAACCCCTTGCAATTAAGTCATGTGGCCTCACAACCCAGCAGAACTTAGCCAGCAAAATGGGTGGTGTGAATCAGATTCTTCCTTTACAGAGCTGGAAATAGGCTTAACTTAAGCCAGTGTAAATTAAGATTTTCTACACTTAAGATTGCTCTGTAAACCATCAAAGGAGATGATAAGCCTCATGTCTACAGTGGGTTTAACTGTTAAAGATATTGCCAAAAAGAGACTTCTCTTAAACCAAGAAACAATAGAGTTGGTAGTATTGCAGTCTAACGCTTTTTCATTATCCAATTTGGTGTAGGTATGAACGAGAGGAAGCCTTTATGGCTCTCAATCTAGGAGTCACTTCATGTCAAAGCCTGGAAATTTCATTGGATCAGTTTGTTAGAGGAGAAATTCTGGAAGGAAGTAATGCATATTACTGTGAGAAATGTAAAGAAAAGGTAATGCTTTCCCCCCCCCCTCCCCTGGTGACAGTTAAAATACCTGTGATATTCTAAGGGAGAGATAACCCAGGGTGTGTTAGTACACTGAGAGATCCGGAGAATGAGACTAGCCCAAGCCCTCAAGCTTAATGTGTTCTTGTTTTTATCACATTGATATTCTGCGCTTCCTTCGATGAGTACTGGGGTAGTATATACATATATATATATATATATATGGGGGGGGTGTCACTTCAGAATATTGGTGTCCTAGGCAAAGCAGAGACAAAATATTTGTATGTTGGAAAGTTTTTGCCTTTGAGAAAAGGCGTGTTGTAAATGATTTGATAAGGAATTAGTAGTTAGTCTTTAGAAAATAGTTTTCCTGCTCTTTGATTCTATCAACCGAAATCCATAATTGTAAGAACACTTCTCTACAGTGAGCAGGAAGTATGCATTCCCTGATGCTAAAATGAGTAGCTGGAGGTGACTCTCTTCTATTTTTAAGAGAACTACAGTAAAGCGGACATGCATTAAAGCTCTGCCTAGCTTGTTGGTGATCCACCTCATGAGATTTGGATTTGATTGGGAAAGTGGACGTTCCATTAAGTACGATGAACAGATAAAGGTAAGCGCAGCTGCTCTTTATTTCTTTTTTTTTTATATAATTTTTTTATTGATTTTACAGACATGTTTTATACAATACAAACAAATAAAAAGACATACAAACATGTATAGTTTCATAACCTTTTTTTCATAACCCTCTCTTCTCGGACTCCCCCCAAACCCCCCCTTCCTACATCCCAATTTCCAAAATTATTTCAGCAAATTCTAAATAATTTTATCAAATATATTTTTCTTATTATTTTTTTTTTCTTCAACTTAATCTTATGTCGCTGTAATCTCCTTTTCTTTCTCCAAACCTCGACATTTTAACATTCCTCAATTTTATAATAGTTCTTTAGATAGATTTTAAATTTCTTCCAATCTTCTTCCACCGTCTCTTTCCCCTGTTCACGGATTCTGCCAGTCATCTCAGCCAATGTCATATAGTCTATAACCTTCATCTGCCACTCTTCCTGCTCTTTATTTCTCTAAAGGCATTTTCTAGAATGGAATCTTTACTTCTCACCATTATTTATTCTGTTTCCAAGTATGCATGTTGCCCACGGTGTATCTCTGTCCCTCTGATAGGCCTTTGACATTATTGACATTACCTGCCCTAACTACTAATGGTGCTTGCAGAGTTTCAAAAGAAGTGATTGTGACTTGCTTTCTGAGCTGAAGTCCACAATCTTCCTCACTGGAAAAAAATAGGAAGTTCCATGCTGAGTCCTGGAAAAACAGACAAACCTTCTGGTTTGCTCTATGACTCTTCATCCCATAAACTATTTCCTGTGTTCAACCTTTAAAGGTTAGGCGCCCTGTGTTTTAGGTAATTACAGGAGGTTGATAAACAAGTAATAGGGCTCAGGTTTAAATTTAATCGCAAGTGTTTCCTTTCAAACAGTTCCCCTGGATGCTGAACATGGAACCCTATACAGTTTCAGGAATGGCCCGGCAAGATTCTTCCTCAGAAGTTGGAGACAATGGGCGACACATCGATCAGGGAGGGGCAGGATCCCCACGGAAGAAAGTGGCCCCTACAGAAAACTATGAGCTGGTTGGGGTGATAGTGCACAGTGGTCAGGCCCATGCAGGGCACTACTATTCCTTTATCAAAGATAGAAGGTAAGGAGAAAGCCTGCTCTGGACGGGCTCTACTAGTTCTTTGCTTGAGTACTTTAAAGCAGCTAAGACCATGCAGTGTTAAACTTGCAAACTCCTATTGGCAAATGCATCATTTTTGTACAGCACTTTTTAAAGCTCTGTATGAAAGTATACCAGTATGCTTGAAAGTTTTTGCAAATGCAATGGGGTAGCTCTGGCTTAAAACAAAACCAGAATCTTCCTTTCAAAGGATGTGTGTGACAGGAGGGATGATCTTTATAAAGTTTGAATCATTGTATGAAACAGACTGGTGGTGAATGTGTGATTTTTGCTATGATTTCTGATCCCTTTATATTCAGATCTGTTTTGTTCCATATTTGATTTTAACATTAAATCATTCTCAATGCAGATTATCTCTTTGGTAGCCATGAGAATTGGAAAGCTATTAGGAAACTTTTTTGAGATTTTTAAGCCATCATCTTTGACAGTGAGCATGGCTTGTGTTTCTGTGTGTTACCAACAGGGGATGTGGAAAAGGAAAATGGTTCAAATTCAATGACACAGTTGTTGAAGAATTTGAGTTGAATGATGAAACTTTGGAGTATGAATGCTTTGGCGGAGAGTATAGACCCAAAGTTTATGACCAGTGTAAGTATAAATTTTGTGTTCCATTATCACTTTTCCCTGCATTTAAATCTTACTCACTTCAGGGCTGAGTTACAGGATAACAGTTGCTGATGTGGAAGTTTGGTATCTGTCTTCAGAAAAATTTAATCATATTACTGACATACTGTATGGCTGCTGTCCTGTTGTTTTTTATTCTGTTCATATGGCTCCTTAACCAATTTGGAACTGAAGAGTGTAACTGGTGTGATCAGAGTTGCTACACAAAAACATGCTTTTTCTACACAGAAGGCATTACCATGTAGGAAGCAACGTGAAACGTGCGTGTGATGTGTAGTGTATTGCTTCTGTGCATGTGTGTGCACACACACACACACACAGAGTGAAGCATGCATGCATATGCTGTTTCCTGCACAGACCTACTTTTCTTGGCCCGGGGGTCGGGGGGAGAAAAATGTTTGACGTGAAACGGAAGTGAGCCACCTGCCTTTGGAAAATAAAATGCCATGGAAAATGTTGCTTGTTGACCCCCTTAATCAGCAATTTATTCTTTCCCCGTTGGAATGTGTAGATTTCCATTAACAACTGCCTGAAAATTGTAGTTAGGCCAGTATTCCTGCTGCAAGAATCAGGTCAGTCAACTATAAGGATATCTCTTCTTCGCAGCAAATCCATATCCTGATGTTCGCCGCCGCTACTGGAATGCCTACATGCTCTTCTACCAGAGAGTCTCTGACCAGAACTCGCCAGTTTTGCCAAAGAAAAGCAGAGTTAGCGTCGTGCGTCAGGAAGCTGAGGACCTGTCTTTGTAAGTTTACCTGCCTCTAACCCCGGTTATCTGATCCCTGCACAAGCAGAACATCTTGCTTCCCCACCAGTTTCTCTCTCTCTCTCTCTCTCTCTCTCTCTGTGTGTGTGTGTGTGTGTGTGTGTGTTTAAGCTACTTAACCAGAAGCTTATTCCTTCCATGAGGGACCTCTGCAGAATTTATAATCTTCTGTTCAGAGGAGTACTCTTGAGGCTATAATTTGGTTACGCATAAGCTCAGGACAGCTTCTGTTAGTATGTTTATGACCAGGGGCATCCAAGACATTTAGGAGGTGGGTGCTGTATGAAGGAATAGGACTGTACAAGCTACAGTATTGAAACTTTTTAAAGATAGAACCTTGAAAAAGTAGAACATAACCATTTGGGGGTGAATACTTGCACCATGAAACTCAAATCCTGCGAAAACGGCCAAAAAGCATTTAGTCAGAGAAACCTTTGGTTTTCTCTTTACCTTGTTTCATTTTTTCCCATTAGCAGGGGGCTGGCCAGCTGACTCTATGAAGCCTCTTTTCATTATGAAAAAGAAATGGTTCAGTTATGAACATCATTGGGTATTACAGATACAGTGTATTAGTAGTAGCAGAAGCAGAGCTGTGAGAGAGAGGGCTTGGCAGGCTGTTGAATGCATGGGAGCATCTGTTTAGAGCAATGTACTCAGCACCACAGCAGTAAACAGCCCTGGAGGCCTGATGAAGGAGGAGAAGCTACACTGGCTTCTTAGAAAACACTGTTCCACAGCGTGCTGCCCTAGCAAAGGATGCAGGATTGTAGCCACAATCAGCCATATAATGAGTTCAGGCCTTCCATGTGCAGAACGTAAAGTTATGATCAAATGTGCATTGCTAGATGCACAACATACTTGAGAACTTTGGCTTTGCACTTTGTCAAGCAAATGGAAGAATATATTTTCAGCATTGAGCTTACATGTGTTTTATTTCCCAGGTCTGCTCCATCTTCACCAGATGTTTCACCACAATCCTCGCCACGGCCCCATAGACCCAGTAGTGACCGCTTGTCCATCTTGACCAAGCTGGTCAAGAAAGGGGAGAAAAAAGGCTTATTTGTAGAAAAAATGCCGGTTCGGATATATCAGGTAAACAGTGTTAATGGCAGCTAGATAACATTATGAAAATGTCAGGTATTCACATTCACAGGTAGATAAAATTCTAGGTGTAATGGATATAGGTATATCTTTTACTCTCTGAATTGTTCTGGAGCAAAACAAAAATCAAATTTAATCTCGTAGATTTAGAGGTGACACTTCATTTTAAAGCTATTCAATTGAAGACCATTTCCTCAGGTTGTAGGAATCGATAATCAATAAATTGTAAGCCTATATGTCTGTCATTTTCAGTGGACAACTCAATTGTAGCTGCCCCTTTGTGTGTATCTTTGCCAGCACTATAACATAGAATAATAAAATTGTAGGGTTGGAAAGGGACCCAAGTGTCATCTAGTCCAACCCCCTGCAATGCAGGAATCTCAGCTGAAGCATCCGTGACAGAAAATCATGTGAAAGTTTAGTTACCGTTTTATGGCACTGTAATAAATGTGAGTTCTGTTTTCTATTTATTTTGCTGGTAATTCTTCACATAGAATATGCCATTAATCTCACTGCTGCAGCACACTGAGCCTGATGTTTTCAGTGAGCCTTTCCAGTATGACTTGATTAGCTTGGTGATAATTACAGCTAATTCAGCCCAAATCATGCCATTTCAAACATACAGTATGAGATATACATTGCTTCTAACATCCTGCTTTTAATGATGCTTTTGTTTACAAAATGTCATATTTTCTGTAAGAAAGATTTAGAAATTCTAAACATATCCTTGACTTTTATTTCTAAAACCAGACATGTGTTGTCTTTTCAGATGGTGAGAGATGAAAACCTGAAGTTTATGAAGAACAGAGATGTCTACAGCAGTGACTATTTTAGCTTTGTTTTATCGTTAGCTTCATTAAATGCTGTGAGTGATGAATTTTATCTTTCAGATACTAAGTGAAGTGAATTGCTGAGGCTCAGTGGAGCCAGAACAAGATAAACTGTCCTCATTGGGAAGAGGGGGAGAAATTAAGACTATCCAGCAGCAAACTTCTTTTTTAAAAATGAATGCATTGTTGATATAGCATACTATGGCCTCTTTGATTACTTAACTGCAGTAACATATGTTCAGTCTCTGATTATATCTTTTAGGGTGTTCACTGCCTGTGTGTGGGCCAAAATACAGGGTGATTTGTGGGGCTGTCCTCCACCAAGTTGGATGAAGGATCCCACAAAGCTTTATGTTGTTCTGTCCTATTGTTTCTGTACTTTTCCCCTCATATATCTATTTTTTCCTACATCTCTTTGCAAGAAGGCTGTCCAAAATGTTGTTGAAGGGCTCTAGATTGTGTTTTTTGTCAAAGCACAGCGGTGTAGGACTTTTTAAGAAGTTAGAAGCTACTCACACACATATATATTAGCTCCTGTGTTGCTCTGCTTTAACAAAGAAAACTGAAACACCAAAACTCTGCGGCCAACATTTTAGACACCCTAAGGCTGTATGGCTTATCGTAGGCCTGTAAAACCCATCAGAGGACACAACCACTGGAATGAAAAAGCTGGTATGAAGCATTTAATACACACACCTTTAATTATTGTATGAAGAGAAAAGACAAGAGACAAATACCTGCTTCCCTCGCCCTTGTAAATTTCATCCACTTTGGTCAAAGGGAGGGGGCAGTGATACCATTTTTCAATTCTCCATTATAGTGAATGGGAACCTCAGAATTTTGTTTACACAAAACCAAATCAAATAGCAGGAAGCAATTTGAAAATGGATCAGAATTTTAAAACACATACAGCTACAAGGCAAATATTGAGCCCACTGCACACACTCATAGTTTGGTTTGAGCTAAAGAGGAAGGTCCAAAAAATGAGAAAAAGTTTGTGCTGAATTGCAGCTCCCAGAGCATAATCCAAGGGACAGAAGCTGTTTTCCCCCTTTCTTTAAACACCAAGGAGCTTAGCAGAAGAGTGGAAGTCACCAGACATGACATTTGACAAAGCATTTTTCTGAAACCTCAGATCATTCTCTTTACCTTCTTATGCCATCCTAAAACTATTTTGGCACCATCTCAGTTCCAGTCTGAAAAGTGTGTTTAATAATCTTATCAGAAAGGCCAGTACTTGTGGTGTTATGTGATGCACTTTCTTTTTCTTAGACAAAGTTAAAACACCCCCATTATCCATCTATGGCAAGAGTAAGTTTACAACTAGCAGTCCAGTTCCTCTTCCAGACGTGTCTGCGAACCAAGAAAAAACTCAGGTAACACTTTTAAAAGCTTTTTAAAAGAGAGAAAACTTATATTTCACATATTGAAGTCTTGCTGACCTTGCTGTGATTTTTTTGTGTGTTTTTTTAAGGGTTGACATAGAAGAATGGATTGCAACCATTGATGCTTTGGTTTCTAAAAGTTTTGAAGCTTGTCAATGGTTGGTTGAATATTTAGTTGAGGCAGAAGGGCGAGAGCTCATAAAGTAAGTATCAACATAAGTACGCAAGTCTAACTATTATATACTACTCGCTTATCTTCATTAGAGGCATGTACCCAAAAATTTGTATACTTGGATGAATAAGCCATATGAGAGAATGATCTACTTGTGGAGAGGCAGATAGCCTTTTAGATATATTTTCTGGCAGGATATATATCTGAATATAAAAATTGCTTGATCCATTAAGTGCACAGTGAGTCAATGTGTGTGTGTAGGCATGTGTCTGCTCCAAATGACAAGCTCTGTCACACTGAACGACTTTCAGTGGAAAGAAAGCCTATCTACATTGCTTTAGGCAGTCAATTACTGCTTCCTTTTAATCTGTCTATTTTGTTATGGTATTAAGTCCTGCTGATTTGAAGAATTCCTGTCAGACGCACATAGATATCATTTACATTCTATGAGGCACCTTCAGTTTGGCTATTAAGTGACCGTATCCAGTCTTTCTACTCTCAAAGAAGTGTAAATACTGGATTTCACACTTGAGTAAAAGGCAGGGATTGCAGATTTCTACTGGCACATGAGAGAGATGGATTCTATCGCGCACATCTTCATTTTTATTGCATGTGTGCATTTTTCAGGACTTTTCTACTGGAATGCAGTGTAAGAGAAGTGCGAGTTGCTGTAGCCACCATTCTTGAAAAAACCTTAGACAGTGCCTTGTTTTATCAGGAAAAGGTCAGTAATATGTAACTGCTGGTATGCGAAACATATCATTGCACTTCAGAATATTGTATGCTGCTGCTTCATTAATGGTATATGTAAATTGTTCCCCACCCCTCTGCCGCCCTTGCTCTTCTATCTTATTTCTTTAGTCTGTTCACTGCCAGAATCTTGTGACTAGTTTCAGACCTTTGCAAATCCTATGGTTCTGTGATGGTTTTGTCTAAGTGCGGTATTAAGTGTTGTGAGAAAATCCTACTTGAAAAAATAAGTTTCTGTTCGAACAACTGCAGAGATCCATTTGAGAATGTAGGGTCGACGTTTGGTAAAATCTCAGGAGGTGGTTGGTGGTCAGAGGAAGAGGCTTAAATGTCCTGCCTAGCTCCTTACATACACACGCCCCAAAGTTGTTTTCGCTGTGCTCAATACAGAGCTTTTTAAGCTTGAGTGTTTTTACTTAAATTTGCTGGGCCAGTGGTCAGACTTGAAAGTGTTATAGTCCTTCTATTCTAAGAGTGTATACGCTGATGCCCTTCTTAAATAAAGTTATTTTGTTCTAAGGATATGTGTGACTCCTGAAATGTATGTAATAGGATTGTTCAGGGGGGTTGTTAAGGAAGCAGTGCCCAGTGACCAGCTGAACCAAGCTGCCTGGCATTTGTCTTCAGCAAGCCTAATAAATCCATAGGCAGTAGGTGCCTTTTGTACTTATTGTTAAATGTGCCTTAATTAAATCTGCCTTCCTGATAATACAAGATCTCCCATCTCTACTTTTCAACAGTTGAAAAGTCTGCATCAGTTAGTGGATGTGCTGCTTGGTCTGTTGGACAAGGACGTCCCTGAGAACTGCAAAAACTGTGCCCAGTACTTCTTCTTGTTCAACAATTTTGTACAAAAGGTAAACCAAATACTCACTCTTCCACTTCTCTCTTTATTTGTCCTATGTCCTAGGACAAATTTATGTTATGGGTAAACATTACCACTATCACATAAAGGTAGATTATTTTTCTGGATTTCTTATATAGCCATTTAGAGTTTAAACCTGTTACAGGTGCTCAAATCAAGCCCTATTGACTGGAGAGCATGCCTTTCCCCAGGTGCTTTCCAGTGGTCTGCTGCAGTCTTTAGGGCATGTGTTTCCAGCTGTCAGGACTTCCTTTGTGTTCAGGGCATCCTATTGTTAAACTGGTAGGCAAGCAAACCTGAAAGAAAAAATACCTGCAAATCACAGGGAATCTGGTGCTGTGGAGCCATTCAAAAACCTGCCAGTCAGTAGTATTCAATTTAATCATATGTGCTTTTGGAAAGTATGAAGCATAATAAGGAACCATAATCTAAAATGTGCAGGCATGCTCTGTATATGGAAACAGATGTGACCCTATGTTCTGTTTGTCCTTTCACAGCAGGGTATAAGAGCTTGTGATCTCCTTCTCAGGCATTCTGCCTTGAGGCATATGATCAACTTTCTCCTTGGTCCTAGCCGTCAGAATAACCAGGTAATGAGGTGCTTAATATCATCCAGTAGCCTTTTGTGTTGCCTTCAAGTTCATATACTCAGTTACAGAAACTACCCGTTGGGATTAAAACCATCCTTGCAAGCCATTGTGAACTCTGTCTTCCGATTGCCACCGCTGCTCCTGCACCTGAGAGCCCAAGAGAAGCAGCCAAGGAAATTTAATCTGTGTGCTCATCTTCCCCCTGCAACCGTATGTGCAAGAAAACAGCCAGACTCCCTGCAGCTTGGGCCCAGCTCTGCGCTGCCAGCAGCATTTGAGGCAGGAGGGAGGCAGAGCCATGTTCTTGGCTTGCCTTGGCAGCTGCTGGTACTGATTGCCTCAAGCCTGTAGGTGATTCAGCTCAACTCAGCCCTGTTCTGAACTTGCTGCATGCATTGCTTCTCCCTCTTAGAACACCCTACCAATTGTTGGGACAAGTTGCTGATGGAAGGCTTTTTGCATTAATCAAACAGAAATGGGTGCCTACTTGCAACGTAACCCGATTCATGGTGCGATATGCCTAGGTTCTGCTGTACCATAAAATTGAGTCTACCTTGGAAACTCAAAGTGAGTTTTCCATATAGCACTCTATACTTTGCTACTAGTATATGAACACAGTTGCTGCTCACTTAAAGCAAGCATATGATTGGTTTTAGAATTGCTCTTCCCTTAAATAAAAGAAAAGAAAGGACACAAAACTGAAAAGTATGTGCAGGCAATGGTGTTTAAACAGGGCTTGCAAAATAATCTTCTACTCTTTTTTTTTATTAATATTGCCTAACAAAAACAGAATCGCAGATGGAGTTCAGCACAAGCTCGAGAGTTTGGGTTCCTCCATAATACCGTGGCACTGCTTGTTTTGCACTCTGATGTCTCATCACAAAGGAATGTGGGTAAGTATTTTATTTCACAAAGTTAAATGGCTGCTGTTAATAATGCAGCTTGGCAGATCTTCAGTAAAGAGATTAAACTTCCTCAGTTTACCCACCAAGAGCAATTCCTGGTTTTCAGTGACTATTTGGAAGGAGTGTACACCAGCCACAATATTCAACTTTTAATCTGCAGCTTTGGGAAGCAGCCTGATCTGTTTGGAGCCAGTCTTTCCAATTCAACCCATTGTTATTCAGAGCAGAGCCAATTTAGATCTGTTAAAAATTAAGCTCTGTTTTCTCAACCCCTTCGTGATAATGGGGAATCTAAAAACAGCTGTAACTTTCTTCCCTTTTCACAGAAGTGGGTTAAATTTGCCAGTGGGTCCTTGCTTGGAGGACCCTCCAGAGTGGATTAAGCCTGCAAACTGTAGGCATTTATATCCAGGGGACACCTAAAGGTTAGATTCTTTTCCCATCAAAGGACAAGTTATACTTTTTTTCACTTTCTTCCAGAATTGGATGAAATTTGTAGGCACAGTCACCCTTTCTGTGAGAGAATGAAGTTTCACGGTGCTTCTCCCACAAGTCAGACTTGACCATTTTAGGGTGGGCACACTAGGAATTGCGGGCGAAGAAAAAAAGTGCTAGATTCTCATGAAATAATTGAGTGTGGGAATGTCGCTCCTAGCAAAGACCCTTGTGCCCAAATGGTTCTTGTTAGCGGGTTGAGATTCTGCCTCCTACAGACATTTGGAGGCAAATTTTCTACTCACAAGGAGACTTGCATGGAAAGGGGTTTCTGCAAAACAGCACAAATCCCTAGGAAAAAGCGATTTCTCCCAGCAAGGACCTGTTACCGTAAGGGTCAAAGGGCTGGTCTTCAGCCCCTTTCCCACTTACTTTGAGGCATACAATGGAAATCTTTCCATTCGCTTGCATAGAGGAAAACATGTAAAGAAATAGCTTTCAAGCCCTCCTCTAAATATCTGATTGGAGTGCTCTGGGAAAAGAAATCAGTGTTTCAAAGCTAGACCTGTTTCTCAGATTCAACCACCTCTCCACCCGTCCGAGGTTTGGGAGTTTCCCCCAGTCAGCTTGACTTAGTTTCTGGGAGGCTAGGGGTGGGAATCAAGGCCACAGAGCCACCTGGAGGCTTAGGGAGTCCCCAGTCCGTCTGGAGGCACCATGCTAGTAGCACAGTCTGATGTGGGAATCTTCCCCAAATCACCTTGTAATTTGCAGTACACAGAACCAGTGCACACCCCTGCTATTTACTCTCTGCATATAAAGTTGCTACTCAAAAGGAGTAGTGGTTCAACTATTTTCTCAGGAGGCAGGCAGGTGGGGGATGTCTCCGTGTATTTGTTCAGGAAGGCCGGAAATCACATGGATCGAAGTTTTTGCTATCCTCTCCACCACTCCTCCCTCTGTGTGTTTCCTGCCTCCATATTTCATTTCTTTTCATTTCATTTTGTTTATTTTTCAGCTCCTGGTTTGTGTGTTCTGCATTCACCCCTTAGCATTACCACCTCTGGGCCGCTCCTGGCCCTCCATGAAGAAGTAGAAGCTTTACTGTTCCTGCCCGAGGGGAAGCCTTATTTAATGGAGGTAAGCTACTGTTTTAGGCCTATAAATTATGAGGCTTGGGTTGGGTCTTAAATGTGAAGAACATTTAAAAAGAGCAAATCTACGAGTTTCCCAAAGCTGGATTTTTTATTTTTATTTTAAGAAAGAACGGCTGCCTAATCTGACTCTTTGTGTTTCTTCATTAGGTGATGTACGCATTAAGGGAGCTGACTGGATCACTGCTGGTCCTCATTGAGATGGTGGTGTACTGCTGCTTTTGTAATGAGCACTTTTCCTTTACCATGCTGCATTTCATCAAGGTAAGGAGAAACCAGTCAGGGTACACTTTCAAAACATGGCCTGTTCTACGTTGGTGCCTGTGTGTGCGCACGCACGCATGTCTGTGTCCGTAGCAGCTCTGTGCAGTACAGAATCGAATTGCCTGTTGCATAATCTCCATATTGGCAGATGCCAATTCTTCAGAATGAAAGAGCTTATTTGCACTTCACTGTACACATTAGCTATTGTAGCACATGAAAAGGCTCTGCAAAAAGGTACGAATAGCCAGAGCTTCTGGCATATTCCTCCATTCATCCATGCATGCATATTAATTGCATTTCTGTCCCACCCTTTTTGCGAAGGAGCTGAAGGTGGCATGCATGGTTCTTCCCTTCCTCAGTCCCCACAACAACCCTGTGAGGTAGGTTAAGCTAAGGGACTGCGACTGGCCCAAAGTTACCCAGTGAGCTTCATTGCCAAGTGGGGATTTGGTCATAGTGCAACATATTTCATATTTATAAATGTAACTTACTTGCTTTTACGAGAGCAAAACGTTTATATTTGAAATAGCAAAACAAACAAAAATTGCTTAGTTTCCAGGAAGCAGGAGACGTGTATGTGTTTTAGCCCATAGTTTGTACTCCTCTCACTTCTCTAATTTTCCTATTTTATATGTTTGGTTCCTGCTGCCTGTCCTCTAGCACCCTATCCTTTGAACCAATGCTCTTCAGAAAAAAATCACAAATAAAGAATTCTTCCCCAGAACAAATTGAAAAAAAAAGTTTAAATGTATTTCTCTGATGACACAGGCTTCTGATAAAAGTGCAGATATCTAGCCCCTACCTTGTTATAATTTAGGGGTTTTTAAAAATGCAAAATCATATATGAATTATTATCCTAAATCTGATATTCATGTACGTGCCCTTCCGCCTGCTTAAATCTGCGTCTTCAACTTACAGAATCAGCTGGAGACTGCTCCACCCCATGAATTGAAGAACACCTTCCAGCTTCTTCATGAGATACTGGTAACTGAACACACCTTAATAACAAACAGGGTTTTTTTTGCTTGTTTGTGTTATACTGTTCACTCAGTTGATATGCATTGGAGTACAGATGAAAATGCCAAAAACGAAACTAATTTATACAACCAATGTATCTTATATCCATACGGATTTTTCATTATCTGGTTTTTGCAGTGTCATAATATTATTTATCTTGCTAACATAACAATGGATATAATCTAGCCAAGGTAGAATCGAGCGAAAGCCCTTTTGTGCAGGCAGAAGTCCTTGTACTAGTGGAAAGACTTCGTTGGGTACAACCAAGAAATGTATAACTATACGATAGATTCCAAGTGTCTGTATAAAATAATTGTTCTGTTCCTTTTCGCAGATTATTGAAGATCCTTTGCAAATAGAGCGGGTCAAGTTTGCATTTGAGACTGAAAATGGATTGCTGGGTGAGTAAACCTGCTGTGAAGTGTTAATGGATCCAAAGAACCTTGTAGGTTCTTCCATGCATGCAAAGAGGATTTGTTTTTTCTCAGCATCCTGGCATATCACTTTGAAATTGTGGGAAACTTCCAGAACACATAATCGGCAGTAAGAAAATCAATGGCTTAAATCCAGTGGTCGCATAAGTGAAAGGCAGGTTGCACAAGCAATCTTCCTCTTCTTTCCACCTGAAAACTCTCTAGGGGGTGAAGGGGCTGTGTGATACAGAGTGGCAATGCAGGAGAGGAGAATTTCCCCCTTCCAGTGACAACAGTTCAGCCCCACCCAAAAAAAACTTCTGGACAGGGTTTTCATTTTGTACAGAAGGCGGGGGGGGGGGAGAGATCATTTGCGTAAGCAGCCTTACACTTCCACAGCTAATGGATACTGCCCACAATCTCTGTCCTTGAATATATTCAAGTGAAGAATTAGAAACAAATTTATGAGGTGTGAATTCAAAAGGAGCTTTTTTTTTATTGTGAAGACTTGGTTCATATAGAAACTGAAGCGCTTTTTATCATTTTGACTACTACGTCAGAAGCAGGTGGCATCAAAAGAACAGAAATCCTGTAGGTAACGGGGGGGGGGGGGTTATGTTGTTAATCAAACTTCATCATCTTTAATTGCTCTATTATAACCTAGGTTGTAATCACACAGCTCACTGCATGTTTTAACTAGAAAGGGGGTCTTAACATTTTGTTGTTGTTAAGTAAGACATGAATCATAGGCTAAATTCATACGTTGCACCAAACGATGCTTTTGTCTAAGTTAGCGAACCGTAGTTACAGCTATTGTCTGCAGAAGCTGGTGCTGCTCAATAAAAGTGAGAAATATTTATGGAAAACTTCTTGAAATGGTTTATCTGTGGAACGTTTTGAAACTACAACCATGGTTTAGATTCTACACTCTGATTAGTGGTCTGACATGAAGCCCAAACTAGGATGTAGAATCAAATCTCCCTGCTTTATGGCAGGGTCCACTCCTGAAGTCTTTAATACTGATTAATCTCCTTTCTTTTCCTTCAACAGCACTGATGCACCACAGTAATAACCATGTGGACAGCAGTCGCTGTTATCAGTGTGTCAAATTCTTGGTCACTCTTGCTCAGAAGTAAGTATAACTCAGTGAAATGGAAGTCGGGGTGCTCTGTTTGTATTAAGTCACATGATTATAAGAAGCAGCTGTGTCTTCAGCAAGCCTTTGCCAGTTCTCTTTTATCCTTTCTCAGGCCCAAATAAAATGTGTAGGATCCATTTATAATCTAGATAAAGGGTCTGCTTCTTGTGAACCTGTGATCCAAGGAAGACTAGTTGTATGCTGTGCATTCAGTTGCATTGTAATAATAGCAGGCTCAAAGAAAACACTGTACAGAACAGCAAATATGAAGCCTGTGCTCTTTGAAAAATAGTGATGTTCTGTCACTTGTAAAATCGTCCTGTCACTGCAATGTATCATAGCCACTCAGCTGACTGACTGTGACAAAGAAGAATTGCCCCGTGTGACAAGGAAGGAAAGGTTTTGTAAAGTGGAAGAATTTGTACTTTGGAGACGTTCTGAAACATTGGACTCCATCCTGCTCTGTATTGCAGCACACAAGCAAAGGCAGTGAATTGCACAGCCAGACAGTTCATAAAGTATGAAAAGGGAGTGTGATCCTAAATTACCTTTAGATAAATAGTTTTAATAATTTGCTTTGGATTTCAAAGGTGCTCTGCTGCTAAAGATTATTTCAAGGAGAATTCCCATCATTGGAGTTGGGCTGTACAGTGGCTTCAGATAAAGGTAATTTAAACCCTTTCGTTACAAAAGTTTATTCACGTGGCTATAGTACTGTTCCACAGTTTCCATTAATGGGTGCTTTCATATTTCTCTAGATGTCTGAACACTACTGGGCTCCACAGAGTAATGTATCCAATGAAACCTCAACCGCCAAAACCTTTCAGCGCACTATTTCTGCACAGGTCAGCCTAAATTTGACACTCTTTACACAGAATCTCTGTGGGCTGTAGTTACCGTGTGTGTGTGTTTATACAAATATAATGAAAATGGTAATGCTGTCTAGCATTTTTGCTGTCGTGTGCAGAACTCTCCTGTCTAATTACTATGTAATATTGGCCGATGATTGCAAAGTTTTATTATGAAAAGCACAGCAAACTTGGTGTACAAATGCCGCAAGCTACATGCATGTATGCATACATTGCCCGTCTTCATAGGCTTGAAATTCATTAGCATGACTGATTTTTAAATAATTTCAAGTTGCCCATTGCTTTAAACATTGAAACAGGACTGAAGTGCCATAACTTTCCAGTTTGCTCTTTTAAAAAATAAACCTCAGGGGTGGGGGACCTTGGGGCCCAGGAGCCAAATCCAACTCTCCTGCCCTCTCTGCATCTCACCCTTTTGCATTTGGAGTGCTTTGGCCCAGCAGTGTCCCTGAACAGAAGATGAAGACTCTGTGTGAAGTAGCCTACTATGCAAAAGTGAAAGCTGTGTTTGTTGCTCCTCCCCCCTTTGCTTCTGGCTCCGCCCTCCACTACCATGTGGTCTTCCAAGGTTGCGCAGAAGGGAATATGGCCCACAGGCTAAGAAAAAGGAGCCCCTGCCATGCAGTATAGCAAGGGATTTTTGTTAAGTCTCCTATATGGGATCACTACCATGCTTTTTAAAAAAACCAAAAACCAGTTTGCCATATTTGAACCAGTGCCAATTTATGCCTGTTTGCAGTACTGCATTTCTTTTTCCTGGTGACCAGCAACATTGTGTAAAAAGTATTTACTTGGCTCTTAAGTCCTGTGGTTTTCCTTTAGGACACGCTGGCATATGCCACAGCCTTGCTGAATGAGAAGGATCAATCAGGAAGCAGTAACGGATCCGAGAGCAGCCCAGCCAATGAGAATGGTGGCAGACATCTACCACAGGTAAAGGACAAGGTTGTTCTGAGTCCATTACCTGCATGCTTGCTGCTGTTAGCTTCCTTAATGGCACTGCCTCTTTAAAGCTGAGTGACTAATACTTCGGAAATGCTTTGATTTCCGTTCACCGTTCTTGCTTTGCATAACCTGATGTTGAAAACTTTTGAATTCCACCCCAGAAGCTCACCTGTTTTATAATAGTGATTGTTTTCTATAGACGACCATAATTCCCATTCATGCGTTCAAGAAGCTGTGAGAGTGGTTGCTTGACTTGAGAGTTTCGCAGAGACAGCTTCATATAGAAAGTCATTTGTGCAAGAAGCTTCCCACGTGGTTCCAACTAGTTTTAAACCCCACCCAGTGCAAATGAATTGAGCTTGTGCATTCTTCTGTTAAAAGCTGAAATGTAAACTTTTGGAAGCCAGGTAGGACCTTACCACCTGTCTTCCTCAAGAACCATTTGCAGTGTTCTTTGTTTCAAAGGCCTTGTTGCCCAGCTTGATTTGACTTCAGGCCAGTCTAGCACCAAAGAGTGATAAGCACAAAGCATCAGAATACTGAAATACTTGGCTAACAGGCACAGAACAGTTTCACAATATAGCCAAGATAGGTTTGATACTAGCCTGGTTTAAGATGCATCTGTTTCTAAGCAATATAGTGGAGTTCTTAAGCACATTACTTTCTTAGATGAAATTCACACTCTCAGACTGAGGCAAGAATTAGCTCTACTAGCAGCATCTTGGAGGCTTAATTTGGTCTGGCATACTTTTACCGTAGTGCGCCTTTCTGGTAACTCTTGTGCCATTCAGATCAGCGAAATGATTGCTGAGTAGTTCTAAATTGCCAGCTATGCGGTGATAGTTCACAGTGCCTGGGGTCTGTGATGTACTGCCCATGATCTCCATAGCATCTTGAGACACTTCACTTGGCACCTGCTAAGACCCACTGCCCCTCCCAATACTCTTTAAAGAGCATTTGACTCCCCCCACTTTCCATGAGTAGAAATAAAAGGGCATGCATCCAGCCACACCTTCATCTTGTCTCCTTTTCTCCAGAATGCTTCTTGCCCACCCACTTTTTTGTTCAGTTGCTTGTTTTGGTTTCGTGAAGGTTGCCTGCTTGCTTGTTTTGAGGGGAGGCAGTTTGCGTGCTTTTTGTTGGTTGGAGGGCGTTTTGCTTGTTTTGGTGGGGAGGTTGCCTGCTTTTAGCTGTATGTGTTTTATTTGGGAGAGGGTGGTCTCAGCATTGCCTATTCCTTCTGTGAAATGGGTGTATTGTGTTGCCTGCTTCAGATTTCCAAATGTGCTTTCAAACCCCAGAAGGCTAGGGACCCCTGCATTATGTGATACTTGGAAGAGTACATATGCTTTCCTAACTCTTTTGTGTTTTTGAAAGGGCACAGTGTCCCCAATGATGATTGGTGAACCTAAAAGTGACCTTGATGATGTGGATCCTTAGTGGTTAGCTGCAAGCTGAAGAACAAGCGTTCAACAGAAGCATTGAACCCCTGGCATCTTTCTGATATTGTTAAAATCCCACCGCTTTCATCTTTTAGAAGTGAAGCTTTCTAAGAAAAAGTGGCCATGCTACTTCCTAAAGAGAGATTCTCCAACTGAGAAGTTTAAGCATCAGGCTGTGGGGGAAGTCCCAGCATCCTTTGTGGTTCTTGTGGGATGCTGGTCCAAGCATGAGTTTAAAAATCTGTCACAAGATTTTACCAATTTAAGGAAAAATATCAAGTGGTTGAAATTTTTATTATGTGAACCTTTAATGAGTGAATGTAAAAAAACTTGCTTTTCTGTGATGCTGCAAAAAAAAAAAACTTTCAGTTTTTATACAGAAGAAGAAAAAAATCTGACTGCCTTTAGGTATGGAGGGCAAATTTTTAATCTTTCTGAAAATATTGAATAGTGATATTCAAAATTATGTAAAAATGTGTGACTTACACTTGGCATTGTAAATTATTAGTTAAGAATCAGTTTACACAAGGACCTTTGTATTTAATATGTCTCCTAGGTCATTTGTATAGCGCTTTGCAGAAAGGGTTTGCAGCCCTTTTGTGTAAGGATGGTTATTCCTTATGGAATGGTTTTGGTACAAGGAAGTCTGAAATTGGTAACTTTTTTCCCTGATGCTAAAAGTAAATGGATAAGAGCAATAAAGTAGCTTTGTTTATTCCAAGAATACATTTATGTATTGTGGCATCAGCGGATCTTTTTAAAAAAAATGTTGATGAGTAAGTTTAACAAAACAAAAAAAGCACTTTAAGGCAGAATTTTATTGCTGTTTTGCCTCCTTAAATCATCATTCTAACACTTGGAGACATATTGAATAAATTGTAGTCTTAATGATGTGATCTGCAATCATTTGCTTATGCTTTTGAATTTGAGAGTTGGAATTGGCTGTATATGATTCCTTGAGTGACATGGGGACATATGAATCTTTTTTTAAAAAAAAAAATAACACAGGCAAAGATTGTTGGCTTTGTTTTGCTTGGCCAGGCAGCATTGAAAATACAACAGGTTCATTTGTTCCTTAATAACTGGAAACCAATTGAGCTACATGGGTACAATTTAGTTTTCCCATGTGAAATGCAGTTAAGTGATGTCTTTAGCAGCTCTGGGTACTAGCTTCTTCTGTGCCAATTTTTAGTTTTTAGTTTTTTCACAGTTTTTTTTGCACTGCTTTTGCCTTTGTTCAAGGATTTTGCCTTAATTTAAATGAAATGCACCATGCACATGAATTGAGGGGAAGTTGTAGAGTGCCTGGGTTACCTCCACTGTAGAAAGGTTTGCCAAGTCAAAGGCACAAACAGCCAAAAAGTGCCTCTTTTTTCTTTTCACTTTTATGTACTATTGCAAAACCTGATCTGACACAAAAGCTTTCTTCACAGTTGTGCACTGGTTGTGAATATTACAGGTCACTTCACTGCTGAAGGAAACAGCTATACATCTTCCAGCTGGAATTCTCTGCCATGTGTTTTGAGTCAAAGGAATCGTGTTGGTAACACTGCATGTGCAAAACAGTGACATTTCAGTTGAATTTGCTTCTCTCAAGACACGTGTCTTCTTTGAAATGTGGCAGAATCCAGATATTTTATCAAAAGCCTCCAAAATTTTAAATGTGGTGTTTTAAAATTTTGAATAAATTTTGATGTCCCACCCCATTTTTTATTGCAGCACCTATCTTCACTTTTAAGTTGAACCAGAAGCGAGTGTTAACAGAGGTGATATTAAAAAGTATCACTCCTGTTTGTCCAAAGGCATTGGCGCTTCCATCATTTCCTATGGAAAAGATGGTCTCTTTTCAGACTGAAACAGAACATTCAACCCCAGGAATGTTCTGCTTTACCACCATACATTATAACATTATTGCAGGCTGTTTTCTGGTCCTCTTTCCGCTTGTACAGAGTTGATGGTTACTGTTTTCAACTACAACAATTGGTTGATTATTTGATTTCTGGCTGCTATCACTTGAATCTGCTGAAGAATATTTTTTTAAAAAAACCAAATGCAACAAATCTAGTTTGCTGTGTAAATTGTGACATGTTTCTATGTTGTGATCACTTTTACTGCCAGTCTTTTTGGATGAAAAATGGATATGATATATGTTTAATGGAATGTTCTATGGGGTGGGGTGGCAGCTGCGATTCAACTGTGCACTCTTAGCTGTGTGTGGATTTGTCCAACTAATTCCTAAGGCACTTGGTACTGGAAAAGAAAAGGCAGTTCTCATGGGGGGAAATCCTGGTCAACGGAATAAAGTTTATTCCTCTCACACACAAAAAAGGACCAGTCTGATCATTAGGTTGTGAAAAGAGGTCAGATGTCATTTTGCTGGTGTTTTACTCAGGAAATTGCCCTATACTTCCTCTATAGATTTCCGCTGAAGACTAGCAGAAATCTGTACCTTTGTCATGTCAGGTAGCTGTCTAACAAAAAGAATGCATCTAGTCAAAACACATTGGGTGCAAATGGTTGGCAGGACTGCCAGGTTTTTGTTTGTTTTTTAAAAAAAGCCAAGCTGAATGCACACAAGTTAAATGTGCATAAGTTGTGAGCTACCTGTAGTTAATATTCTGCTTAAGAGGAGGCTACACAGTTATGTGTTCCCAAGAAAATTCATATGAAACTTTATTCCAAAAAAAGATGGCATTATAAAATGTTTTATATAAAACAGAATAAATAGTTTCCAGATAAAAATGTAAAACCCACAGCACGAGGAAAGCTTTTCTTTACATTAAGCACCTATCAATTACAGTAGTTAATATGTGTGTTAGTTCAAAAACACTTACAAAGTATAACATGCTGTCTACATTACTCATGAAAAAGCTGTTTAGACTGCAGCCCTATGCAGACTTACCTGGAAAGTAAGCCTCACTTCTGAGAAAACAGGGAAGGATTGGTCTGTCAGAGTATTTTTAACATACTATTTCAACATACATCAACAGATAAACTTTTGATTATGTAAGCAATTGGGAAACTTGACTAAAAACCCAAAGGAGGGAAGGACTTGTGCCTGCTTAAAACAAAAATTAAAATCGTAGCTACCAAGTGCTTTATCAGTAAACCAAACTATTTGGCCTAAATTACTGACAGTGTGCTTGACTTCGCAGTATCTCATGTGTGGTTTATGGCCAATAATAGTTTGTGGTCTCCTGAATCTTAAGTGCTTTGGGTTCTAAAGAAATGTTCTTCAACAACTCAGTGGTATTCTTGGAGGCCAACAATGAAATCTAAACTGTTCCCTCTACCTCGGCTGATGACTTTTGCAGTGCCTTCCGCGGTCACAGGTAGGGGCAACAGTGGCCAGTTAAATATGGCCGCCTTAACATGGGATCACAGTAAACAGCCCTTGTAGATGCGGCATTTCTAGGTTAGAAGGCAGCATCAGAAGTCATCCTGACCACTCCTTGTTTTCAGGGAGGAGGGTTTTAAATTTGCAAGGCTCTCCGTTAATTATTGCAAATACGGTCTGTAAGGCACTTTAGAACTCAAAATATTGAAGGAATGCAGGGGTGTGTTTGTATGAGCTGAGTGCTGCACCTCCATGGGCATGACGACTCCCCCAATCTTTGCTAAGCCACAGCAAGATACTGAGATCCCACAGCTTTAACACAGGAGAGAATCTTTAGGCACTGGAAATTTTTCTCTGTGCTTAGGCAGGGGTGGGGGACCTATGGACCTCCCAAGTCTCCCCAGTTGCATGGCCAGTGGTCAGGAAAGATGGGGGTTGTAGGTCCAGCAACAACTGGAAGACCACAGGCTACCCTTCCCTCCTGTAAAAGGTTATGGCTTAAGAATCCCAGGAGAGGGTCTTCAGGACTAACCTTATTTTCCTACTCTGTCTTGGACAGGCAATCTTGTTAACCATGTTTGCTGGGAAAACAAAACGTTTACAAAACGAGACTGGCCTGATAGGTACAATGCTACTTAACATAGTAAATGGTTTTTTAAAACATGGAATGACCCCTTTGAGGGGGAGAAGCTGAGCATACAATGCACGACATGGAGTCGTAGGAAAGTTGTTGCACGAGTAGAACAGCTTCTATTTGCATAATGGGGCCTTCTTCCCCCCTGCCCCGCACCCTATATCTCTTCTGAGAGTTCCCTCAACCCTCTGCAGTAGATCTCGGGGCACCACAGGGCACATATGGAAGGGGGGGCAGTCCCACTGCATAAGCTCTCATGCAGTTACTCAGTTGATTACATCCATCCAAAATCCTGCTTCAGATACCAGATTAAAAGTCTTAAGGGGGATACTCAACATTTAGTTCAAAAGCTGCTAATTACTGTAAAAGGGGAGTTGCTGGTTACACCTCAGACACCATGAAGGGGTTGAGGTCCCACAAAAACCTGTTGTCCTCTCCAAAGCTCCCATTCTTCTTCTTTATCCCCAGCTTTTGAAGAAACACTGAACAGTTCTTCAAAAATCATAGAAGTCAAACACATTAAGTGAATGCATGTATGTGCATTAATATCACTTTGAGCCCAGAGCACTGCCTAATCCATGCTGTTTTCAGGAAACCACATCAATAAGGAGTATGGTTAGCTACCCTGCAGTTTTGGGACAAGAAGAAACTTGGAAGGAGCCGGTGCTGTCACACATCCTAAAGGGCTGGAAGTGGCTGGCCATACATATAAAAGGCAGATAGGGGAAGTATTGACTAAGCTACTGTCAACATCATTCTGTGGATGCATCTCAATTGGTATTACTGAGAGGGCATCACTAGAACCATCTCCCCATAGTGAAGATGGTGATACTATTGGCAAACTGGTACCATTGGGAGCATTCTACTGAGGTCACCCCAAACGCTTTCTTGAGTCCCACCTGGAAGAATATATTCTTCACCAGGGTGATGTTATGGGGGTGTGGTCTTAACACAGTAGTTCCAGGGATAGATAGTAAAGGGTGGGTGGGAACAGGTGTGTCACTTATAATTGGAACCATGCTTATCTTCCAAGAGTCTCTTTCTGCAGCAGATGGCCAGAGCTGCTGCTCCTTTGCCCCTTGGGCTGCTCAGGACGACGCACGTGTTGTCCACAGAATACGCTCCAAGTGTGTTGGGGCCATGGGACTGGGCACTGCATCCTGTCAAAGTCCAGCCATCATCACAAGTCACCATCACCTGTGATGGAGAAGGCAAGGTTAGTCAACACCGAGAAAAGATGAAAACCTCTAGATAAGGCAGCCCCAAAGGTGGCATCCTCAAATAAGTCTATTCATTCTCCCTTGCAGCCTCTTATACAGAGAATCCCACAACCTTGCTGCCACTGGTTCAAGTACCCCTGCCCAAAGAAATGGACTCGCAGCTAAAAGACCATAAGACCATTGTGTAGAAAGGTTTTGTGGTCTTTTAGCCGAGTAAGTGATAAGCCTGCAGGAGCCCCCATCCCCACCGTTGTCTCTCTCAGCTTGGGAATAGAGCAAATTCCAGTACTCATGTGGCGAGTGGCCTCCACTTGAGGCCCAAAGGTGATTAAACTCTGCCAGAGGTTGAAGCTAGACTTGAAAGAAGCTGTCTGTCATAGCCAGCAGAGTAAGTTGTGGGGTGCATGCTTCTCCAGGTCGCAAATGAGCCCATGGACCCACAATGGTTGGTGACTCATGCCCTAAAGGAACCACATCCACATACCTTTGCTGTGTACTCCAGAGAAGAGTATTCCTGCACCTTGCACTCTAGGCTGGGCGCATGGCAGCAGGAAGCATGCACGGTTGCACCTGCCTGGCCAACACACTGGTCACGATGGCTTTCTGTCCCCAGTTCAGGTCTGATGCTGTCACTGAACTCTCCAGCCAGAGAATGAGAGCTGCAACCTGCCAGTTTAGATCATATTAGGGTATATGCTCAGTGAATGCAATCATGGGCACAAGTTGATTTGGAATGTTCACACTGGGAATCCCCATTCTTGTTTGTTCTGTTTGCTTTGGTTTATATTGCAGGTCAGAAATTAGCTGGGGTATGGAAGAGGTTTCTGCATCAGCACCACATTCTACTGTCTGTCCCCACCCGCTCCAATTTCGCATCATCATCCTACCACATGTTGTCGTTTGCAAAAACCCAAATATAAACCCAGATCACCCAATTTGCAGTCCTTGAAAAGACCAAGCAGTAATGTGGGATACAGTCTTGTCTGTTCAGACCTACTGAAAGGCCTGTTTCCACAAGCTATTTTGCCCACTTGGGTGTGCATGCACTGTACTGCTCATGGGCATTGTGCATGCATAAGCAATGTGTGTGGATGTTGCCATGACCATGCAATAGGTTTACATGCTGTTTTAAGGATCCTTGACCAGCACTTTACTTTCCCTCTGCTTTTAAAAAAATAAACTTGCTTCTGTGAGTTTGGAGAAAGGTGCTAGTCAATTTCCAAAGAAATTCTATCCAGCTTTGAAGAATTCCCCAAGTGCAAATACAGTCGTACCTTGGAAGTCAAATGGAATCCATTCCGGAAGTCCGTTCAACTTCCAAAATGTTCGGAAACCAAAGCGGTGCTTCTGATTAGCTGCAGGAAGCTTCAGCAGCCAATCGGATGCCCCGTCGGACATTCTGGTTCCAAAGAAGGTTCGCAAACTGGAACACTCACTTCCAGGTTTGCAGCATTCGGGAGCCAAAATGTCCAAGTGCCAAGGCATTTGGGATCCAAGGTACGACTGTACTTATAAACTCTTCCATTTTCATTACCGGTAGTTATTAATTGTGCAAACTATGCAAGCCCAGAAAGAGTCGCCTGCAAATGTTGCACAGTGGTCCCAAGATGGCATGGTGGGAAAGCCCATCCCAACCCACACAGTGCAATGCTGATGGGGCTGTGGGTGCATCAAACTATAAGATCTACAAGTGTGCCGCAACACATTATTGGCCACGTAAGTCTGGGTCCAGTAAGGGAGTCCTCTTCCCTGCACGGAACCTTCCTTGGCGACTCAGAGCCCACATGGGAAAGATGCTTTGGCACGACAATATGGATTGCATCCATCATAGCTGTCGTCACGTACCTGTCAATACGTGGCCGTCCTTGGTGCAGCTGACACTCTGCAGTGCTGTGCCCTCTGCAGTCTGCGAGTGGGCATGAACCTGGCAGTCGGCTTTGGGCCAAATGCAGCACCTGGCAATGGCATAGACGCCTTGGCCCCCAAAACGATTATGAGCCACGCACTCCTTGCCTCCGTAATCCTGGAATTTGGAAAGCACAGCAGTGAGACACAGGGAAGTGCCAACAAGCCTCCATAACCCACTGAAAAGCTTGTGTCTGCATGTAAAACAGCAACTCCAAAACGTAGCCTCGCCCCCCCCCCCCAGAACATCACCTCCATGCGCTCGCCTCGCCGCTTGCCATTCTTCGATAAGCTTGAGCAGCTGAACATTTCTTCGTTGCTGTTGCAGCGGGCGGCAGCTATCGACTTGCTGGTTGACCCCGAGAGGGAAGACCACACGGAACGACAGTACAGCTGCTCATCTGAAAGGAAGTGGCTCGTGGCCATTAGAGGTGCCTAGCAGTGCCCACAGAGTGCAGCTCTTTCCCTGGTCCAGCCAACTGGAGAGCACACACGCATTCACGAGACCCATCACAGGGAGGTGCTTGGGAACCACTTGAAAGTTCAGCTGGAAAAGTGGAATTTTGGAAGGCGGGGGAGGGGAGGGGAACGTCAAATGGACCCTTGTCATGGCCTGTCAAAGCTCTTCTACTAAAGCATGAAGCCAACGACAATAAGGATCACTCACCTGCTACCAGTTTGGAGGGAAGCCCAGCCACCCTGTTTGGAGTTAGTAGCCTCTGGTCTTCTGGAAACCAAGCCTCATTGATGAGGTTTTTTCTGGAGAAGTGGATCAGCTTCTGCCTCAACTCGGAGATGGACAGGTCAGGGTTGGAGTTCAGAAGCATGGCTGCAATTCCTATGGAAACGTGCATATTACTCTGCATTATTTGGCAGCGGCTGTGTGTGTGTATAAAAATAACTAGATTGGGCGATTATCTTTTTCTGTTTTCTGTTATCACAGAATTATGTTTGTGTGCTGTGAAATTAACAGCTCAGTGTTTTGGCTCTCTGTGTGTGCAGCTGTTTAGATGGAATTCACTTAATCATTAACAGGAATTCACTTAATCATTAACAGTAATCATAACTGTTTGGTAAAAAGTGAGAGGGCTGGATCAAGTTGCGTTGCTCTTCCACTCACCTGGGCACATGCTTGAATCTCTCCCATTGAACTCAATGAGACATAAAAGCGCTTAACTTTGGCTGGATTGTACCCCGTAGTCTGTTACACATCCAGGCTACTACTAAACTGAGTCTGATGCTCTTGCCAAAGAGAGAGAACAAGAGGCAAACGCAGGCAAATATCTGCTTTTTTAGAAAGGCCCCACAGAAGATACTTGGCCCAACACATACATTCACTATGGGCAGAGGGGTTCTCTGATGGGTGCACTGCTTTACTCTAAAGAGCTTCCCCATTCACTTCAATGGATGGAACAGCCAGTTTCTCCATGGAACGGAATGGTCACACACCCAAGTGGTCTTGGACAGGATAAAGCAAACAGCAAGAACCACCTTCTAATCTGCAAATTGCTTTGTTGTTCTTGGGCGTTTACTTCTGCCGATAATTCAGAATACAAATTATTCAGCCATCTGGAACTCCTTTCCTCCAGTATAGCCTAATCAGAGGGGTTATTTCTGCGTTAAGTAAATGCCTTTTCCTTTTCTCCCCTTCAAGCTGCATATTTCATTTCTTTAAAATATCTGTTTTTACACTCGCCACAGGCACCCTCCAGGATGCACAGAACCATTTAGTAAGGAAATGTGTTGGCAGCAGTTAACTCTTCGATGCATTCAGCCTTCGGCCCAACAGCCCACGAGGCATGTCACTATCAGACCATGACACACACGCTGGCATTCCCAGCTGCATCCGCACAAAGCTGCCAAATGAGCCTGAGGAGCGGGGGAGGGCGAGAGCATGCGCATGTGCACACGCTGGGAAAATGTTCTGTGGTGTAAAGGTCAGGCTGTCATTTCACATGGATGTGCCATACCAAGGCCACAGCTTTCAGACACTGAGGATCTGATGGGCCACAGGGCAGCTTCCCAGCTACTTACTTGTTAATTTATCAAAGTATTTATATGCTGCCACCCATCTCGTAAAATATCAGGCCGATGTACAACAAAATGTCCACCATGCAATATGAAACACCATTAAAAACCATTTCAAAATAATCATGAAAATGACTGGCTAATAACCCAAAAAATTAAGCAGATGCACAGGTCTTCAAATTTGAAAGCCATGGCGCTTGCCTAACCAGCTCGATGAGTGTTCCACAGGATGGGACCAGCAACACGGCACGCTCAGCTTCCAGCTGAGTCCAGTCAGGCCTCTCTGTAACATGCCTGGAAGCATGGGGGCAGTCAATGCAGATGTTTTAGCAGAGGTGTCACATGCAGTCGGCCATCTGCCTCCATTCTGCACCAGCAGGAATGGAGCACTTTCCCTGATGTTACTTTCCAGGCTTGAACACACAGGTAAGAACAGAACCACTGCAATATAAAGCCTCCAACACACACACACCCCAATCTAGGAGGAGGCCATGGCCAATCTTTTCAAAGGCAGCTGAGAGACTGAGTATGAGTAACAGGGTTGCCCTCCCACTAATTTGTGATAAAGGTAATCCATCAGGGCAACCAAGGCTGATTTAGTCTTGAAACTAGGTTTAGACCCATGGAGAAGCCCTATGTACATGGGGTCCCTTTCACACTACTGCCAAATGTGAGATGAATCCAGCGGGCGCATTTACATCCAGGGCACTGGCAGAGGGCCTTCCCGGTAGTGGCACCCACCCTGTGGAACGCCCTCCCACCAAATGTCAAAGAGAAAAGCAACTGCCAGACTTTTGGAAGACATCTGAAGGCTGCCCAGAGTGGCTGGGGAAACCCAGCCAGATGGGCAGGGTATAAACAATAAATTGTTGTTGTTGTTAGCTAGTGCAATCCTCCTCCTGCCATCATGCATGTGCTTAATATGTGGGACGAGGGGGGATATCTATGTGGAAAACAGCCATCGATGAATCATGAAGCTGCAGAAGTGGAGGCATATCTGTAATTGCATGAAGTCCTGAGTGATGGGGGCCACTATGAGGAAAATCTTCATTAATTCACTGTTCTGTGTTTGGGTTTTGACTGCTTGATGAGATAGAGAAAATGAGGCAGGAGAAAATATTTGCCTTTCACCATTGAGAATGGGAGGCTCAAAACGACAAATCCTAAGGTCACATCTGCACCGGGCCATTTGAAGCATGTTTAACACACATTTAAAGCACACAGCTCCCCCTGCCCACAAAAAATTATAGGAACCATGGTTCACCTCTCACACAGAGCATCCTTGACAAACTACAGTTCAGAGGATTCCTTGGGGGAAGCCATGTGCTTTAAATGTTTGGCGTGGGTGTGACCAGAGACACAGAGAGATTCCCTGAGTTCGACCCTTCTGGGAGCCGAGCAGCAGTCACACAAATTCTGCCGCAAGGTTTTTACCTGCCACGTGTGCAGCTGCTTGGGATGTCCCGCTCTGTGAGGTGAAGCAAGTCGTGCAGTCGCTGGAGGCACCGATGATATCGTCTCCGGGGGCGAAAACGTCCACACAACGGCCAAAGTTGGTCCCCAAGGAGCCCATGGAAGCAGGCTGGTCCTGAACATTGGTGGCCCCCACTGTGATAACCTATGACGACACGAGACCCAATCATGGCTGGCGCGGAGCAAAGAAGAAAGGCAAACTCCTAGAGGCGCAGAGGGTCTTAGATGGCAGAAGCCATCAAATCCAATCCTCTACTCAATGCAGGAAACCTCCAGCAGATGGACTGTCTGGCTTCTGCAAGAGACATCCCACTGCCAACCTGCCTGAGTAATTAGTTCCACCGTCAAACCTACGTTTAAACTCTAGTGTATATTTAAACAGCACAAGCACAGGGTGCAACATCAATGGGAAAACACCCAGAAACACCTGGAAGAGGTCCTGTCCACCCCAGACGTTTAGAGCAGGGGTCGGCAGGCTTACCGGGCATAGGCCGGATCACTCCCGCGAGATCCTCCATGGGCTGGGCTGGCGCAGCGCAACACTGGAAATCACGTCTGTGCATGTCAGCGGTGCCGGAAATCGCTTCTGTGCATGCCCAGACGCCAAAAATCGTGCCTGTGCAGAAGCAATTTCCAGCGTCTGGGCATGCGCAGAAGTGATTTTCGGCGCCGTGAAAGAGTCCCCGTGCTGCGCTGCTCCGGTTTAGCACAGCCCGCGGGGACTTGCCGAGTGGTTGGCTTGGTTCGGTGGCGGCTCATGGGCCTTAGATTGCCGACCTCTGGTTTAGAGCATTCTTACGCCGCTTCAACAGTTCTGGCTTCCCCCACAGAATCCTGAGAACTGTGGCTTGTGAAGGGTGCTGACCTCACAGTGCTACAACTCCCAGCACCCAAGTTTCCAGGATTCTCCATGACTTTTATCATCAAGTTGTATAGCAGTGCTATAGGGAGAGCATGGTGTGGGTGTGACCAGAGACTCCAGAAAATATTAGTGTGTGTGTTTTTAATGGCTTCCTCTTCAGCCAACTCTGTAAGTGGGCTGTGGTATAGACCCTGCTCTGAGAATCACGACCCACAAGGCTAAGCGCCAGCCTCCCCCTCTTTACATCTGGAGTCAATGCAGTCGCAGAAAGAAATGTGTGGCTTGGCCAAGATATCTGCAGCAGGTTTTGAAGATACAGCATGCTCTAGGGCAGCGACTGAATCTTTCTCCATCCGTAAGCTGCCCAGTCCTTGGTTTGGAGGATGCAGGTGGCAGCAGTCGCCCATCTTTCCATGCCTTGCCCTGGAGTGCTGATATCCCATCAAATGGCAGGTAGGCTAGCCCAGGTGTGTGCACCAGTCAGTACTTGGCAACCGCACAGTGGATGAGTGGCAGGTCCGTGTGGCAAACTGTCTCAATGGAAGAGCGCTGTGTTTACAACCATGTGAAAGATGTACCCGTGATGAGATAATCTGGAAGCTAATTTGGGGTGCCACAAATAATTACTGGGCTACTTTACTACGGGCCTAGAACAAGGGAGCAAGCTAACCCTCTCACGTACCTCTGGTTCGGATGCCGGTGAATACAAGCAAGCATCTTCCTTGTAGTTGCCCGCTGCAGCGATTATCACCACCCCCATCCGGACCATCAGGCGACAGGCTGTGTTCAGGATGTGGCTGTAACCACCAGCCAAGGGAAGCAAGACAACCAGAGGGCTGTAGGGCTGGACATCCAGGGTCTTCTTAATGAACTCCAATCCTGTCATGTGAAAAAAGGGAAGCAGACAGCGTGTATCTGGCTCAAAAGAGAGGACACAAGGCACGTCTTTTCAGTGTGTGCTTTGCCCTGTTTCTGAGCTGGGGAGACAAACCAGTAGAGCACATGTGAAAGAGGGAAAGGAGCTTTTTGTACACACATCTGTCCTACTATGCAGAAAAGGAAGGAGAAGGAAACGTCTTGTTTGTTTTAAAGAGGAACCATGCAAGTGCAATGGACAAAAGGGTCAGCCCGTGATAGTACAAAACAAAAAAAACCCAAGAAGACTTTTGTGGGACTTGAAAGACAAACATTTGTTATGGCAGAAACTTTCTTGAGCTAGAGTCCAGCTGACAGATCCATGCACCCATTGAAGTGGGCTGTGGAGGTCAACATACTTCCACTAAATTCTTAAGTATTTCTCCTTTGGGGTCTTCAAATATGAAACCACAAAATAAGCTCCGTCTCTCAATATAAATTAGATTTTGACCGCATTCTCTCTCTCTCCCTTTTGTTTTTATACCTGACCAGGTGCCAAACAAAGCGAGAGCTGAGTTCATAAGAACTGGACTGAATATCTAAGTCCATTCAACCCAACAGGCTCCTCCCCCAGGCGGTGGTGGATCAGCAACATCCAAAGTCTGGCTGGGATGTGACAGATTGGACTCCAGAGTTCCGCTCACCCTTGGTGAACAGCTGCTGCTTACTCACCCATCAGAGTGCCACTCACAGTGCCCTTCCCCTGGCAGTTGAGCACTCGGAGGCTGCTCACGCTGGCTCCTTTGGCGATGCCGGCATCCCTCCCGCTCACAACGCCAGCCATGTGGGTCCCATGGCTGTCACACTTGCTGGCCTGCCACAAAGCATAAAGTTCGCCATTTATCACCTGTTTCTGCCCCCTCACGCACACCAGGAATGGCAATCCTTCACGTCGTCGGGTTCAAAACCACCCTGCGGCCTCAGCGTGGCTAAAGAACCGGGTGGTTCTGTTGCCTTTGACAGACAGGAGGAAAAAGAGGAACCTAAAGAATGTGAAGTGCTGAATGATATTACAGAATTCTAAATTAATTTTTACTGAAAACTACAGTGGTACCTTGGGTTAAGAACTTAATTCGTTCCGGAGGTCCGTTCTTAACCTGAAACTGTTCGTAACCTGAGGTACCACTTTAGCTAATGGGGCCTCCCGCTGCCACCGCGCAATTTCTGTTCTTATCCTGAAGCAAACTTCTTAACCCGAGGTACTATTTCTGGGTCAGAGGAGTCTGTAACTTGAAGCGTCTGTAACCTGAAGCATATTTAACACAAGGTACCACTGTATTTGGAAAAAGAGCAACAGTAGAATGTTGGGGTGACGTGAAGACATAATTCAGGACAGGAATTACCATTACTGGAAGGGGCAGAGAGAGAGGAATAAATGCTCCCAATGTAAAAGGGTAGGCATGACTGGAGCCATAATTTCATCCTTTCAAAGCTATCTTGAAATGCTATGCTGTCCAAAGGCTCCATTATTCACCCCTTCGCTAGGCAAAAACAACCAAACCATTTTCCCTCATCTTGTGAAGAGCTGACTGCTCTCCCTCCCCATTACTAACATGCTAAATCGAGAGGGGGGCTGCAGAGGTTGAGAAAAATATTAGGGGCTTTAAGCAGACCCAGGTTGTGCCACAAATATGAGAGGCTGGAAGCCCCTTGATCCTTCACATAAGGAGAGATTGTCATTACAGATAAAAAGCAACCGAACTGCCTCTGGCCTACTTGCTCAACTGACACTTCCCGCTTCAAGAAAACACCATCCCAGTGGTGCCGCCAAACGCAGTAACACATTTTTATGAGGAATTCAGCAACGGAACAAGTTGTCGGCATGACAGCTCATGTTAAAAAGCAAGTCACGAATGTTACGGGGCCTCCCCTGCCATACATATACAGAGAAAGCATGACGAGCACATGGGGCCTTTCAGATGCGACAATAACTCAGCAAAGCACAAAAACGTTGATTGATAATGCCTGAACAAAAGCCTCACTGTGACTGAAGAATCCATGGGGTTGGCTCAAGGGGGAAGCCTGAAGAAGGGGACTGGCTGAAGCTGGCTTTCACACTCTCCCCACCTTTTGACAGCCCCTCCCCCAAAACCTCTCCCTAGAGAAAGGGGACCCTGCTCAATGAAGTAGGCTCTGGTATAAAGGGCTAAGGGAGGATCCTCAGAAGTCAGGTGGAGGTAGCTCCTGCAAGGTGCTTCTGCTCAATTTGCGAGGACTGGCTCCTTCCTCCTGAGCCCACGACACCTGAAGGAGCATCTCCACCCCCATCATTCTGAGGTCCAGCACCAAGGGCCTTCTGGAGGTTCCCTCGCTGCGAGAAGCCAAGTTACAGGGAACCAGGCAGAGGGCTTTCTCGGTAGTGGCACCCGCCCTGTGGAACGCCCTCCCACCAGATCTCAAAGAGAAGAACAACTTCCAGACTTTTAGAAGACATCTGAAGGATGTTTAACAGACCACTGTATTTTAATACTTTGTTGGAAGCCGCCCAGAGTGGCTGGGGAAACCTAGCCAAATGGGAGGGGTATAAATAATATATTATTATTATCATCATCATCATCATCCTCACATCCCACCCCATTCAACAAGGTACCCCAACCAACAAAGTGCGAGATTGGCTTCATTATTATCAGATAATGGAGGCATATAATTCGGACAAGAAAATTGGCTTCCAGGTGGAAAAATCAAAATTAGAAACAGAACAAACTAAGATTTTGTCAAAGATGTATAACTTGCTGTTGAAATGGAATACTCAGGATGAAACGATGAAATCTGCTATGATTAAATGGGCACAAGATGTTGGACATAACATAGTGATGGCTGACTGGGAACAGTTATGGACCACAGGTATGAAGTTTACGGCATGCAATGCCTTAAGAGAAAATATAATGAAAATGATATACAGGTGGTACATGACCCCAGTCAAGCTTGCAAAAATCTATCATTTGCCCGATAATAAATGTTGGAAATGTAAAGAAACTGAAGGCACATTCTTTCACCTTTGGTGGACGTGCCCAAGGATTAAGGCTTTCTGGGAGATGATCTATAATGAATTGAAAAAGGTATTTAAATATACCTTCTTGAAGAAACCAGAGGCCTTTCTCCTGGGCATAGTCGGCCAATTGGTGCTAAAGAAGGATAGAACTTTCTTTATGTATGCCACAACAGCAGCAAGAATACTTATTGCAAAGTATTGGAAGACACAAGATCTACCCACTCTGGAAGAATGGCAGATGAAGGTGATGGACTACATGGAACTGGCAGAAATGACTGGCAGAATCCGAGACCAGGGAGAAGAGTTGGTGGAAGAAGATTGGAAGAAATTTAAAGACTATTTACAGAAATATTGCAAAATTAATGAATGTTAGAATGGTGTTAGAATGAAGTTAAGTGGTTTTAGCAGCAATGTCATAAAGGTGTATGTAAAAATGGATTGTTAATAGGTGAGAATCTAAAGCTATAATATATTAAGTTAAAGGACTAAGACAAAAACAAAGAGGGAAAGGAATTGCTGAATTAACCAATTGAACTGGAATACAAAAAAGGGAGGTGAGAGGAGGTCAGGGAAGCAAGGAAATGAAATGTAAGATACGGAAGGATTAATTTGTTTTTAAGTGTTTTTTACTTTTTTCTGTACTTTGTATTTTGTATGTTTTTTCTCTTTTTTTCTTGTTTCTTTTCTCTTTAACTATGTAATTTTTTGTTTCTGAAATTTTAATAAATATCATTTAAAAAAAAAAAAACAAGGTACCCCAACCCAAAGGAGTGGCTTTTCTGGGGTGGAGGCCATCAGGGTTGAAAAATCAGCTTCCACCAGACTCCTTCTGTGGGCTTTCCTCTCAATTCAACCCACAGAGGCAGGATGAAAGCCCAGCCTCAGGTGTCAAACTGCAGCGCAAAAATTAGTTGGTATGAAATTTTTGGTTCAATTTTATTTGAAAAATGCTGCCCTGGACCCTATCTCACTGGCTTTAGGCCTCTTAAGATGGCACTGAGCATGTGCATAGATTTCCACCGCAATTGTGCCATTCAATCTGGAAATCTCCATGCAATGTACATATTTGAAACCACCTTAAGAGGCCATTCCGCCCTGGAGGAGAGGAAGAGACCCAATGGGGAGACTAGGACTCCAACATCTTGGTCAGAGGGAATCTGGCTGCAGTCAGGTCTGTCCACAAATGGCATCTCACTGGGATGCGCAGAAGCACAATCAGCACCCACAATGGCAAGTGTCTGTTAAGAACTCACCCACTTCCCAGCGGTACAGTTACGAGCATCCCTTTTCAACATAACGAAGAAGTGGGCCTGAAGAAACTGACAGATTGAATTACACATGCTGCTCCCACAGAAACACCGTAACTGGTGCTTAATCCCACAAATCTCCTCCAAGGACTAAAGGTTTCAGGGTTGAGCCATCATAATAAACATAGGGTTCTAGCAACGTCACTGGTAAAAGGGGAAGGTGGCAAGAAAGTCGCCATTGCTCGTGTAGCAGAGCTGGCGTACCTGTCGGTGGAAGCGAGTGCCATCTTCTTCTGGAACGTTCTCAAATTCAGTCATGAACACTCTGCCCTCGATCTCTCGGTGGTTGCTCTGGACCCCAGTGTCCAGCAGATAAACTTCAACCAGGTCGCCTCTGTCTAAAAAGAGGAGACAGTCAGTCAGTGACGCCTAGAGGCAGTGAAGGCGTTGCTCTCAACGCAGCATCCCAGCATGCCAATATACAATGAGGTTTATCTTGCGCAAGCAATTTATAAAGGGAGCTGCTCCAATTTTGTCTTGTACGGAGCAGGCAGGAAAGGAAATGGAAGATTGGACTTAACACGATTATCCCTTCTATTCTGGTGATCAAAGGCAATACAAGCGAGTTAGCGGCTCTGTTTCTGTGTCGTTAAGGCCAGATTTGCAATCTTCGGAAAGCGGAAATTGGGGTGGGGGTGAGTCAGTCTACTTCGCTATTTAAAAAGTGAAGTAGCCTATCCAGTAATTATTTGAGGTCTCAGCATTTAAGCATCTAGTGGTTTTAGCAGAAAACAAAAAGAGATATTCAGAAAATCCACTCTGCTTATTGTTAAATTTTGTTTTAATCAGAAACATGTGTATAATGAAGTACATGTTTTAATTTCTCCCCCTTCCCCGCTTCCTCCTCCCTTCCTATAAATTCTAATTGTTAGAGCCCGGCTTCAGCTGGGGAGGGCGGGATATAAATAAAAAATCATCATTATTATTATTATTATTATTATGATGATATTATTATTATTATTATTATTAATAATAATAATAATAATAATAATACAAAATACCTTTTACTTTTGGTCACCCATCGAAGCAATCAATGCACTTTACTATATATAAAATTTCATATCTGCAACAATGGTGATCATTTTGGCACAAACACTCATTTCATTCATTTATTAAACTTACTAGTTGCTTGTCACCCGAAGGTCTCCATTTTGACACAACTTTGTTAACAGATTCAGAAACGTTTACCTGAGTACTTATGGTTGTTTTAATTCCATTTTAAATTTCATGTAATTGTTGCATGTCATATGCTCTAAACTAAACAAAGATGAATCCCAATGCAATCATGTTGAACAGTTTAGAGAAGGAAATGAATAAAAACTATGTTACAAACATAAGATGTGCGTGTATATACATGCAGAGCAATTCAAAGCAATCCTCAAACCAAGCCAGGTTGGGTGGGTGGATTCAGCAAGGCTCTCTTTCTCTGCTCACCTCCACTGGCTCAGCCCAGCCCTGCTTCAGCTGCCAAGCATGGGGATGAGAGGCAAGCTGGCAAGTTATTCGCCAGCAGAAAGCCCCCAGATAGAGTGCTCCTTGGGGAAAAGAGGGGCAGGACTAAGCCAGCCTGAGATCCACTGGATCTCGCTATTGTCATGTGACGGTCTCAGGCCCAAATAGGGCTGTATGTGCAGCGAGCATGTGAAACAGGGCCTTATTGGTGGTGGCCCACACCCATGGAATGCAGTACCATGTGAAACACATAGTGGCAGACCAAGCAATCAGTGATAGGTAGCGCCATCCCTCTGCATAGGATTTTGTTGTTGATTCCATAGATATTTGGCATCTCATGCACACATGGTTGAATGGGAATATCACCTACTGGGAGGATTATATTCAGTGGATCCGTCTTGCACAGGGACAATCCGGCCCAGGTTCCAGGGAATGCTCTGAGCAAACACATAGGAGTCCTCTTCTATATAATCCACATGCGGTAGTCTCAAAGCCTGCACAAAAGACGACACGGGAAGAACTGTGCAAGTCACGCAAGAAATATCATCGCCATCATCCTACTCTTCTCCTAAAAGTATACAGAGCATATAACAAGAATGGGGGATCTGTGGGCCTTCAGATGTTGTTGGACTACAACTCCCATCACCCTGAGCAGTGGCCATGTTGGCTGGGGCTAATGGGAGGTGGAGTCCCAAAATCAAACAGAATGTGGAGAGAGGCCATTTGTGTAATTTCCTCTTCTCCCTGCGGCTCCTCCCCACCAATGAGAGAGCATCTGGAAATTCAGATTTATACAATTAGTGCCCTGGAGCAACAAATCCACTTTTAAAAAGAAACTGGTTTCGAAAGTGACAGGGAAATGCACCAAAAAGTAGGTCAACAGAGGATTAACATGCAGATGGTATACACCGGCTCAAACAGATCAGGACGAACACTCAATAAAGACTGGGTACAATCTAACCTCTGTGTAAACCTTGTGCAAGCAAATCAGGATGAATGCTTAACAGGTGAACTGGAGGAGCCATGAGTGCGGCTTACATTGATCTCAACAGAACTGGGGTGTCACCACTAAGAAGGCCCTGCCTTGTGTGGGGACCTGCCCATCCAACCTTGTTCCATAGTCATTTGGAAGCACAAGCAGAGCCTTCCTTCCCTGCAGGAATCAGAAGCCAGTCTGGCTGGTACTGAGGAAGCTAAACAGACACAGAATGGAATGAGGAAGCCTAGCAGGGTGGGAAGGTGCTGGAGATTTAGGGCAAGGGTAGGGACGAGAGAGGAAAATGGAAAGGTTGGTGGTGGTAAGGATAGGAGTGCAGCAGGCAAGGTGGAGGGGCTGAGAGAAGGCCTGGGGAACCTTTGGCCCTCCAGACATTGCTGGACTCCAATCCCTTCAGACCCAGAAAGATGGCAGGACAGAGACCAAAGACTTCTCTTCTTCTCTATGCACAACATATCCTTCTTACAAAATTGTGCAGGCTTCTGTTTCATAAATGCATTCAACTACGCCTGACATCCAGCAACGTCACTTGCTCCCGTAACTGTTTTTGTAAGCCCATTCCCTTCATTGGGCAAAAAGATTCCTGCATTGCAGGGAGCGGAACTAGATGACCTTGGGGGGTCCCAGCTCTACAATTCTCTGATTTTATAATCTCTGATAGCTTTGTTTTTAATTTTCTTGTCATTACCATTAGTGTTGTTGATAAAGTTATGCAGCTATTATCGAACTCAGCATTACGGCAGGTACTTAACAAATGGAAAAAGACATACTCCTCCAATTCTGGATAACTCTAACAGCTGGATAACTCTAATAACTCCAATTCTAATAACTCTTAATAACCAATGTCTGACAAAATTCCTTCCACCGTCTGACTTCTAGCTCACATTTGCTAATTTCCCCTTTGCCACCATTTAGGGAGCATTTCCAGCCTCTTTTTCTCAAAGCAGCTCAAACTGTTGTAGCGGCAAGTCACAAATTCTCCTGTGTGCGCTCAGCACTTGAGGCCTTTGTTGGTAAATATCTACTGCATGCAGGAAGCACACCACTGACAGACTGTGGGAGAATCTCCTTGCTGCAGGCTAACTCTGTGGTCGCTGCCCCCCACAAACATACACCAAACACGCATACACAATCTCGATCTCTCTCATGCTCCCACACAAATTCTAATCCTCTCGCCCATTCTCTCTTTGGGTATGTGCATGCATGCGCACACATCCATCTGTGAGCACTCCTGAATATTTTCCCTTCCACTTCCCTTATGCGTGTGCAGACAAGCCTTTGTGACCGCAAGCACAGCCAAACAGAGGGCATGAGATGCTCTTCCCTGCACCTGTCGCAACTTGCACATGGGTGTCTAAAACCCTGCAGAGAGAGCTGTGTCAATGAGTTGTTTTAGAAAACCCAAACCAGGAGTGTTTGCATTCTGCATCGGATGATTTCCCCTAAGCAGCGGCACACCTGGCATCATCTTTAGCGTTGCAACGCTCTTAAGTTCTCTGATTCGCCAACTTTCACAGAGCTACCAGCCTGAAGCATATCTGGCATCGTAAGTGGCTAGGAAGTGATTAAGCAAACCTATTTGCCTCCACTGAGTCTTGCATCACTTTGGATTTCTCAAATGGCACCTGCCTTATCGTAAGATTATGAAATGTTTGGAAAGGACCACTGGGTTATCAGTTGTCCTGTAAAAAGCCACAGGAGTCCATGCAAATATGCCCTTCTCAGAACGAAAGGGGGAAAACCATCACAAAACACCTCTCAAACACTTCCCACGGGGACAAAGAGGAAAGTTGCTTCTTATTTGTATCTTGCCAAGGAGGTCAGAACATTAGCCGTGCGGTAATCTCACAAAGTCAACATAGCATGCACTCCTGCCCAACGAGAGAACGTTGTGGCTGAGCAGAGACCTGAACCTGGTTTTCCCGTCACCATAACAAACTCAGCACACTGAGAAAAAACACCACACTACAGTCATTCAAAGGCTGTTGGGGAAATTGGGAAGCATCGTTTGGTGGCAAAAGAATATCGTTCCCGGCAACGCTGTGATCACTGGATGGAAGAACGCTTTTAACTGTAAAGCAATTGCTTTTAGAATGTTCTAACTGTAACTGCTTTTTAACCAAACGTTTTTAACCCAAACTTTTAGATGTTTTTTGTTACTGTTTTTTAGAATATTTAAACTGCTTTAGAATGTTTTTGCTTTGCTTTCAAATTGTATGTCTATCTGAAGCCCTGGGGCTCCTTGGGGAGGAAATAAATTCGGTGAACAAGTTAAGTATTTTTCTGCAGAAAAAAAAATCTGTTTTAAAAAATGCATTTTCATAATATAAATTAGTAACATAAAGAATGATTACAACGCCAGTCAAATTGTTCGGTTTCAAAGGGGGAATGTGTATGTGTGTGTGTGTGTTTCTGCACAGGTCCTTGGCCATACAGTAAGCCCACAACTTATGTTAGGGTTATTTCCAGGGAGACCGCCAAAAGCCAAAGTCACATATAGTGAAAACAGAATCACAGACTTGTAGAGTTGGAAGGGAATCTTTCACTCAATGTGAGGCTCAAATCCATAAGCCTGAGATTAAGAGTCATACTCTACCGCTTGAGCTATCCCATTCAATGGGGGGGGATTGCCAAGGTCATATAACCCCAGAACCACCTCCCTTTAAATTTTATTTTATTTTTTTTCCACACACATAAAGCTGAATGCCCACAAGTTTACGTTGGACGCTTACTGTACTAATATTGGAATGTTAACTGGTCCAGCTTCCAGTATCTTCCATTTTTGTTCTCTTTAAGATTTAAACAATATAAAGGAAGAGCATGCTGCCGAGTTGTAATGTCTTAACTTACTTTCAAGCAAAGCTCTTAAAAGTGCACTACCTTGATTTATTTATTCTTACCCCAATCATATATTTTAGTTCAACTACAGTTGGCCTACTGGCAGTACCGGTTGCTAAGGCTACACAGGGATGGCGGCCTACATTGACCCCCAGTTTTCACAACTCTGTGCCTCGCTGCCACTCACTGAGAGAAGGAGGCGTTCAGTATGGTGTGGGAGCAGAGCAAAGCCAAGCTGTTCCTTCTGCCCCTGCGCCATGTTGAGCTCCTGCAGCCTTGTTCCCCCTCCCTGCCTATGAGCGGCAGCCATGCGCAGCCCCAGGAAGACAAGAGAGCAACACAACCACACAGCCTTCCCACTACTGGTTATGGGAAAACCAATTTGAGATAGTTATACAACAAGGAGAATTCACATGGTGTACTTGTTCAGTTTTGTGTACTAAAAACTACTCAAACACCACTCAGTAGATCCTGGTCAACTTCGGCCGGTCGCACATTGCCAGAAGACCCACATCACTGCCCCACACACTGGGGAACAGGGACTTAGTGAAAGTTCATACAACAGAGATGATTAAAAAAAAAAAAGTAACTGTAGGGACGACAAAAACCAGAAACCAAAAGCAGACAGATGCACAAGTATTAGCCCCCCAAAGTGTTTTGGGATTTTTTCTTTCTGCTCACTTAAGCATTCTGCTTGGTGCACCAAAAGAAGAGTCTGAAACTGAAAGAAATCTCACTTGAAAAAGAAACATATACATGCAGCTGGTTTTAACTAAGCAAAAGATCCCAGCAGATTCTGCTCCGCAAAAGCCAAATTCTTAACCTTTTTTTTCTCCTTTACAGATGTTAACAGCTGTTGAGATGGTGTCTTGCTTTTACTAGCCAGATTTCTTAAAAATATCTATATTTGTTGTTGATATGGCATTGCACAAAATATATTCAAACACAGCCTAGACGGCCATCTTTTACAAGATAGCCTTGCTCCATCCTTAGCAGGGAGGTTTCGACTAGATGGCCTACAAGACCCTCCCTCCCAGGGTTTGGGTGGCATTTGGCATGGCGTGGGCAGAGACTTTCACTTGCAGCGTGGGTCCTCCCCTTCTCCCTCTCCTCTTCTCCCAGTATAGCTCCCCTACACCTCTCCAAATCTCTCCAATCTTCAGGAGCAGATATTGGAGCTGTGGGGAGCCAACAACGCCCATTCCACTGGTGGAACCCCACAAGGTATATTTTATGCTGCATTTGATAAAACTGTAGAGCCAAGGGAGGCTTGGACGAGAGACATGCCAAGATCTGAACGTAAGTAAGTACCTATTGTGCTTGTAAATACTGCTGGGCTATGTCAGGGACCAGGAGGAGGAGATAGGAGACTGACTTGGAACTGATGGGAGACAACAGGACTGGTGGGCCCGCCTTTTCCCAACTTGTAAGTATACTTTTGACAATAAAGAGTTTCTTCCACACTCTGGACATTTCTGATAGCACCGTGATGGACTATAACTCTCCTCGTCCCCGCCCATAGGCCATGCTGACTGGGGCTGACGTCTGGAGAGATCCTGAGTTCCCCAGCCCCGATGCAAAAAGAGGGACTTACCATGTGCAGCACGTCGCTGCTCATCTTCACGAGAAAGCCCTGGAACAGGTCCTCAAAGATATGCAGGATCTTTGTCAAGTAGCCATGCCTGGCTGCTCTGGCCTGCAGGCGCTTGGCGGTCCTTGACGTCTGAGATTTGTGGGTTTCTTCCTTAAGCACCACAATGTATTGCCCTGGCAGGCGCCACAAGTCCTGCGTTTAGACAAAACAGAAGTAGAGAGTCAGTAGATGATTTGCAGAAGCGCATGCCCCACTAGGGGGGTGGCGCAAACACAGGGTGGAGCTCTGGTGCCCTTAAGAAAGTGCGAGATTCTGCTCCCAGTCCCACATACTGGGCATTGCCTCTTCTGCATGCTCACTGCTCTGCCTGCTTCTTTTGACATGCATATGAAGTGAGCCAGTGGTGTGGCAGAGAAGGAGCAAAGCGCCACCAATTTCATAGCAGGAATAACGGTGACATCCCCCTGAGGGGGACCTCCTCTGTGTGCCAACCAAATAAAGCTTTTCTAAACGACAAAATGACCAGATAACCAACCACCCTCTATTATGGCTAATCAAAATAGTGAGGTCCACCAGAATTCTCCATCAGGCTGCAAATGAAGCAAAACTTGGAAAGGGATCCCTGCATTTATCCAAAAATCATTTTTGCTTTATAGCCTCAGAAGAGATGTGGTAGGGGTGGGTGTGCTCTTCAAAATTAACTACTGCACCACTGTATTTAACACCTCACTGGAAAGGAAACAGATTCCGCTCAACCACTCCTCTGACTTAACATTTTTTGGCTCAACGCAGCCACTTTAAGAAGCAAACAACACCTTGTTAAGCGCACACACATAAAGCAGCACAATCTTTATTTGCGTAGTGAACGACAACTAAGAATTGATGTAGTTTTGAAAATGAAGGAAAGATGTGCTGGTTGTTTTTCCAGTTCAAAATCTCTCCCTCCTAGCAATTCCACCCACAGATATGCAAACAAACATATGGAACTTTGTGTAAGAAATAGCAGGAGCAGAGAGAGATTTTGAGTGAGGAAACTGATCAGCAGAGAAAGGATTGCGTAAACACAAGCTCACACACCTCTACTAAAAATCTGCTTTTTATTTTTTAAAGAATGAATTGGGAGTTTGTTACACACATCGCCATGTAATGCATAATCTGCCCCTTAGAAGGAAGCTGATTCTGTACCGTATATCGGAGGCAACTATGAGAAAGTGGGAAGGACCAGGAATTTTGTGAAGCAAATCTTGCTGAATCCAGCACAAATTATTCTCCCATCTTCCTAGTCAATCACACAGGGCTGAAATGAATGGGATGTGGGAGATCCAGAATCAGACCTCCCAACATCTTTGCTCAAAAGCAGTCACATCCTCCGATTTGGATCGGGGTTGGATGTTTCTTCTCTGCACTGTTTCCGTGATTTAAAATCCCCATCTCCCAGAAGCTGCTATTAGCTGTGGAGCGTGGAGGGGGGAAGACATAAACCATGACTGGATGTGCTTTCTCTCGTCTCTGTGGCAGCGTTGGGGTGAGGAAATTTAAACTGGGGAAAATGTTTTAAAACCTGTCTTTCAGCACTAAATCCTGATCCAAATCATTTTCCCCACCCCACCTATAAGCGCTTCTTAAGATGCTGAGAGATCCAATTATAGATCTCCTGCGTTGATCACATATAGATGCCCCCCCATCTTTTAGCAATCTCCATTTGTGTTCCTTTCTCTTTTCATTTTTCACACACCCCTACACTGTTCTGATTTTTTTAAAAGAAGCCAAAAACAAAATCCAGTGACCCCATTGGGGGGGATGGGGGGGGGACCGACCTGCATGCACATCTAGGAAATCCAGGTGCTGACTGCTCACCGCTTCCAGTATTGACCATACCACCTGGTTCATCACTGAGCAGACTCCACCTCTGAAAGCCAGGGATATTAATTTGCAAGAACACCTTGGCTCTTCCTGATACTCCCTTGCAGTAAGAGGAGGTAGGTCAACTGTGCACCCCTGCACAGCAGAAGCCAAGGCAGCAGATATTCTCTATCATGGCTGAAGCTTGCAAGGCAGGTGGACTGCACGAAGGCATCCAATCAAAAGAGGCAAGGCTCAGAAGTTCCCCAAAGACAAAAGAAAGACAATACAATGCAGAGTGCCAGGAGAATCCCTGCATTTCCCAACCACTCCCTGGATGCCAGATCTTTCAACTCACATGCAAGACAAAGCAGGCATTTTTAAAAATGAATAGTTCCAATAGACGGCATGTCACCAGAGATCACAAGACCTTAATAGGCAGATCTACCTTTCAGCAGACGAGGAGGTTCTGAGTGAAGGCAAAATGCAACAGGTGTGCATTCGTTGCAAAATATCCTGGAAGCCTTTAAGGCATGTCCAACGTTACAATGGTATATGACTAGTGCCTGGCCAAATTTCCTAAAATGGATGCTTCACAAAGCCTCTTCCTCCTGCTGCCTGAACGTAACATTTCAAATGTCCCTTCTTCAAGAGACAACACCCCCCTCCCCCAAAAAGAGAGCATTACAGTTCCATAGAGGATAGAGGGGCAGTGGCGTAGCGTGGGTTGTCAGCACCCGGGGCAAGGCAAGTAATTTGCGCCCCCTAACCCGTGGATTTGCGCCCCTAACCCCCAGATGTTGCGCCCGGTGCGGCCGGCCCCCCCTGCACCCCCCACGCTACGCCACTGTAGAGGGGTGACTTCATAAGGAAACAGAACAGATCCAAAATAACAGGGGAGGGGGATATTGGGTCCCTGTTCCCACAACAGCCTTTGCTTCATGAATGATGATGCTAATAATAAGCCCATCCCAGGTCCTGACCTACCGCGGGTGTCTGAATTTGGCAGCAGAAATCCCAAAGCATGCATTAGTATCCTTCCAAATGGGGAAAACAAGTTTCCAGACAGGGGAAGGGGTTGGGGAAGCAGTGCCACAGAAACAGGGCTTCAAGTCAACCTAGGATCATCCCGTGGAAATGTTTCTGAATGCCAGAGCCCTGCCCAGAAACAAGTGAAGCTGACTATAATGATGAGAGCAGCCTGGGGCATGTGCAAAGAGAATGTACAGAGAGATTATTTTCTTTCCCGCCCAAGAAAGCACAGCCCATTTAGGAAGCCGCCTCAAACTGAGTCAGACCCTTCTAGCGCAGTGTTGCCGGCACGGACTGGCAGCGGCCCTCCAGGGTTTTCACGCAGAGAACCATTCCCAGTCCTGCCTGGAGATGCTGGGGTTGGAAGCAGGCACGCAAAGCTTCCCAATAATGCACACTCGGCTTCAGGTGGGGCGGGGGGGGGGGTGCCAGAGGGAGGGAGCAAGGCAGCGCCAGGCAAGATCCTCTCTGGTTTAGGGGCTGACTGCTCGCAAGCAAAGGCACGAGCATCTGTGCAATGCGAACCCGGGGCCTTTGGGCAATCCTTACATTGCCAATCCCTTCAGAAGTCCCACGGAATTCGCTGGAGCTTAGACTCCCGGGCAACTGCAGCCTAAGGTCCCAAGCCTTTTTTGGGAAAATCTCTTCGATGTGTGTTTTCGGCAGTCAAGAGGCATATATACATTTTATGAAATAATAAGCTCCATTGCAGCGCGTAAAGCTACTTTTGCACGGGAGCCAGGGGCTCTCGCTGCCCCCCAAACCCCGCCTGTCTGGAACGACCAGAGTCCTCAAACTAGAACCCGAGCTTCGGAGGACCGAGGGGCCCCTCCAGGTCACCCCCCAGCTCGCCCCAAGCGAGTGGGAGAGAAGCAGCAAGAGCACCAGCCGGAGCCGGAGCCTTCCGAGTCCCTCTGGTCCTCCTCTCCGCCACGGTCACCTTATTGCTCCGATGGAAAGCGGCGGACCCGCTCCGGTATTTCCCCAAGTCGGCCTGGCTCTCCTCCTCGAAGGCGAAGGACGCCACCAGGTCGTCGTCGTCCTCGTCCGGATCGTCGAGGTTGGCGGCAGCCGGAGAGAGCGCGCCCAGCAGGAACAGCAGCAGCAGCGGAGCGCGCAAGCAGCGGCCGCCCATCGTGTCCCCCGCTTGGGAAGAACGCGGGAGTCGGCAGAGACCCAGAAGTAGCCGCCGCACGCGGAAAGGCTCGGCTCCGGAGCGCAGCGCGGCGCCTAGAACCCGGCGCGGGCGGAGCCTAGAACCCGGCGGGGCCCTGCACGCAGCGGGCTACTGGCGCGAGCTGCCCTTGGCGCGGCGGCAGTTGCACCGGGCGAAGGATCAGCAAATGGGAATCGCATCCCACAGCTCGCTTGCACACACAGCGCGCACGCACACCCCCCTCGCCCGCTTCTTTCTCGCCGCTTCGACTTTCCCTCCTCCCCTTTGCCTTTCCATGTGCTCCTCTAAATCTTTTTGGGGCGTGGATGTACCGGATCACGCCACTATTATCCCATCGGACCATCCTATCTCGTTAAACATTAATTGGAGTTTCTCTCATCCCTGGAGATCAAGTTGCTGCCCCGTTTTGCTTTTCCTGGCGTCAAATTACAGGATTACTTTCGCGTGGGTTTTTTTTTTCTTTCTTTCTCAAACGCATTCCATTGCATAGCTTCCAGAAGGAAAAATGTACTGTATATATTCTATGCGTGAACACGATTGGAGGAAAGCGTCTCAAGGGGATAAGGGGGAGCAGTTGTGCATGTAAGGAATTCGAGAAGCAATAGGCATGTTATGGCATGGGCCTTTGGAAAGCTTTTTTGAAGGAAACCTGGAAAAAAATGTCCACAGTACTCCCCAGACTCTTGTTTCTTCAGGGTACGATAGTACTTCCATCCCAAGGAAGTACAGCTTTAATTTCCCCAGAGAACTAGAATGAACATAGCACACAAAGAAAGGCTGAGAGACCTCTCTATCCCCCACCTCAGGGCCCTCACTAGGGCACAGCCCCTCTCGCTGAAAGAGTGCCTTTGCCTGGCTGGAATGTGACCTTGAAATGCCAGAATCTTTCTTGCTTGCCTCAGTTGCCTGGATGGAGAGGCGGGCTGTAGGGTTCCCAGACTTTTGCATGCCTGAATGCAGCCTGCTATACAAGGGTCAGAGTGGTATCCACTGAGCCACCTACCTTTGCCTCTGACTCCACCCACTTCTGAGTCTGGCTCCACCCACCACTGGCCTGCAGTGACTCAAAACAAAGCACATACAGTATGTAAGCTCACTCCTGCTAGCCAATTTCCTCTTTGCTGAAAGGCCTGCGGATTGAACCTAGTAATCTTAGAATCGTAGACTCATAGAGTTGGAAGGGATCCCAAAGGTCATCCAGTCCAACCCCCTGCAATGGAGTTCGAACCCAAGACTGACTCAGAGATTAAGAGTCTTGTGCAGGCCAAGCATGTGGTCTAACCACAGAGCTATGGATCCTGCCTTTGACACTGTCAAATACAGGTGAGCCTACAGAGACAGAATTAATACCTTATGAAGCCCAGGTCAAATATTATGAATTATTATCGTCATCATCATTTAACCCCCACCTTTCCATCTTCACCTTTTCGAGGCAGATTGCAATATAATGTTAAAATAAAAATAAGTAAAATTACACCTGCAAATATCTCTGTTCGTTCTTTCTTTCACATTCTTATTCTGCTTTTCATATTAGTTGCCGCTTTCCGTATTGACATGAACTCACATGGCAGACATTCATAAAGGCAGATTAGATAACAATTAAAAAAATAAGAAAGGATGAAACATGGGGGTGGAGCAGCAGAGAGCCACGGGGAGCAGCCTTCCCGCTACAGACATTTCTACACCTTGCTTGGATGGGGCAGGTCAGGGTGAGGGCAAAGGCACTGGACAGATGCACCTGCAGAGCCAATCTGGTATGCAGCCCCACTTTGCCACTGCCCCAGCCCCATTTCTGTAAACTGCTGGGCCAGCAGTATTGGGAGGATGACTCTGCCCCACACCACCAGCTGCTACTGCCACAGACAGAGCTTCCATATCGCCTTATGTCACCTTTCACACTCAGTGGCATCACTTTGAGTCACCAAGCATGCAGCGCCAAGCATGCAGCGCCCATACACTAATTAAGGCTGCAGCCTTTGATTATATCCAACTATGTTCTAGACCCATTGAAATGAACAAACCTAAGTTAGTTCTGCCCATTAATGGCATTGGGTCTGCTGCTGAGTAGGTCTAACACTGAACACAAGTCCTAGCCTTTCTTTCTGGAAGGGCATTGTGCCAAAAGCATAATCAGAGACGCATAGTATTGTCCACCCTCCTGCAATGCAAGAATCTCAACTAAAGCATCCATGACAGATGGCCACCCAACCTCTGCTTTAAAATCCCCAAGGAAGGAGAGCCCACCGCTTTCCCAAGGGGTCTCCTTCACTGTCGAACAGCTCTTACCATCAGAGAATTCACCCTGATGTTCACACCCTCTATGCCAGGACCCTTTCAGTGCTTCTGGATCTCTTGTGCAGAGGCAGTGCTACATCCAGGGCTTTCGGCAGCAAGGAACAGCTTCAGCTTTTCTCTACTACAAATGGGACAGGAGTCCATGCTCAGCCTTAGAAGGTCATTCCGGCTTAGAGTTACCGTGCAGTCGTCACCTGAACACAGAAGTAGAGAGCAAAAGAACTAGAAGCAGCTTCTGATCAAATGAACCAGCCACACAATTGAATTACTTTATCAATGCAAAGAATGTAGATTTGGGTCAACTCTTAGGAAAAATGTCTTTGTGGCAAGAGCAATTTGACAATGAAACCTAATCTGGGTGGGGTGAATCTCTCTCACTGGATGTCTTCGTGCAGAGGGCAGACGGCCACCTGTTAGGGATGCTTGAGATCTCCGACTTTCTTGAACTGATTGGGATTGGACTAGATGACTTATAAGACCCCTTTCAACTTAGGATGAGTGAATGTGTCAATTTCATTTTCTCTCAGTGTCTCATTTTTCCTTAAGTTTAATTCTCCACATTGCTGCAGCAGTTTGTGGCTTTTTGCTTTTTTTAAAAAGGTCCTCAGGAAAATTAATCAGCCTGTTAGTGTCTATTTCTCCTAATATGCCCAAGTTGGTATGCAATGTCTCCTTATATAATGCACTTTGTGTACCATTTTCATTTACATATATATATTCATTTCTATGCACCTCATGTACAGATTTTCATCCACTTTAACTGGAAGGAGAACTGCGTTGCAAAATTAGGAGAAGCACATCTTTCAAAAGACGTGTTTCAGCTCTCCTGTTGCTCTGGAAAATACAAATTAAGTAGATTCACCTTTAAATGCAAACTGAATCAAGTTTCTCCCCCCAGCCCTACCTCTGGCTCCGTGGTTCTGCTGTTCTGCAGCAAACTGCTCTGTCACATAAACTGTGAGGCCGTAACAGGCCATGCCCGAAGGAGCTACACAATGTGCTCTCAACCAAATAAGAGTGCTGTGGAATGATCAATACTCAACTAAGTCATATTTTTGGAAGAATAACTGAAAAGTAAACAGCAGCGTTTTCCTCTCTTTTTTATGTTCTGGCCAGGACATTTTCAAAACAGTGTTATCGTGAAATACTGGGCAATCATTTCTGTGCGCTGGAGGAGGGGGAGGTGGAACTGGCAAGAAAAACCACCAGGAAGAGCTCAGCGGATGGCCTTGGTTGGAAAGCCTGTGATGTGGCTCCTCCTTCAGATGTTTGGAGCTTAATCCAGTTCAGCCCATTTCCAACAGAAACCACAACATGCTGCAGTGCCTTTGATTTTACAGTCTGTATATTTTGTGGGTTGCCACTGTGACTCTGGATGTTGGCCGCCTCCTCAGACTTAACCCATGTGATTTGCTCCCAATGGGACTACTCCGGAGAGAAGGGAAGGCCTAAAATTTTGACAAACCTTTCTCAGTCTAAGGACCTCATCGCCTCAGGGACAACCTTCTTGAGGAGAAGGCAGAGCTAGAGGCAAAAGTGGGAAGAGCAACAGATGTACCGTAATTCTTGCCTTCGTACTGCAGGCTTCGTACCACTGGCCTTGCACAAGTCAGAGGTTTCTACACAACCCTCTCTCTCCATCCAGGCCAACAAGAGGGATTATCATAGTTCAATGGCACAATTCCTGTCAGACAAAAGCACTCAAGGACAGCATAGAGATGGGGTAGAAGCAGTGCCGGATTTACGTATAAGCTAAACCAGCTATAGCTTAGGGCCCCACTCTCTTGGGGGGCCCCAAAAAATTAAAGAAAAGAAACTGGATGTACATTTCCAAAATATAAGATAAAAAACAAATAAAATAAAACCTACATAAAGCAACAGTGCTTTAAGTTGTGTAGGCTCCTATGATGTAAGTAATACAATGCTTTGATAAAATACATATTTTGTTAGGTGCAAATGGCTTTAGATACCCATTAGGTCCATAAATGACCAAACTGTATAGCATATATTCAACACAAAAAAACAGCGACAATTTGTTGTTGACAAAGCACAGCTGGACATATAAAGGGCCCCATTACCTTCAGTAGCTTAGGGCCTCATCAAACCTAAATCCGGCCCTGGGTAGAAAAGAGAGGGACAGTGTTGTTGCTGGGGGGGGGCATTTTTGCCTTGGGAAAGGCCTGAGGGTCACATTCATGTCACAGTCCTGAGGTTCGCCATGCCTGGGAGAGATGAATAATTTTATTAAGTTGTTTAACGTTTGATTTTTTTTTAAAAGAAGGACAATAAAGTGTTTGTGAATTGTGTGAACTGGCATGGGCTCAGAGGCGCACAAATGCGCCTCTTGTCACAAGTCATGCCACATGGTACTATCCAATCAGAATCTTACAGTTCTGTGAACCCACAATCCCCTAGACTGAATGAACTAGGGTTCAATCCTTGGCATCTTCTTAGGCACCTGAGCTTCCAGGGACTCAGGCAAGTGCCTCTCCTGGACTGCCTACAATCAAAGTCCATCTGGCTCTCACACCTGTGGAATGGAAGGGGCAGAAATAAGACACCTTAATTTGTTTCTGGGGAAGGAATATTTCTCCAGACAGTGCACTATTATAAGGAAAGGTGTGCTTCCCCTGCAATGGCTGTACCTCACTTATGACCACCTGGGAAGGTCTTTCACCTTTGTCCTTGAGATTCTAAGTAATGTCTGGGCTCTTTACAAGAATGCTTTGGATAGCTAGTGAAGATGTTTATGTTGCATCTTTTGGACAGCAACAACAAAGGGCTCCTTTTCAGTGAACGAATACCAGTAAATAGCATGCATTCCTGCTCTACTGAACAGGGCGATTTAAATTTATCTGATTAGCTTAAAATGCACATACACACAAAATGGAAATTTGAACCCATCCCATGTTACATTTGAAATCGTGTTACATAATGAAAGGAGGAGGAAGAGAGAATCTCTGTGCCACTCACGGTCAATTTCACACAGTCGCTGCTCTTGGCTTGATGCCTCCCTGAAAGATTGGCTCCTTCTCTATGGACTAGAGGCAAACTGGCAAGCCAAGAAAGCCGGCAGTTGGCTGGATCCTGAAACACATATGAGTTGTTCCAGTTTTTCACTGTGGAGAGCTGGCCATAAGGCGTCCCAGACAGCAGAAAATGGGATCTTGGGAGCCCCTGCACAAAGGGGGCCTGCTTAGCCTGTATATGAGGCTTTACATTAGGAACTTCTTGGTGGAGCAAGAAGAGTTAATAGGCTAGATCTTTTCATCTTTGTTCATGAGCAGGAAGAAATCTTCTGCTGGGCACCAAACAGCAAAGGCTCCTCATGCCAAAATAAGAGGAAAGCCAGCAGATCTGGAAAGAGATGGATTCAGTGACCTGCTTTCGTTTATCCAAAAGACAAATGCCAATTGCTCCTGCTCATATTAGAATATTCCTGGATTCTAATAGAAATTGGTTTAATCAGCTTTGACCAGAAGCACGAATTTCCTTCACAGGATACATGGAATAAAAGTGGTCAGCATGTTTGTAACCTGGTGGGCTGAGATCCAGGGCAGAACAGACAAAGTGGGCCTGTTCCAAAACGGTAGCCAATGTTAAGACTATATTGGGGGAAAGCAAATAGGAGCCCTGTGGAATAATCCAATTAACACATCTTGCAGCAGCAGGCGTTTCCTTT